ATCAATCTATAGCTGGCATGTGACGCGGAGCTAGATTTTTGAGCGTGTAGATAACTTTCGGACAATTTTTTATCTTAATTAAAGTATGGATAAGAATGATTGTCGTAGGTTGTCGTCTGTTCGTCTCCTATTATATGGTGTGGACCACCAGCGACGATGATGACGGCAAGGCTGCCTGCGGGGCCGGCAAGCGCCTCCAGAGCGCGCTGTAGCTCCAGGCTTGATGCCAAGTTGTTGGCAAGCTCTACATGCTACGTATGCACATCATGCCGCTGCCCTTGGCGAAGTCTGGGCCTCCACGGATGGCGCTGTAGGCTCGACACCACCCGCTCCCATGATTTGTATGGGAATGTGCGACAGACAAATTGGCTGTCAAGGCAATGAACATGTAGGCATCTAGTAGGCCAAAGTGTCGCCAAAGCGGCCACTAGACAACTTCTCTAGTCTATCTAGCCTCATCTAAGGAAATTAGGCTCTACTTTGATACTTGTAGCCGTAAACTAGACGCGAATGCGTACATCGGCGCCGACAAAAGATGCTGATTGGCTGATTTGATGTAGCCATCACTAAAGTGCATACTTTAATTAAGATAAAAATTGTCCGCAAGTTTTGTCGCGGCCCGAAATCGTATCAGTAGCCTATCTGCACGCTCAAAAATCTACTCCGCGTCACATGCCAGCTATAGATTGATCTGATAGGTACAACATATCTAAATAGCGAGATGTAACTCTTTCTAGAAGCTGAGATTTGGACAGAACTGATTCTTGAACGGATTTTACACGACATTACCAGGACACACAAAATTGTAGTATTTTGTCCAATCAGAATTACATTAACAAAGGATCGCAGTTTTGCCTGTGTTTGACCTCACCGCAACAGCAAGCATGCCGTAGGCTACCCCACCTGCACAGTAGTATAACTTTACCTCTTCATCATCAAGAAAAGCTGGTCGAGACTGGGCCGGCGTAGGCAGTTGTAATTTATTGCCGAGTCGGCGTTGAAGCACGCTGGACGTCGACAATACGGCCAGCTCTTCGACAAGGACATCATCAGCGAGATGGCGCTCTACAAGTCTAATCAGGGCTTCGAGTACAGGTGATTCGGTCTCGGGTGGCATGCTGGCCTGGACCTCGACGGACAGGAGATGACGTGCGCAGACCAGCAACCATCAAGGCTGAGGGCTCGGTACGGTAGCGTCGTGGATGACTTCCTTGAGGACGATCACGACCACGACAACTAGCTGGTACGGCAGCTCTGGTATGGGCGTTTGGCGGAGGCTCAAACGTGGGCGGCTTCAGCGGGTCAGGCCCTAAGGGAAGGTGCTGCAATTGCTCTTCGCTATCCAGGGACACTACAAGTACAACAGCCATGACAAGCGTCGACACCGAGGCCGCCAGCGTGCTTCCCCGCAATTAAATGTTGCGATTAGCACTGGGGGTAATGTAGAGCTATTGTTTGTACATCCTTCAGCTTGTATACGTACGGCGTCACTGCTGACTTAGTTAAAAAAAGTGTTGAGAATGTATGAAATGTATGGCTGAGCTCATATTTCTTTAACTGGTACCACTAAAAAGCTCTTTGGTCTACAGAGCGAGCCATGAATACTGTATCTTCCTGCTGGGCACGCTACGCTAACGGACACAACGTGTGTGTTATATTCTGCTTGGCGCATTAGCTCGGAAGTTTGCTGCATTGCGGATGCGGCATCCGCAATGCAGCAAATCTTGCAGGACATGTTGTCCTGTAAAAGCACCAAAAAGATGGACTTTGTCAAGCCTGTGCCAATAATACTAGATTTTGTATATGATTTGACGCGGGGATATTTCGATTTGGAAAATACAGGACATTCCGTCCTGCGCTTATGCTCGTGAGCAAGGTGGATGTCCTGCAAAATCTGGAGAATGTGAGTGTCCGAAAAATGATGTCGCGCAGTGTACCTCAATGTACTAGTTCTTTTTATTTAGCTTTCGACGCGACCTGTGACAAAGCGTTGGAATGATGAGGTTAGTGACGACTTGGCACCAACGACAGCGAAGGCCGAGCCACTTGACTTGCTGTGTTACCACAACACGGTCAACTTACCGTGCTACGGTAACTCGACCGTGTTATGGTAGCACGGTAAGTCGACTGTGTCATGGCAACACGGCCAGGTGCGCGTCGTCATACCTCAAGCCGCACCTCAAATCGTACCGTAGCTCGTTGCTTCGTCATTCGTGTGTTGGCGTTGAGTACCAGTCTTACTGCGTACAGCCAGCAGCTAGGCTATTGTTCTCTGAGTGCATTCAGCGCAGCGTGATCTAAGAAACAGGGATGGGAAGTTTGAAATAAAGATGTAGATAGATGTGGATTTTGTAATTTAATTTATTTAACTTTTGATCCACAACTCAAAAGCGAATTATGGAGAAGTAGCTGCTTGACGGTCGTCAACTGTAACGGGGTTACACGAGAGTTACCCGAAGGGTTACGAAGTGGATATACACTGTCTAACCTAAATCAGTAGGAGAATCAGTACATGGCTTCAGAGCCACTGATTATGCATATGACTAGGGTTCACTATGCTAGATAGTGAACCGGATACATTTACACAGTAGGCGGCTTTGCCGCAATAAAGGGAAATACATTCAGTTTGAGATTCACACAGTTAAGAGTTAAGGGTTGACTCTTGGAGTCCGTAGGGTGTACGGACTCGTACGTTCTGGTATTAGAACGGGCAATCTTAAGCTGAGACTCTGCGAGTCTGTTAAGCTTCCTCTGACGCAAAGCTACGGCAGCCCTGCTGCACTTGGTAGCACTTGTAGTCAATCTGACACCTGAATCTGTATAGACTGACCCTCTGTGGAGAATGGAGCAGTTCGCTCACTTGCCCCCGAACCAGCAGGATGCGCTTAAAAAGCTTATGTCCTTGCTGGGCCCGGAGGGCGTGACGCAACTTGCGCAGCAAGGCCCCGACGCGGTGAACGCGCGTCTCGAGGCGTTTTCAAGCTACGAGAATACTCTGCTACAGCACCTCCAGCAGAGGATGGCGACGGCCGCGGCGCCCCAAGCGCCCGCTTCGTCATTCGACGCGGGAACAAGACCCAAGCCGCTCATGTTGAGCGTGAAGACCTTCGAAGGCAAGGAGGGTGAAAGCTTGATGCTTTAGATCCGTGAGGTTGAGATGGCTATGAGCTCAGCTCTACTCCGGACGGAGTCGTAGCGCGTGACACTAGCTATCTCGAAACTCGGTGGGCGAGCGAGAGAGTGGGCACTAACGTCCGGGACATCGGTCGAGGTGGCCTTCCCGACGTGGGACCAGCTGAAACAGCAATTGTCCCGAGTGTTTGCTCCGCCTAACGAGGCCTATCGCGTGCGCTCACGCTTCCTGGCGACCAGGCAGAACAAGAAGGAGTTGATGGACTACGTCCAAGAGATGAGAACTCTCATTGCTGGCATGTCTGCGGACCCCCTGCCGGAAGCAGTCACCGTTACGGTGTTCATGGAAGGCCTCCGCACTGGCGTTGCCAGGACGGAGGTGTTCCGAACCCACCCGAGCTCTTTTGAAGAGGCTGTGAGCGTCGCATTGAATGCGGAACACAACTTTAAGTCGTCGAGACTTGGGTGGAATGCGTCTTACGCTAGCGGGTCGAGTGGTCCGGAACCCGTGAACCTCAGCTATGCTAAAGACGAAGAAGCCGAGCTTCGTGCTGCTGAGCAGCGTCGCGGTATCCGCAGATGCTTCATCTGTGGTGACACCCGTCACCTTCGTGCTGGGTGTCCGCTGCGCCATCAGCGCCAGGCTTCGTCAAGCTGCTCCTCGAGATCGAGCCAGGGCTCTGGTTTGTCTCGGGGAAACGAGAAGTCCCAGTAGGCGCGGGGCGGCCTACTGGGGAAGAACTAAGTTCTATTGAGCCTCGGCGAGGTGGAGGTCGACAGGACTTAGCCCCGAAGAGAGCCGTACTCTCTAACACGGAACGTGTGTCGTAATGCGGGTTGAAGGATTGTGAGGCGATGGACCCCGAGGTTACCCGAAGGTGACCCGAGAGTGAGCCACTTGAATTATGGGACACCCTAGCTCGGCGTCCCGTATAGAAGACCGGCGACTGATTACGAAACCCGATGGCGTATTTACGGAGATCCAGAACGGGGAGGCCCGTAACAAGGACGATGACACCGCACGGAGGCAGCAGATGACGTCATGAGGTAAAGGCGTGCAGCATACTGGTTGGTTGGTTGGCCGGCAGACGAGCCGCCGGAAGATAGGCAGTTCAGTTCAGAATTTCCAACAACGAGACAAGGTACTTCTTCATATTAGTCTTTGTGTTGTGCAGTTAGCGCCTACGTGTGTACTGTGACTGTTTCCTACCTACTTGCGAAGTGTACGCGGGGTTCTGGATTGATTTGGCCTCCCCGGCAACCTTCTAGTAGTGTAGTGTGTTGCATTGTCTGGACTCAGGAGATCAGCTCTCAGTGTTCGACAGTAGGACACTCTAAACGGTTTAGTAAGGTATTGGTGTGCGTCTCGCACTTTGGTTTGGACCCGCAGACTAGCTGCGGCAGGAGATCTCCAGTAGATCTCGTACATATTGTACAACAAGTTGTCGTACAGTGGGAAGAGTTACCTCGCTGTACAAGTGCATCCGCGACAGAGTTAACCTAAGTCTCTGCCTGCGAGTGTAAGGAACCCCATATTCACCCCTTCATATTACACGTCTTCTAGGAATTACGCTAGATAAAGATCCAAGTCTTGCTACAAGGGTACACAAGCTGAGGCCTAGAGATCTCGGGACTAGTTCTCGTTGTCTTTGGGTATTTGGCTTGCAGGGGTAACCCCCCCCCCGTAGTTGCGTGGCAGGACACGTGTGGGAGTTTATTAGTTTTTATCTGAGGGACTCCACCACGTACCCGGATCTACTAGTCCGAAAGGGGACGTGAAGGTGAAGGGTGAGGTGAGGGAAGACGGAACTCCGCTGGGACCGGCGGAAGTTAAACGTGAAAACACTAGGTCCACCGACGGACAGGCAATGGGGACGCCTGAGCCGAAGGATTTCGTTTACGAAGAGAAGTTCCCCGTCAAGGCTCCGAAAGGAGCCGTCCGGGACTCGGTCCAAAAACCGAGTTCCATTGGACCTGCTGCTAAGCGGGACCCCGGCGTCGCTGAAAAGCGAGGTCGAAACCTGGAGCGCGAGCATCTGAAGGGGGTCATCCGCGACCCCGCTGCCCGAAGCGATGCTCTAGACGCTGCGATGGACTACATGGAAGTCGAAGATGCGAAGAAGAAAGCCGAGAAGAAAACGAAGATATTGGAGATCTCGGCGCTAGCGGTCCATGGCCCCAGCAACGACACTCACGATGAAGACAAACGATTTCGTGAAGCCGAAGTCAACTACATCCGTCAAGAGCTTGCGTTCCTGCTCCAGAGAGATCCGCTCCTGCGTAAGTTGGGGCTGACGATGCCATGGCCCCTCACGTTCCAGTTCGCAACCTGCGCACGCTAACAATCCGAGATCCGCTTCACGCCGTCACGATGCTGTTCTGCGTGCTCGAAGATGCTGGTTTCAAGGTACATGAACAGCGGACTCCACCGATGTACGCGAGTACGATCTGGAAACCACCGTCCTTACGCTCGCGTGGGTGTACGCAGTGTTGCAGAAGCTCGTCCCGAGTGCAGATGACTCATCCGCGCCGTTGCTGACCGGAGACCTCACACCTCCTCGGTTGGACGATTCGCGGATCTCCTTCAAGTTTGAAGATGACGGTGACGCTCTCATGAGGAGCACTACCTCAACCAAGAAGCCTCCACCGGCCCCACGTGTGTCCCGCCGAGAACGACGTGCGCAAGGGATCCCACCGATCGCTGCAAACGATGTAGGACGCGGGAAGTCTGCGCAAGTGTCAAATATTGCGCAGACTCGCCCAGCGAGAGGACCACGTGGGAGGATCCAGGAGGCTCAAGAGGTTGCAACAGAGCCCGATCGCCCCGGCGGTGTGGCTGAAGACCTTCTTTACCAGTTTGCGAACGAGCGAGACGAGCCTGAAGACGTTGAGATGCAACAAGTCACTGCGTCTCCCGCTCGGCCACGTATCGGGTACCGATCCCAGACACAACCGGAATACCAAGGAGATCTCCATGACCTATCCGATGACCTCGGCTATGATGGAGGTGGCGGAACCGGAGGTCGTGTCGCAGCTGTGTCCACGGCGACTAGGTTGCGAGCATCAGCTGTGTCCGAACTGAAGGACTTCAGCGGCAAGGAACATGACGAAGAAGCCGCCCGAGCCTGGTTCAACGAGGTTAGAACGGCTTCCCGACGGGATCAGATGCAGCCAGACGAGATGTGCTTGACATTTGCCGATTTGATGATAGGCCCTGCGCGCAATTGGTATTACCAGCTGAGCCGCACCGCTCGCGCGTCGTGGACTGACCTGGGTGAACAGTTCCAGATCCCCTTTTGCGGTAAAGGGATCTCCCTCGCGCGCAAGTACTACCACATGCGGCGCGGGAGTCAGGAAGACCCACCAGATTGTTTATACCGGCTGAATCTGGCCGGGATACGTGCAAACTTGAAGATCCATGATGGCACCAAGGAACAACGACGTGAACACGTCGACCACTACATCGATACAGTCCAAGATGACGATCTCGCCGGATCTCTGGTAGTGTTGAGGCTGACTGACTCAGAAGCTCTCGAAGGCGTCCTGTTGGCCATGCGACGCCGCCACCAACGTCGCAAGATTGAGACACAAGGTTCGAAATACCGCCAAAAGGCTCCCGCCCCTGCAGCCTCCTCGAAGGCGGTGCGGGTTGTGACTACCGGTCGCGGACGCCGCGGAGATCACGGAGATCTCAACGAGTTCGAGGGCGAATCAAGCAGTTCCGATAGCGAATCTGAAGACGAAAGAGCGCACGTATTTTTGGCAGCTAGGACGCCTACACCAGGAGATGGTGAACAGCCAGGGGCGCGCCAAGACCGCGAAGACCAACTGGGGCGTCCGAAGTACGGCACTCGATGCTCACACTGCGAATCTCGCAAGCATACGGATCTCGGGTGCTGGACGAGGCTCACGTGCCAGAAGTGTGGACGCATGGGCCATCCTACCGACAAGTGCTTCTACGTCTGCAAGTGCTGTGGAGACGTTCACGAAGCAGGTCAGTGTAAAATCGGCGACTTCTTCGATGCTGTTCGCCAATGGTACAACCCGACTCGCCATGCCGGACTGCTGCCCGAGAGCGTCGAGAAGGCGTTAAACTAGACCGCTCGCCAGGCCTGAACAGCCTGGCACGTGACGAGCGATCGAAGTTCTGCATTTATGCATATGTTCAGAGGAAGGCGCGAGCGTTAGAAGACCCAACTTCCTGTAATGCGGTGAATACAGCCAGATCTCTTACCTCGGACGAAGATGACTATTCGCGTCGCCCTTGTGTGATGGCCCTTCGACTGCCGCCGGGTGAACGCCGAGGTTACTGGAAGTATTACACTCCCTCCAAGTGGTTCAAGCAGTCGAAGGCGACCGGTGCGGTCAACAATGTCCGTGCCGTCCTACGCTTTGATACTGGAGCCATAGTGTCGATAATCGACTCTAGCTTTGCACGTAAGGTGGGTTGTGAAATTGATACAACACAGACAATGGATTGTGTTGGTGTGGGGGATGCTGTGTACTGCACAGAAGGCCGAGCAGAAGTCATGCTCACTCTGGCTGGAGAGTTGGTGGCATGGATTTTATGGTTCCTGCGGGGGTGAGGTTGGACCTGGCTGACGGAACGCTCTGTCTGCCGGACGAAGTTCGCATCCAGATGACCGACCGTAAGCCACTGTATAGCAGCAAGGCTGACGCGGTCTACGCAACGGGATTCCATGAAGTCGGTCCTGGCCAATGGACAGAGATCTCACTCAAGTCCCACAACAAGCGGTTTGAACTGTGAGTAACGAGAGGGGGAAAATGGGTGATCACGGTGGTGAATGGTGGATTCAGTAACAAGTCATACCTCCGGATCACCAACATCAGCACGAGCCGCCTGGTACTGGATCGTTTGGTGTGTTTGGCAATCTGGTTACCCGTTGGGCAGATCCCGCGTCGACCTGGATTCGCTAGGAAGGATTCAAACCGCTATCGGGAGTGGCAAAGACTTGCGTTCAAAGCAGCTGTGGACACTGGAGATGCAAACGAAGCGGAAGTTGAAGAGTCTGGACCGCTGGTCGAGCGTCCTAGCTACCGGACTACGACTGCGATTTTAGCACGGCCTCCACAAGTGAAGACCGTTGTAGCAGCAGCAACGTCAGAAGAATGCACGCGACTCACACTGGACGGCACACATCCTCAAATGCAGCTGATGAAAAGTTCGACTGATCCGACTAGGGTGACCGAAACCGAGGAGGACGTGATCTCTACCGATCCCGGTCAGGTGATCTCTGGTATGGACAGCGATGACTCCTGTGCGTCCGAAAGCGCTGAGCCTACTGGTAGCTGGGGTAGTTTTGACTGGCAGACCGACGACGAGAAAGAAGAGGAGCCGGTGAGCGGAATGCTCCCAGTGACCAAGGCGAACCAAGCCAAGGCGGAGATGCAACCGACATGGATGAAGCGAAGTATGTTCATGAAGGGGCCGATCTCACTGCGGAAGACATCGAAAAGGAGATGGCGGTGTTACCAGAGATCTCCCTGACGGCAGAAGTTAAAAGGGAAGATCTCAAGGTCGGGGATCCAACTGAGAACACAGCAGAGGAGATTGATCGTCTGCGTGATATCATTTGGGAGCGGCGTCACCTTCTCATCGGCAAAGCGAATGCTTTACCCCCTGCGGCGACGGGGGCGATCTGTGACATCGACGTTGGTCGATGGCTCAGCGTTGTCGCCGGATCCCGCCTCAGTTCCGTGAAGAGGTGTTCCAACTCGTCAAGGGGCTACTGGGGGCGAAGATTATTCGGATCTCCACTTCTCCTTGGGCGTCTCCGATCGTTATCGTCGTCAAGAAGAACGGCGTGGACGTCCGACTCTGTATCGACTACCGTCTGGTCGATGCTCTGACACGACTGATGATCTACCCCATGCCGTTGATTGACGACCTCCTCGAAGATCTCGACAGTTTGCTGTGGTTCTGTTCTCTCGACATGGCGAGTGGGTTCTGGGTGGTGAATATGACCGATCGAGCCCGAGAGATCTCCGCGTTCATTACGCTGTTCGGCCTGTTCGAGTGGCTGCGAATGCCGTTTGGTCTGAAGAATGCCCCCCAAATCTATCTGCGGCTGATCGACAATGCGTTATATGGCGTGCTGCGGATCTCGCCGGGCCAAGATCGCGCGGATCTCGTCAACATTTTCGAGGAAGGTATTCCTGAAGATCGATCGCTGCCGTCGGTGCTGGGGCGTCGCTCTTACATCGACGACATCTTAGTTGGAGCAAGCTCGTGGGACGAACTATGTGAGAAGGTCAAGAAGCTCCTAGAGGTTTGTGACCGCTGGAATCTGTCTATTAGCGCGGAGAAGAGCAGTTGGGGTATGAGCAAAGTCGACTATCTGTGGCATCAGATCTCCCGTGAAGGCCTGTTCACCAAGCCGAAAGATTTGGCAAGTCTGGAGGCGTTGAAGTTTCCCAAAACGCTTAAGGCTCTCCAGTCATTCCTGGGCAGTCTCAACTACTACAATCGCTTCATCGAAGATTTCGCAGTATATGCCATAGTGTTGTATGAGTTCAGAGATTCCGATTTCATCAAGGGTCGAGCCACAAACGTCAGCGGAAATCACGAGGCGACTGTGAGATGGGGCCACGCGCTACGAGCCTTCGATACCCTGAAGTTCAAGATGATCAACGCACCCATGCTCTACCATTTTGCCCCAGAGTTGGATCCTGTTGTGATTGTGTACGCAAGCAAGTGGGCGATCTCTGCCTCTCTCGTTCAGTGTCGTGATGGAGTGTACGTACCCGTCAAATTTACGAGTAGGACACTGCGGTCTCACGAGATCAGGTACGACATTGTGGAGAAGGAAGTACTGGCTCTGCTAAGAATCCTCGATAGCTGCTTCACCATGCTGAGTGGTCGACACATCCGAGTGCTCACCAGACACACGACTATCGCATGGCTCTTCCGCGCGAAAGGCTTGAAGGGACGGCTAGCTCCGTGGGCGGCGCTGCTCTCCCCCCATTCGCTAGAGATCGAACGTTTAACGAAAGGCGAAGATGAGCTACTAGGTTTGGTTGCCGCCAGTATCACTCCGCGCGCAGAGATGGATGCAGCGTTGGGGGAAATCTCTCCGCAGAAGAAGTCGACGAGAGCATTGGCTATCCCGATGCCGACTTTTACGCCCGGAGAAAACGTTTGCGTCGTCAGGTTTGACGGATCGGCCAAGTCGAAACGAGTTGGTGGAGCTTTCAGCGCTGTGGTATGGGATGCTCCTGGATGGAAGGTTGTCAAGGCTGAATCTGGCTATTTACCGGACCTCACTGTGAACGAGGCCGAGTACCATGGCCTCCTTCTCGGACTTCGTTTGATTGCCGATCTCCAGATCGACTGTCTCATTGTGTGTGGCGACTCCAATTTAGTCATCCGCCAACTTGCGTGGAGAGATGGAGTGCAAGTCATCGGGACTCCAGCTCTTGCGTGAGAAGGCCAGAGTGATTTTGCGGTCTTGGCCGCAATGCGAACTCATCCACGTAAAACGCGATTGGAACCAACCCGCGGATATGCTGGCGGGACAGGCGCTGCAGCGTGGTGCCGGGGTAGTTGTCGAGAGTCACACCGATTACACGAACCTCGAGACCTTGAATCGACTGGACGAGCTCCTCAAGACGCGCGAAGAACGTGATGCCCATCCGAAGGTAGGCGCTGTCACGCGAAGCCGATCTCGTACTGTCGCACCAGCCGTGTTGCAGGAAGACGTCGTCAAGCAGCTGCGCTTGGAACGTATTTGCCGTGCTAAAGAAGAGGAGGTGTGGATCTGGTCACTGAAGTGTTTCCTGCACGGTGATCTCTCTCAGATCTCGAGCCGTCAAGCCAAGACGTGCAGTAAACTGGCTGACAGTTACGAGGTCGACGAGCATGGCCTCTTGATGTACTGTCCAGTCGAGGGGCGCGGTGGTGATGTCGAGGACCGTGGATCTATGGTGAAACTGGTAATGCCGAGTACACTCCACGAAGATCTCCTGCATCATTTCCACACAAGTGTGGAGGGAGGTCATCAGGGAGTCAGCCGAACATTCCAAAAGCTTCGGAGGCCTTTCTACTGGCGAGGTATGTTCCGAAGTGTGCAGAAGTATGTCGGGGAGTGCGTCGACTGCGAGACGGGAAAAGGAAAACCCACCTTGCGGGGGCGATCGCCGGGCAATTTCGCCGCTAATTACCCTTTCCAGGTCGTGGCTATGGATCATATCCCCACCCTCCCGAAGTCGTTCAAGGGCAACACAGAGCTCCTAGTCTTCGTGGATCTCTTCACCGGCTTCGTTGTGGCAAAGGCAAACGCGGACAGGACCGCACCAACAGTGGCTGAGGCATACGAGGAATGCGTGTTTCGGCGGTACGGAGCCAGCGAAGTAATCAGGCACGACCAGGAACCGAGCTTCATGTCCGACTTTTTCCGGTCGTTTAATGCGCTGCTGGGCCAGCGTCAGCGATCTACGCTCGCGTATAGACCTCAAGCAAACGGCACAGCGGAGCGGATGGTCTTGACTATTTCCAGATCTCTGCGGATGTACGGTGAAGACAAGAACCAACAGGACTGGGATGAATATGCGGAGCGGTTGGTGTTTGCGTTGAACACATCGCACGACCGAGTACGCAAGGACACGCCATTCTTTTTGCTGCACGGGTGGGACCCTAAAACGACTGTTGAGGCATCGTTGGCTGTTGGAGGGACCGGAAGCCGAGACCTCGACCCACAGAAATGGAGGTTCAAGATCCAACGCCAATACCAACGTAGACTCGTCGTCTCCTCGCCGAAGCTCGTGAGAGTCGCGCGGAAGCCACAATGAGAACGTACCGGAGTCACCCGTTAAGGAGGGATCGCAGGTGTGGCTGTACCTCGACCGAGTCAAGTTCGGATACGCTCGGAAGCTCGCTCACATGTGGCATGGGCTTTTCAGAGTCGCCACCATGGTGAGCGACTACGCTGCCAAGCTGGAAATCAGCGGGACTGACTACCGACTGTTCCCTATCGTACACATCTCGAAGCTGAAGCTGGTCCGACAGTTCCCCGAACGATCCGCCGAAGATCTCACTGTTGATGGAAGCGAACGATTTGATTTTGACGAAGAACTTCTCCCTGAGGATAGCTGGGAGGCACAAACTCGCGGTGACAACGAGTATGAAGTTGAAGAGATCTTGGATGTCAAGACGGAGAGACGCACCCGCTACGGTCGACGGCTCAAGGAATATTTGGTGCGTTGGAAGGGCCACGCAGAGACGAATTGGGTCAAGGAAGAACACCTGAACTGTGGTGGTCTGCTGTTCGACTTCCAGCAGAAGCGACGGAGCCGGCAGAGGTTCCATGTGATGCTATCGCGTGGAGAGGCCGACATCGCCGAAGAGTGAGGCGGTGTTGGGGGGGGGGGGGGGTAGCGTGGTGGACGCTATTCGTAATGGTGGATGGTATTTGTTGCACATTTACATTTGATTGAGTGGAAGAAGAAATGGAGAGACGATTACGGAATGGAGAAACGAGGTTAGTTGTGATGATCTGGTCGGACATTTGTATTACGACGAACGAGTACTCGGGGGCGACTTGGAGATCCAGACTGGTGTCGCAGTGGCCGAGGCGCGGGGGGCGCGAACGCGCGTCCGACGGCTGCTGAAACGCGCTCGCCACGACGCGCTGGGCCTGTGCGATGGTGAAAACCGGCACCGTTCGTGTCAGAGACTACCTGCGCGTTTTGTCGATATTGGCCGGATCGCTGTCATCGCCGACTTGGAGCCCGGAGCCGCAGTGCAGGAGACACCGAGGGCGTGAAGGCGTGGTCGGTGGCCGTCGGACTAAGTGCAGTCCTACGCCTGGAGTTTGTGCTATGACCTTGATCACCACAAATCACTTCCCAGAATGCACGGCGACCTACGACATGCCTTCACATCTCCAGTTGGGGAGATCTCCCAGTCATGACATTGACTGAGAAGTTGTGGGGCGGGAGTGATATGAAATGGAGTCGAAGCCGGTGTATTACGATGTCGATAAAGAAGATGCATGCTCGGGGAGACTACCCACTAGCTACGTACATTGGTGAAGGAAGAAATGTCGAACGCTGGAGATTTCCGGGGGTCCTCCTAGGTCTGTTCAGCTGACTCAGGCTAGGCGATTGACGAGGTCGCCTTGAACTTGCCTCGAAGGCTCGTGTGGATGGGTTCGTTCATCGATGGGTGTTTGGCACGAGCGTTCCAGTAGAACAGGCGCCACGGCTCCGCCTCGTTAGTCGTTCGTAAGACGTGTAACAGATCTCCAGAGGCACCAGAAGCTCCCTTAGGGAACCACGGGCACGTTGCGATCAGCGGCAGGAAGAATGGCTCCAGAAGAATGTCCAAGTCGCACACATGAGTCTTGCACAGGCGGGCCACCTCTTCGAACACAGGCAGCAGCATCTTCACAAAGTGGGATCTCCGATTCTTACGATCCAAAGTGAACTTCACCTCCCAAGACTTAGCGCTGGCCTTGGAAATGGAAATCTCGATGGAGTGGGTGATCTCCCAGAACACAAGTGCGCCACGATTATCGTTCCGAGTCAGCACATCGCGGATGATGGCCAGAAGAGGTTGGAAGCGGGGATCTCCAATGTCGAACGAGACTGGGTCGGGCATGTTATCCAGGAAGATCTTCCAGGGACTCGCTTTGTATAAAGCTTCGGCCGAGGCTTGTGGCCAGGGCCGATAGTCAGCAGGAACGGCCAGCTTCCCCTTCTTAGGGTTGCACACCCTGGCGGGTAGCAGCCAGTCGCGTGGTAAAAACTTCGAAGCGAGGTCTTTGGCTGTAAGCTGGTCAAGGCGGTGACCTGCAACAACCTCCCACAGCCACGGCGTGACATCGGCAGGGCGCGCAGCTTCGCTGGACTCAGGTGGAATTGCGTGCGTGAATGGGCTTCGGGCTGATACAGAGATCCACGGGCTGTCAGACGGAGATCTATGAAAGTCGCTTGTCTGACAATGAGGAGGAGCTACGTACCCATCGCCGTAGAGGAAGACAACTCAGCTGGCACTCCCTCGGTAGTCGCAACGGCGCGCTTTGGACGCTTCGACTGTGACGTTGGATCAGAAGAGAGATCTCCACTTCGCTTTGCCGAGCCAGACGGGAGCTGCTGCGAAGATGTTCGCGCTGGAGGATCAGAGGAGACAAGGCTCGTGGCCGCTGACGCCAGTGTGGCAAGAGACGAACTGGAGGCGGCCGACGCCACGCATCGTTCCACCTCAGGTTGCGGAGTCGGCGCAGGTACCAGATTGATCAAGTTGCGCAACGCTCCAAGGTGTTCCTCACGCTCCGCTAGTTTGCTGCGGAGATCAGCAGAAGAAGCCTGCTCCTTCAGCAGCGACTGTCGACTCGCATCCAGCTCCGCCTGCAAGTCGTCGCGAGCGAGGGAGGCCTCCGCTCGCTCTCGTTCTACAAAGCAATAAACGCACAGGTCAGCACAAGAGTCAACCCGCCACATTAGCACGCGCGATCATGACCTGCAGCCGCTGCGCGATCCTGAGCTGTTGCGAGATCAGCCTGACGATGCTCCAAACTGTTCTTGAAGTCGACGTTCTCACGCCGTAGAACGGTGTTATGCTGAGTCAGCCGAGTGATCTTCCTCTTCAACTCCTCCAGTCGCTTCCCAGCCACCTTATGCCGCTGTGCGAGATCCGATAACGATGTCGCTGTGGAGATCAAGGCGTTAGTGATGCAACATCAACAACTTCAGCACTTGGGACGACTTACCACCGTCTTGCGCTTTCTTCGACGCCGCCGCCGCTTCTCGTCGTGCTGCTTCTGCGTCCTCACGAGCTTTGGACGCATCCAAGCGAAGGGCGTCCATCCGTGGCGCTGCTTTGTTGACCAGCGTGCGCGATTGCGCCAACTCGGTCTGCAGCCTGTCGATTGTCGCCTCCGCTTGGCGCAATTGATTACGAGATCTGTCTCGTTCGGCATTGGATCGTTGCAGGGCACGTCCCGCGCGTCCGTCACTAGTCCGATCATCATCAGTGGCAGCTTCGCTGGCAGCCAACAGTCGGCCACCTGGGGTAACCGATGCAGTGGAGGAGGAGTCCAGGTAAAATCGGTCATCGTCTGCGCTGATAAGTGGTGTGCCAGCGCCCCATGTGAGCTCCACCCAGCAAATGTTTTTCCTATGTTAGCAGATTCTTCAAAGTATTATAGATGGCACTTGTTGCTGCACCCGACTGGGAATCATGCGATGAGGCAGATGCACCCGACTGGCACCCGACTAGACCGACTCAACCCGACTGAAAATAGAGCTGGGTTTAGAGCCGGGTTATGGCTATACACTGACTTGTGTATAGCTGGATAGAAAAAATTGTGTAAACCACCTTATAAAAGATCGACTCACTCAGTCGGGTCAGTCGGGTACTCGACTCAGTCGGGCCGCCTCAGTCGGGTACTGGGCTCAGTCGGGCTGCCTCAGTGACTCAGTCGGGCTGCCTCAGTCAGTGTGTGAACGCAGTATGCGATCATAACTTGTGAGCCAAAGGATCACTGCACTACATGTAGCAACGTGTGCGTTGCCGCCAAGTGTGTCTCTAGAGTCGGAAACACAATAGAACAACAACGCGCATCATGCTACCCTATTATTGATACTTAGTAGGCTATTAATTGCAAGCACCCCACCCACGTGGGCACTGCAGCACTCCTATCAACGCCGGTTTACACAACGCTTTTCTCCAACGGTTGAAAGGTTCATTATTACTATCAAACATGAACCGCTAAGTACTATAAAGAAGAAGAAAAAAACACACACCACGCTCAGTCGGGTTTCGTCAGTCGGAACCCACTCACACACGTCCAGCCTGAGCGCAGCGGCGTCCTTGAGGTAAGCGCGTCTTGTGACACCTCTGCCAGCCGCACAGCGAGCATGTCTTGATTATCAGCACAGCGCGGTGCAGCCGTCCGCGTAGCAATCCCCACAGGCGCTGCTGTCCGCAAGGCTCTCGACGACGTGTCCTCCCTGGTGGTGCCTCTTCGCGCTGCGAAGAGAGGCGCGGTGTGAAGTTCGCACTCCGACGTTCTGACATCCCTAATAACACCCGGTTAGTTCGCATTACCTTCAGCGCTGCTTCGCCCAACGCTTATATCGACGCGACGGGGCCATATGCTCGAGCTGTCGAAATCTTGAATGGCGACTGAAATGGGTGGTGTGCAGGGGTATACATGGTATGTATACCTGTGCGGATGAAGGCAATACAACAACACGAAAATGATTGAAAGGGTGGGATGTGCCAGTCGGGTGCAGCAAACACTCTCATTATAGATTGGATGGTAAATTCTTAGTTTTGAGGGTGTATTTGTGTTCAGTTTGGTGCAAGGAAATATTTCAAAAGAGGGCTTTTAGCGGGTTACATCCACGGGCGAATAACACCGATAGCTCCTTTCGACGCTGTCGTAGATACCGGCCTCTTGGGTGGCTTTGACCGTGCTGCAACCGATGGCGCCTTCTTGCGCGTGAAGGAGAGCCGACTGCCGCAACCAGGTGGGCACTCCCCGAGCTGCGGGGGGTGCGACCGCACTGAAGACTGTGGTGTCACTGGCTGGTGGGCAGACTCTTTCCTTCGCGGAGCGCCGGTTGCTGGCGTAGGCACCCGCTCATACCGCTGCGCCAAGCTCGGCGACGGCACAAGCCGGATTCGTTCAATTCGCTGCTGCTTTGGCTGAGGCTTGCGTTTTCCTCGGCTTCGGTCGCTCGCGAGCTTCTGCGCCACAGCGGAGTCTGTTGGTGACGCATGTTCGTAGACACCGTTCCGACCAACCTGAACGAAGATCTTTGGAGTTCGCACTGGGTACTCTTCGTACTGCTCTTCATCTTCCTCGCCGTAGTCGTCGTTGTCCTCCTGGTTGTCGGAATACTCGTCGTTAACGAAGTTGTCTTCATCCTCCTCGCCTCTGCCGTTAAAGGGCGACGGTGTGTTCGTTCCTCGGCTTGAAATCATCTTCAACTTGGCGCTGTGCCGAGGCTCGTCCTGGTGATTTTCCTGCACTGGATCTTGGTTATCCGCCGCTCCGCTGTGCTTGGCGCCGCCGTTCTTATGAATGATGAGGTTACCGCGCAGACGATGTTCATTGATGAAGTTCTGCAGGTCGGCCTCACGGACGCATTGCCTGGCGCACAATTCCTTCAGCTCGACATACTTAACGTGGGCCTGCCGCAACTCGTCCTCGCGCTGACGCAACTGCTTCTTGAGGAAGACAACCGCATCAGCTTGTTCATCCGCCACAGGTGTCGATTGCTGCTGCCTCTGCTCCGAGGCGGGACTGGAGTCCCCTTTGTGATTCATCGGTGCTACACCCGAGAATTGCGGGAAATCCGACCACACGTGCTCCAGCAAAGCAGGCAGGTCGGTCTTCTGATCGCAAGTTCGCATCCTTTCTTTGCTGCTTGTTTTCCAGTGTTCCACCTTCGCGAGGAACTCGTGGAGACGCTGGGTGATAGCGTCGAGATCAGCTTTCAGCGTTCCGGCATCATCACCGTCCGAGCCACGACCATTTGACGGATCTGCACCAAGCGCCTTTAGCTGCCTCACGGCAGTCTTGAGCTGGCTCTTCTCGTGTTTCAACCGGGCAATTTTAGCCTCTTGCAGGCGAACCTGTTCCTCGAGCGCATTCACGCGAGCAACCCTTTCGTTCTCAGTCATCTGGGCTTGCTCCTCCCGAATGCGAGCAGCTTCCTGGAGCTTAGCGTTCACCTTACTGTCCCTAGCCGCAAGCTGGGCCTCTAAGGCTTCAACTTGGTCACGAAGCTGCTGGTTCTTGTCCTGCTCATCCAGCAGTTGCGTCATCTTCTCCAGAACTCGCTTCTTTTCTTTCTGCAGCTCCGTTTCCAACCGCTCAACCATTTTCTCCTCCACAGTGGAGGTCGTTTTGTGCTGAGCGGCTCCGCCAGTAACTAAATGATCAACCTCCATCCTCGGAGATCGTTTGGCTCTACGAGTGGACTGCGCGATATGTGTATCCTCTGACTGCGATACTTGCTCCAGAGGCGCTGGCCGTTGCCTGGATTCACGAGATGTAGCTGCACTAGATGGCCTCTTCTCCTCACGATAAACTTTCTTACGGTGGCCACCACGAGCATGAATCTCGACATGATCAGGCACTTCCTCCTCCTGCTCCTCTATCCGGAGATGATCGAGATTCAATGAACGGGTCGGCGTATTTTTCATGCTGTTTCTAGTTGACAAGCGGTTCCGACCGTCAGCTCGACTTTCCGCATTGCGACTGTTGTGCGATCGACGTCCAGCATGCACTCCCCAGTCCTCTGAAACCACCGTGGTCCTCATAGCGATTGTTTCACTCTCATCGTCCGATGACACATCAGCATCCTCCGACTCGGACGACACAGACCGCTCAGACGAAGACGACGAAGAAGACACAGGCCGTTCGTTGCGCCGCCTTCCCACCGGCTCACGTCGAGATTGCCTACTCATCTTCATCACCTGCTTCTTCCTGTGTCCATACTCACTCTGCTCTACGTCTCCTTCCACGCGTCCCTCCTCGTCCCCACTGTCATCTTCACTGTCCAAGTCCTCCTCCGCCCCATGGTACTTCAGCCTCCTCTCCACGTTCTCTGTCAAGTGTCTGCTGTACGTCTCCTGTTGCAGCTTCGGCAGCCCCAGACCTGGCGGGCAGTCCTCTCTGGCTCGAATCTCGCCCGACGACAAGAAGACGAACTCCATGGGCCGGTTGCTCTCCTGTATACTGAGCGGGACGAGACCGTGTTCCTGGTTAGTTCCCGCCGTCAAGCGCTTGTCCACGAGCTGGGGGAAGTCCTCGTCGCTCTCCGTCTGCAGCACGCGCTTGCGCATTCTATAGGGATGCTGCGGGTGCAGCTGATCGTCCTCGTCGAGCTCTTCTGGGGCTTGGGACGTGCTAGAAGCGGTGGTGCTGTGCTTGCGGCGACGTGGACGAAGCTGCTGCAGTTCTGCGCCCTTGACCTGCTGGCGCTGATGCTGCGAGTGGCCGCGGCTGGACGAGCGCAGGATCACGTCGTCGGAGCTGGCGAACACGCGCGCGTCCTCAGCGTGGCTCAACATGGCGGAGAGCGGAGCGGATGAGGCAGCAACGGACGTCCGGAGAGCGCGGACGGATTGAAATGGCGCGCGGTTTTTCAAAACGACGGGTGTAAAAGTGGTGTGGTAGAGAGGGCTCCCACTTTTTATTCCTAGGTGAGGGTATTCCTGTTGTAGGGTGTACCGTGGGGAACATATATCGTACGGATTTGCTGCAGTCACAGCCCTAAAAAGGCTGCTCAAATCGATGGGTGGAATTCGTGCAGATAAGGTGCTCGACCAGTTTACCGCAATAGACACCTTTTGCCCACGAAATTTACGCGTTTTCGAGCACACGTTTCCGCACAAAATACGGGAAAGTCATTCGGTAAAATTGCAGAACGACATACTGCTTATCATGATATACCTTTGAGATATAATGTTTTCTGGAAACAATATCTAAACTAATTTATTGAGTTTCAATAGTAATTTTACGAGTTGTACAAATAGACGGCATGCGCATCAACCGCACGACGTCGGCAGCGCCGCTGTGCTTGTATCGAGGTGAAGCCGAATGAGGAGTATTATGCTCACTTGTTCTTGATCATAGAAGATGAAAATTGACGTGTTGCAGCCGTCGTTAAAGGCAAGATCTTCCTGGTCAGTTGGGCTAAACATATTTTTTCTACCGCCACACAGTTGTTATATAGTTCCATATCTGACCGCAAGGCGGTCAAAAACTCGTTGAAGGCCTCATAACCAACAGCTTGGCTCTGAACAGGCTTCGGGGCATCCCATTTAATCGCACTTGGTGCAGAACGTGATCTTGTGCTGGATGGGTGTTCGTCAAGCGCAATAAAGCTGATCCGCTTGCAAATCTTGCATGAGTAGTACACACGCATGACGTACATGCTGCAGAATAGTGTACTCTGCAAACATGCTCAAGCTTTTGACAATACACCAACGATATGTATATATTGCAAACGCGTCCGTTGTTTGCTGCTCTAAGAAGTATAAGTCTACGTTAACACCAAAAGTCCTTCAAGGAAACTGCACGCGGTACCGGTTGTCTAATCGATCTTTCAAGTACGCCGTAAGGCATAGCTGGAAAAATATGTTTCAAGGAGAGCAGATTTGGTCCTCGTGCCAGTCAGCTTTTATGATGAGCGGATGAAAATCGTCTGGCTCTACGAACACGTTAAGCTTAGCTAAAATCAATCGCAAACAAGGCGGAAACGCTAGTGTTTGCTATAAGGCGGTGCTTGTGTATAGACGATGGGGTTCAAGACCAGGGATTGGAAAAAAGAATTGTAATTGTACAAGTGCAACAATTGTGTAAGTGCGATATTGATTGCTGTCGGTCTGGCAATCTCCACTACATATTGATCAATATTGCTAAGAAGGAATCAAGATCCTGCAAGTCATCTACTCTCTTACTGGTAGCTGTCGACTTCTCCTTCATCTTCTTCGTCGTCTTCGAGAGCCGTCTGCACTGCTTTCGACGTGATCTCGTTCGTAACGAGATCCCAGTTCATCCGTAGGAAGAGAATAGTCTCCAGTGTTTCTGCGCTCATCCGCTTGCGCAGATACCCGAGCATGCACTTCATAGTGGTGAAAAGGCGTTCCACCTCAACCGAAGTAGCAGGGAGCCAATTCAGATCGATATACTTCGACCGATCCTCCTCCCAGGCTTTGGCCCGGTCTTCAATAGTTGCCTTGACTTCCGCTGGTGTACGGCGCCGTCTGGGGGCAGGTTCTGTCTTCATTGACGGGGTCGTTACAGCGCGAGGACTTCGGGGCCTTGATGCAGGACTCGTCGGTGTTTTGCTGCGCTTCTTCTTCGCTGCTGACGTGCGCCCGGGTACGTTTCTGTTTCGCTTGCGCTTCGAGGTAGATACACGCGCAGGGGTGTTGGTTTCTTCTTCTGGGAAGCGCTGTAGCCGGACAACAGCGACGGCTTTGTGGTGTAGCGGGATCGGCCAAAATCTGGTTAAGACCTGATGGAGCTTCCCACCAGCGCCCAGACACCGACTAACGGAGGGGGTCCCCCAACGATCCGTGATCGGCTGGACTTGTTCTCACCTTGTGTACCCGTCGGCGGGCTGGATCTGCTCTCTCGGGGCTCCGAAGATGCAGCACTTGGTGAAGATCGAATGTCTTGGCGTGACGCGGGGATAGGTTGTGGAGCAGCGCGGGAATCTTCGCTCTGCGTCCGAGTATACGCTCCGATCAAGGGTTGTTCGCTCCGATCGGTCGGCCTGGAGTCGATCCACGGCCTGTAGTTGCCTTTCCAGGTGTGTTCCTTCCTTTCCTGAGTTGCTTGCCGCTTCCTATAGCGGGACCGAGGTTGATCGAGAGGAGAAACGATCGCCGGTCAAGCAGTATCCGGTCGATCGAGGGTTCGCACACAAGAAATAGATCGCTAGAGTAGGTCAAGCTGGCCAATGTATTAATCCAGTCTTAACCGTACCACTAGCTCACTTTCCAAAGTGTCGATGCTTGCCGAGGCCAATGTAGTTCCTGGGACTTGATGACTTGAGGGGACTTGTGCTCTTCGGTGCAAATTCTGCTCTGATTTATGTTTACCTAGTCTCTCCCTACTGCTACCATCTTGCTTGCCCTCCTACAACCCCACGATTACTGGATTCTTGCCCCGACTTCGTCCTCCATGTGCGTCCCATCCTGGTCGATCCACGATCGGCCCCGATCGGCGATCGACTCCGATCGGCCCTGATCGGCGATCGACCCCGATCAGCGACCCACGATCGGCGACCCACGATCGGCTCCCGGTCCACGATCGACCCCGATCGGCGATCCGCGATCGATCTCGATCGGCGATCCACGATCGACCTCGATCGGCGATCGGCGACCCACTCCCGATCGATGACTTAAGCCGGTTGCCATGCGCCGCCAATCTATCACCTTCTGTCCTCGGCCATCCCAGATCCGCGGGTTCTGTCGTCGATCTGGACTTGGGTCGGCCCCGAATCACGCCGCGGTTCGGGCACGATCACCCACTATCCGGCTTGCCACATGTCCTGCCTTACGCGCCGGCGTCATCGGACCACCTGAGATCTCCCGGAGAACTCCTTCTGATCCGTAGATTCTTGCTGTCTGTCTCTCGATCGCCGATCTCCCACGTCTCCAGTCGATCGGCCCTGCCGCCTTTCTCGGAGAACAATTCTTATTCAGTACTTCTCCACAGCTTCTTCTGCGGTTAGATCTTGGTCGCGGCCTTGCATGATCTTGACGACGCCGATCTCGAACGCAGGAGACTCCACGATGTCGGCGTCGGCTTTGAGGCGGTCTGCCAGCTCGGGGAAGTCGACCAGCGTCTCGTCCAGAATGTCTCGCACTGCAACGAGCGTCAGGTTACGTGCCTGCAATCGTTTCGTAGCCAACTCCAACAAATCCATGTCGTCTAGGAGATCCAAAATGGTGCAGTGTTCAGCTGGACTGGGCAGGTACTGTACAATGGGGAACCGTCGCGTGTCGTCTTCGGGGATGCACCTATCAACTTCGCAGTCTCGCTCAAACAAGAACAAGTACGGCTGGAGCTGTTTGTACCGCTTGAGCATGCGGTGGATGCCGCTCCACCGAAGCTCGTGCATTGCAACGGGCTTCCACTTGCACCCGTTCGCTTTCAGCAAGGCGATGCGCTTGACCGACTTCAATTTGCGCATCAGAACAGACACCTTCTTGATGGTGTCGGTGTATGCTTTGATGTAGTCCTTGACAGCTAAATTAAAGCGATGCGCCGCGCAACCTATCATAGGCGCGGAGACACGTCGTGAAATGGCTTTCTTGGTCACCATGTTGTCGCAGACGATGCCGACGATGTTCGCGATGTCGAGTTGGTACTGGTCGAGAATTAGGTCCAGGAACCGGATGTGCTCATCCGCCGTCATGCTGCGCTCATCGATGAAAGATGACAGGGCAAGGAATCGCCATCCTTTGCGCGTCACGACATATACGGCCAACGAATGCTCTCCGTTGTCGGTCACATCGTCGAAGACCAGCACATACCTCTCGTCCTTGAGCTCCTCTATGATCAGAGGCTCGAGCAACTTGACACTCGCCACCATACGGGCTTTCAGGGTCTTCGAGCTCATAGAGTTGAACTTGACGGCGGCACGCACCGTCTCGTCATCCACGTCAGCAAACGTGAAGTTTTTGTGGACGACGAGATTCATCCACTGGTACGTCTCTTGCGTGTGCCGGTCGACGAACATGTCCATGGTGACGACGCGCTTTTCGCGCAAACACTTCCGGGCGATGTCCTCGTAGCCAGGATGCTTGGACACGAGGTGGTTGAGTAGGTTGGTGTATCCGGCCCTCTTGGTCTGCTTGACGAAGTTGTTGCAAGCGTTGCACGTCCGACCCAGGGTGCTTGGTTCTCGAAACAACATGGCAACAACAGTCTTGGAGTCGAGTTTTGGGCCGAGAAGGGTGAATGCTGAGTTGGTGGCCATGTTGAAGGAGGTGTGAGAGCACGTGCTGCTGGTCTTGTTGTACGTGAGTCACCGGCAGGACGGGTTGGATCGGTCGGGACGGCCTTCGAGATGCGTTGGTCTTGGGGTTTCGTGACTTGCACGTGCGAGTCGAGCGACGAAACCTTGCTTGAGGAGCGCGATGGGGTGTGTTCGATTCGTTTGCGGGCGTTTACAGGCAGTGGTGTCTGAAGGGAGCGTGGTGCAGTGGCGGTGAGGTCGGGGGAGACGGTTGCTTGCAGGGGGTCAATTCGAAAGTGAACGCTCAAACGACTCCGCTGTCTACCGTGCTCTCCCGTCTTGTGCGGCCTACCCGAAAGCTATTTATGCCTCTGCCATGACTGTGAAGACGACTTCAACTTGAAGATACACAATTGATACGCATATTGCAATGTATTGAGGAGTATATTGAGATTGTTACAATATTGATTGAGTCGGCCGCCTCAACAACAATCCATAAACAATGGATATTGTCCGATCCCTCGTTCAAGACCCTCACCTTCTTAGAACGCGTGACGAAAGACCCATTTCGGGTATATGGAGCTGGTCCTGGACCCAGTGTCAACGCTGGAGCATCCACGAGAGCTTCTTCATCTGTCCGATGTACACGTAGTTCGAGGCTCCCCGGTGTAAATACTGAAGGTTTTTACTTTATGTTTTTGAGGTTTTGCGGGAGAACGCTGGGAACACGGTGCCGCCCGTGGATCTAGGGGGATCTAGGTCTCGTCCGGTCTCGATCGACGCCGCTGTGCGAACACACGCGGCGCGCACTGGACTAGTTCTTGGTGCGTCTACATCCAGTGTGGGCACGGGGGGGGGGGGGGGGGGGCGGACCGAATGAACGATCCGGTATGTCCCCATCCGGTGTGGCACTTCTTCATTCGGTACGCCATCACCGGGTGCACCACGATCCGGTCCGGACAACACGAGGCTTCATCCAGCAGGGTCTTGCGTGCGCATGATCGTGTCTGGTGGGGCCAATTCAGTGGGGTAGCCCGACAACTTGACTAACCAATTCAGGCAGTGGCCAGGATACGTTCGCTGGCCACACTTTCGCGCCTTGGGCCTATCCTGCAGTTAGGGAAGTCGGCGGACGGACTGGATTCGTGACTCCACACCGAATATGAGCGCTCATCCGGTGGGCGCATCTCCAATCCTGTGCGCCCATGCTTGCTGCAAGTGCCGGGTCCCACCAAATCTCCACACACATCCACAATCCACACGTCACACTCGTCTCTACCGGATCTCCATCTCATGCGACCAATCACAGCTCACTGAAGGGTTCACGTATCCATGGGGTCGGACATGAGTGCAGACAAAAATCTGTTTCCACATCGTGTCAACCGCCCCTCTGCTCAGGTTCTTTCACAGAGGGTCTTGCCACCGAGGTGACAGGACATGACCAGACCCATACACGATGGCTCCCATTTCGAATGGAGGGTCGTACCGAATCGCAAAACCGTTGAGAGGGTCTTTCCGAGAACGCATGTCATCCAACGTCCCGTCTCCGTGGCGGGTCTCCGCACATCACAATCCAACTGGCAGAAGCAGTCTGCCTCGAAACACAATACATTCTCCATCGAGCGACTCATCAGCGCTATGGCCGAAGTGAACGACGCGGCCGGGGCGCCTGACAGCAAGCCATCGAGCCCGGCACAACTACTGCTAGCTCCTCCACGGGGAGGCGGTGACGCGGGTGCCAACTTGGGCTCGGATGGAAGCGCCGGCGGCTCCGGCAACAAGCGCGCGTCCAGCGACGGCGCCAATCAAGGCGGCAACTCCACCGAGAAGATGAGCAGCGGTGCTACAACGCTCAAGCGCGCCACCGGTTCCAACAAGAAAGCAGACATCGAGAACGAAGACGATACAAATGGTCGGCAGTCTTCACCCGCTCAAGAGGGCGACAACTTCACCCAGCGCGTGCTCCGCAAGCAGCGCAGTATTTCCGGGCGCATCTTGTCCGCGCAAGAGGCCTTCGCCATGCCCGCGGGCGCAGGTCTCCCGGCAGCAACCACTTCGGGGCGCCAGCCGACAACGGGTCTCCAGCTGTGTGGAACCCTCCTCCCGAGTACAAGCCGGACGGCGCATTCTGTATGGTCAGCGTCCCTGCGCGTCTAGATCACATCGGCAGCAACCGCTTTGTCCGCGAAGGGTATGGCGGACTGGAAGTGCTAACGTCGAACGAGGGGCTCACTGCTACGGACTTGGCCGAACTGAATGAGCTGGTCGGCGAGCGCGAGGATGTCAACGAATTCTTCCTTCGCCCTCTTGACGATTCGCCCAACCCGACCGAATTGGAGACCCTGCTCAATTCTCTCTCTGCGCATCGCGAGATGGCTTCCATTCTGTCTGTCTACGAGTGTCGCGACTTGGCTGCGCGGGTATTCGGTATGACCACCATCATGCGGCGCATGCTCGTCAAGTACCGATTCATGCGGCACCAAGTTGAGACGCAGGGATCCGGTACGGCCGACATGCTGTTCGCCGCACAGAAGGAGAACACGCAACTCCAGATCGCGATGGGTCAGATGGTCGGGCAGTGGCAGGTCATCACGGACCACCTCAAAGAAGAGAAGGAGAATACCACAGAGCGTTACCGGGCGGACTTCAAGATATTGATGGCCGAGCACGAAAGCGAGAAGCAGTCTCTGCGGGACCAGATCTCAGCGCTGGAGGCTAAACTCGGTACATCCAACGAGTGTGTCGAGTCTCTCGCGTCTCACGCCTTCGACGTGGACCGCATGATGAACTTCCTGAACCGCAACCAGACCAAGGTGACCGGAAACTGGCGGCGTCTGGAAGAGCTGTTTAAGCACCACAAGCTCGGTACGACTCAGCCGTCCGAATGGCAGACATTGACCAACGTCACTTCGGCTGACGACATGTTCGCCGAGCCCGGTCCGTTCAACTTTCGACACGAGGACGACACCGAAGAGAAGGACAACGGCGACAAGTCCGGACCGGATGGCAACTCCGGACCGAGTGGGGGCACCAAACCGAGCGGCAGGCGTGTCTCCATTCTGGATCATACCGGTGACTCCAGACCGAATGAGCAGGCTTCTACGCGGCCGTCATCCGGTACGTCCAAGTGTCAGCATGAGGTGCCGGACCAGGTGCAGTGGCGTCCTATTGCATGGGATGCGTCAGGCGACTCTGCTCGTCCGGTTGGCAAGGAGTACCTGATCGACGAGAAGACAGCGTGCGCCTCCTTGGCCAACCTCCCGATCGTGTGGCGCAAACTCCGCACCGACGTCCAGTTGGTCATGCACACCGGAATGACGTATCACGCCGCCATGAAACTGCTGGACAAGGATACAATGGCTCACGACATGTTCTCCCCGTTCGATTTGTCCTGCATGCTGGCGCGCATGATGTTCTGGAACCGCTTGGACTCCACGTACTGGACGACGTACGTACCGGAAATCTACTACCTGCGCGCAGAGGCGATACTTGAACGGTGGACCGACAACGATGAGACACCGGAATACTGGCCGGACCGGATCGACCATACTCAGGACGACAGCGACTTGCTTCTCGGGCCGGATGACACCGAGGGTGACAGCGAGAGCCGTGACCCCGAGTAGGAACCCAGTGCGGAAGAGAAAGCCAAGATCGCTCGGGCTGAGACCAGAGAGGATAAGCTGCGCGCGCTGCCGGTGCTGTTACGGGACTCGTCAAGCACTCAAAATCCGGTGTCACCTCTTCGCAGGTCCAAGCGTCGTACCAGTTCGATGTCGTCGCAGTCGGATTCGGTGTCCAGTGCGCCCCCGTCCAAGAAAAAGAGGAAGGTCCGACCGAGCGACGAACGCAAGAAGTCGCCCCTGGCCCGCAAGGACATGGAGGACCTCACACCGGAGGAGTTGACGGTGATCGAAAAGCCGGGTCCGGGCATCACGTCTTGGCGCCACAAGGGGATTCTGACTACGTTCGCACCCAGTACGGTTAACGCTGTCGACCAGTCTCCCGGGTTTCCTGATTACGCACCGAATCACAATGGTGGTTCGAAACCCCTGAAGGCGCGGTTCCGGTCCGACGAGTACGAGGACATTCTGGACAGCAATCCCTGTGAGCGCATGTTTCGTCGACGCATCGTACACCTTCTGTTCCACAAGCGCAGCGCGCTACCAGATAGCGCTCTCGAAGTTCTGTCCGAAGTCGTGGTCTACATGAAGGAGAACGCGTCGACTTTCTGGCACGCCGGTCACTGGGTCACGTTCGACGCAGACAGCATGGAGGCCGCCAAGGCCCAAGTGGCACGCAAGAAACTCCATGACGCAGCCATCAAGGACTACAACAAGTTGGTCGTCAAGCTGAAAGCGTCCGGAGCACCCCAGACCATCCTGTACGAACCGGGCATTTGGGTGTACCCCGCCAAGCTCTGTCACTGGATCCTGTTCGACCGGTCGGAGACAAACGTCGGCACCGAGCCATACACAATGATGGAGCAGTTGGCGATCCTGGACCGCGTGGAACCCGCCCGCATCCAGTGGACCGGATGGTCCACCAAAGACTTGATCGCTGAACGACCTCCGGAGATCCGGGACATGCTTCTGACTCCAGACGAATTGCGCGGCAACTGGGTCTCCGTCGAGCACCAAAACTAGTCGCACATTCGGTGTCGCTTTCCGCTAACTGCATAATTCCACACACTTCATGTCCATCACTCGTCTTCCGTTCCCTTGTCACTCATTCGGTCTGCCTGTTCCAGATTCGGTCCGTCCACTCCGGATTCGGTCCGTTCACACTCGTTCATTTCACCACCACTTGTTCATTTTGTCTGCTAACACTCAGTCTCATTCACAATATCCACACGTCGTCGTTATCAAATCCACAGTCGAAAATCACATTCAGGTTCAATCACTTCACAGATCGGCGGTCAGGATCGGTCGAGTCATCTGGTGTGCTATACACTGGGGTGGTCATCACCAGCCTGCATAGACTGGAACCGGGCCTTAGCGCGGGCACTCTGGTTGAACTCATACAGAAGTGCACCACAGTTGAGCTGGGTTACTGGCAACCATTCCGGATCATCGTATCCTTTCCACTTGACCTGGTACTCGCAAATTTGCTTGGATGTGCGAGTGCGCTTGGTCCACCGGAGGTCCAGAATCTTTTCCACTTCATACTCGTCATTCTGTTCGTCCGGCTCCCAACTGTCCTCAGGCAACAGCGCCGCATCGAAATCGTCATCGTCATTCAGTTCGAGCTCCACCGTGGGTCGTTTCGGGAACAACGCTCGAGGCTTGAGACGACTGATGTGTACCCACGGGTTGACGCGGTATCCTGTGTCCTCCACCTTGAGCTTCACGCGGAAGTCGTCATGGACCTCGTCAATCCTGAACGGTCCGTGCCACATGTGGGCCAACTTGCGGCTCAATCCTGTCTGGACCTTGGGGATGTAAAGCCACACCGAATCTCCCTTCTCGAATCCGGTCTTCAATCGTTCGGAGAGTTCTTTCCACTTTCGTGTCTGCTCCTCAGATCGTGCCCGTTTCGCCTGCTCGGAAGATCCTCAGCACATGCAATCGCGTAACTGTAGTCGCGCTGACACTTCCGACGCCACTCGTACGCTGTACGCTCGGGCACACTGGATGGTTTCGGTCCCAGCATCGCCGACACCGTTCCCTGTGCGTCCCAACCGTGTACCAGATAGAATGGTGCATCCAGTCTGGTCGCGTCGAAAGAAGTATTTAGTGCAAAGATCAGTCGTTCTGCATGGTAGATTGGTCTGCCTCGGCAATGTAGGCGCGGACGCTCCGAATGGCGGTCTGGACGGACCGCTCCTGTTGGCCGTTCGCCTGAGGGCGATTGGCCAAGGTCGCGCGTTTCGGCTACCCAACAGCTCCCGAAAACGAGTGAACACCTCACTCATGAAACGAGGGTCCTGATTGTGTCTGATCATCGATGACGCACCGAAATTCCGAAAGACTCTCTCGTCGTACGCTTCAGCCACATCCTGTGCCGTCGTAGACGGCATGGGTTTACACATCACGTAACCAGAGAATGAATCTTGGAACAACAGCAGGAAGGTGTTTCCCCGCGCTGACTTGGGCATGTGCGTCACGAAATCCATAGACACCACTTCGAATGGGCGTCGAGGCTCGATGTTACCAGGCGACGGTCCAGGATTGGGAGGTCGCCCCTTTCCGCTTGCACAATCGACACACTCTTTCACGAAACGTTCGACATCGGCATACACACCGGGTCAATAGAATTCGGTCCGGAGTCGTTCGTGCGTGCGTGTGATGCCTTGGTGTCCACCTTGGAAATCCTCGTGAGCGTAGTGCAACAGGTCGGCGTACAGAGTCTGGGGCACCACCAGGCAAGGTTCATCCTGTACGTCCCGAGGTCGGTCCCGTGTGGAACGCGCGAGTCGGTACAGAACACCCCTGGCGTCCAGCGCAAACAGATCGGAGAGCTTCGCAATCTTCCGTAGTCGCCTGGGAGAGAATCGATCCAGGTCTCCACTCAGATACGCTCTGACTTCTGCGATGAACTCATCCTGGTCCTGGAGCGCCTTAATTCTTCGCCACCGTTCAGCTTGGAACTCCAGCGGACCCAATGGCTCGCTGGATTCGGTCTGCTCCTGGGTTCTCGACCGGGTTAAGACCGCCATGACTCGAGCACAGTTGGGTAGCGGTGCTGACCCAGGATCCTGTTCGGCACTGTCTGGTGTCACCTCATCCGGTGTCGCTGCTGCCTCGGTCGCATCTCCATTCGGTACGTCTTGACCAGCTTCGGTTACATCCGGTGTCACAACAACTGGCTTCATCAGCTTCTCATGAATCTTCGATACTCGCTGCAGGTGGGTTCGCTCCTCTTCATCCCGTACGGTCCACGTGGCACCAAGCGCTAATGTCTTGGAGGTTAGGTAATCCGCGGCTAAGTTGTACTCACGCTTAACGTGAACCAGTCGCAGCGTACCGAATCGCCCCTCCAGAGTTTTGCACTGGGCCAAGTGTCGTTGGAGGTTGGGCTGGTTGCAATTGATCAGCCCTTGGACCTGCTGTATCACGATGCGAGAGTCTCCAACCACAATCAGGTCCGTGATACCACGGTCAAGTGCGACTCCGCAATCCGGTCCAGATGCTCCCTGGGGGTAATCCCCGCACCCAGTATAGTAGCCAGACCATCTTCGTCCCGCTGGATGCGGCGAACTTCCAGATCCCACTGAGATAGGGCGACGCCCCACGGCACACAGCAGCCATCCGCAGATTTGGACTGGATCACCCACTTGATTACCGAATAACGGGTGTACACAATCAACGGGCACCCTTCCAGGATCGTCCTGAACACATCCAGCACTCTCATGACCGCAATGACTTCCTTCTCCGCGGCGTGGTACCGAATCTCTGATTCATTCAGTACGCGCCCCGTGAAACGCACGGGCTGGATCAGTCCGTCATGCTCTTGTCCGAGGACCGCGCAGGCGGCCCACTTGTTTTGCGTGCGGGACGATGATGAACGGCTTGGTTCGGTCCGGATGTCGGAGCAACGCGGTAGACACGCTCTTCCGCTTCAGAATCTCGAACGCCTCCTTCGCTCTTGACAGGTCCCTGCCGGCGCGCACCTGATCATCACTGAGCTCGTACAGAACTGCGGTCACTACCGGAAAATCTTCGATGAACTTGTGGTAGTAATTCAGACTGCCCAGGAAAGACTGAATGCCCTTCAAAGTGGACGGGAACGACAGATCCAGTACTCCCTTGGCGATCTTCGGTGTCGCTCGGAGCCCTTCAGCACTGATCTCGTGCGATAAGTACGGAATCGAGCGCTTACCGAATTCGCTCTTCGGCAGACTGACCGAAATGTTCCAATACCGCAACCGGAAATGTAGTGCATCTAGGTCAATACACAGTTGATCCCACGTAGGCGCCCCGTGCGCGATGTCATCGATGTACGAACTCCGTCCGAGGACAGGACCCATCTGCATCGGCGCCAGAATATTGCGCTGGAACACTGTCATCTGGTCCGTCAATGCAGGAAGTTGTCGACCGGACAGGATCTCCTCGTCAGATTCGGTACCGCTCAGCGCGACATTGTCGTCTTGCGGCTTCAAGCCCAGAGAATCCAGTACGTCCTGGTCCACTTCGGCTTCCTCATCGGGCGGCGACCGAACAAAACACCACAAGCAATTCTTGAGCACCTGCTGGTAGACCAAAGGAGCATTTTTCAGACCGAATGGCATGCGTCGCCACTGGTAGTGACCAAATGCCGGCACAAACGCCGAAATGAGCTTGGCTCGCTCCGTCATCCTGATCGCCCAGAAGCCGCTGGCCATATCCAGGCTCATCAACCACATCGCACTCTCGAAACCGATCAAAAGATCATCGATAAGCGGGAGCGGATAGTTGGACAAATGGATGAAACCATTCACAAGTCGGTAGTCGATGCACATCCGAATGTCAACTCCATTTTTCTTCAGCACGATCACGATTGGTGAAGCCCAGGGTGATGTGGACGTCTCGATCAATCCGGTCTCCAGCGACTTCTTCAGCAACTCGTACACCTTCATCGCGAGATGCGGTGCGATCGAACGAGCTCTCTGTGCGACCGGCTTGGCATCTCCCACATCCAGATCGCAAACGACTCTACGAGCTGGGGCAGGTGCTGCATTGCCGTCGCCTAAGAAAATCCGCCGGTGGTACTTCAGAATGCCACGCAACCGGCGTTCATCATCCAGTCTGCTCACACCAGGTTCACCAACATCTGCTTTGTCAATGTCGCATTCGGGGCTCAGATCCTGTACCTCCGGAAGGAGGGCAAGCTGATCTCGCAACTGCGACAGCAGATCGCTACCTTCGTGGATGTACACGACAGGCTCAAAAGCCAGTTCTTCAGCATTCAGTCGCATAACCCGTTCGTACTCCATCTGGAGCTTCTGGACGGGAGTGCCGGACAGAATCTGGGAAGCTAAGTCGGACACATCTTCCACGGTCTCATCCAGTCCGTCTTCCGACACTTCGTATTCATCCGGTGCGACCGCGTCGAAAAAAGTGTCTTCCTCTTCATCCGGTGTGGCACTCTCATCTGGTGCGACCACGTCAAAGAACTCGTCGTCATCATCCGATTCGGTATCATCGAAGGAGATTTCATCGCCGTTCTGACTCGCAGCGGGTTTCGGTATGCTATCTGGCTCGGCTTCACTGGTCAGGGGGGTTAGGCGCTTGAACGTCTCCTCCTCCTCAACCAGGTCCTGCAGGCGACTCCACAATCTTGTCCGACTTGACTGCTGGATTCTGTAGCACCGCTGTGAAACACGTCACGTCCTTCTTTCCGTCCGGATGCATCATCAATTTGGTCGGCCAGGTGTACTTCGCAGGTTCCACGGCGGGCGGTTCACGATCCCAGAGCGCCTGGAGGCGGCGTTACTCTCGCAGCTTGCCCTGCTTCGACAGAGTGTTCTCATAGATCAACACCTGCCACCCCTTGTACGCCCTTGATCCTGGACGGACAAAACGCCCCACTGATGGGAAGAATCCATACTCCACAATGTAGGTCAACGTCGTTCCGGCCGTTATCCAGAGATTGTACTCCGAGATGTTCACCACCTTGACCGCCTCGGGCCAGGACTTCGCTCCGTACACGGTCTTGGTCACCCAGCGGTCGCCACGTCCGGCCCACACCACCTCGCGTTGTGGTTGGCTTGGCCGAACCGAATGCGCACGACAGCTTCATCACCAGGTCGGAGGTACAGGGTCTCCGGCGCTTGGACCGGCAACCTCATCCCTTGCCGACGCTGCACCTTGTCTCCGTACATGAGAAGAGGCTCTTCATCCGGTAGCTGCAGAAGTACCTCGCGGATGCATAACCGAACTCCAGCACAGAACATAAAGTTCATACCCAATAATACGTCCACACCTTCACCGATATTTGCGACCCAGACATCCATGACATAGACCACACTCGCACCGAGCGTGATCTTGACTTGGGTGCTGGCAGAGATGTAGGTGGGTTTGCCACCCAGTCCGGAGACCTTGATCTGTTTGTGTAGGTTGATCTTGATCTTGAGTCTACGCGCAAGATCCAAACTGATCATGCTCACCGACGCTCCAGTGCCCAACAGAATCTCCAGTCGCAAATCGTTCACTGCACCATGCACCGTAGCCACCTCATGCGAGTCCTTATCCGGTTCGTGATCAACCCACCATCCGTACCGCTCACCGGGTTCCAGCTGAAATTCGGTCTGCCCGTCCGGTCCTCGCGATCCAGAATGGTTCCGTACAGAATAGTCGTCAACTTGATCAGACTGAATCGGGTCGTCATTGCTCAGAGAAATCATGCATTGTTGGTGGTTATCTTGGTTGTTGGTCCTCAGCTCCGGTCCGATATAGGCTATCACACACAATTCAGGGGGCTTACGCCCGGCGCGTACTGGGTCCCCACCCAGCGGGCTTAGTGGTTTAACTGCCCACCTGAATCTGCCTTGTCGTCCAGCAGCTGATCCAGTATGTTCTTCGGTATGTCCTTCAGGGCTCCTTCTTGTGCCAGCTTCTTCAGCTCTTCCACGGTCTTCGCAAGTCCACACAGTCCGTTATGGAACCGACCGCAGATTCTGCACGGGATGGTCTTGCACACCCGCATCATGTGTCCTTGACGGTGACAACGGTCACACACGATGTCCATCTAGCAATTCTCCTGTCGATGTCCAGGCCTTTCACACTTCTCGCAGAACTCGTGCCAGTCCGAATTACTTCCTCTTGGCGACGGCGGTGCGGAGGACGGACCGAATCTCGACGCCCCTGACTGCTGTTCCGGAGGCGGCGGCTTCCATCCTGAACCCGTCATCACACGGAACACCGCATTGCGCAGAACGTCTTCATTCAGTACCGCCAGGGTTGGATCTGGTCCGGCTGGTCGTGCTGGGGCAGGCGGGACCGGATCATGATTCGGTGCGGTCGTCAGTGTGCGGCTCTCCGCTTCATCCTGGAAGCGCACGTGTCGATCCTCCTTATCCGATTCGTCTTCGCTCTGTGCGATGTAAGCACGTCCCGCAGGTTTCGGTCTGTACCGCTCGCGATCTCGGTCTCGGTCCCGACGCGGATTGTCCGCGCGGAAGTCACGTGTTCTGGACGAGTTCTCGCGTTCACTGTCCTGGTAGTCGTCTTCATGCTGACGCAGAATTAACTCCAGGTCGTCGATGCTGTGTATGCGCTGACTCTTCAGACTGGACCGCAACCTTGATTCGGAGAGGTTCCGGATGAACCGCTTGATGTGCATCTCCCGCGTCCTCGGCGACTTCTTGAAGTTCACATTCGCCTTGTTCGCCCCAGCATTCAGTCGGTAGAAGAAGTCGAGGGCCGATTCGGTCCGCTTCTGAGCCATGGTATAGTATCGCCCCGAATCGGACACCTTCGACCGACAGTACTTGTTCTTGAACGCGCGGGGCAGCAAACGCCAGGTGTCGCGTGTGTGCCTCGGCAGTTGTTGACGCCAGTTGCGGGCAGACGAAGGCAGCTTCAAACGCAGCTCGTATACCTTCATGCTGCCCGTCCAACCACCTTGGACCGTCAGGGTGAGGAATCGCTCCCTCCATGTTGTCCGTTCCTGGTATGGGGCCTTGTCGTCGAAGTCCTCGAGCGAGCCGGAGCTCACATACGGTCTGAAGTTCATCACTGTCTTGCCATATTGTGTCGTCACCGACGTGGAGTGCGTGGGCACGTTAGCCAGCGAGTCGGACGACTCGCTGGAGCTGTAGCCTTCGTCGTAGCCGTCGTCCGAGCTCGAGTCCGGGTCAGATCCGGAGGGTTACCGCTCTCGCGGCTCCGCCTACCGGATGGGCGCTTGTGCGCCCCAGAACCGGTGTCCCTCGCGTCCTTGGAGCCTTCACCCTTCATGGGCGGCTTCTTGGCGTCCTTCGCAGGGGCATCCTGCTTGCCCTTCGCCGGCGCAGCCAGCGCAGCGAGCGCCTTGGTCGCTCGCGCCTTGAGAACACCATCGATCGTCGCTTGGAGTTGGGCTGCTAGAAGCTCGTCGGGGCGTGGCGTCGCAGACCCGATGGGCGCCTGGTCGGACTGGATAGGCGCACTCGCAGCTGGGTGCAGAGTCGCACGCCCGGTCTCTGTCTTCACTTGCGACACCGAATCAGGTCCCGATGTTGCTTGAGCAGCTGGATTTTCCTGGCGTGTTGCACGAAGGTTGTGCAACTGGTGGGCCTGAAACCGCTGAATGTTCCGGGAAGATTCTCGCTCCCTCTCTCGCTCCACTTCAAGTTTGTGGACTTTCTCTTGGAATATATCCAGTTGAGCGTTCAGTCCCCGCTGGACGTCTTCGATCCAGCGTGCTCGGTCGGCTTCGGCCTGCGCTTCCTGCTGCTTCCAGCGTTCGGTGAACTCCGCGGCAACGCGTTCGCGCTCCAGGCGCGCCGCCTCGGCGCGGGCGCTCTGTATGGCGGCGGCGACGACTTCGTGCTCTTGGATCGGCGATACCGGGGACGGGCCGGACAGGATCGGGGGCTCCGGGACCGGAGCATTCTGTCCCAATCCGGTCTGCCGACTACCTTGGAGGACAGCGGTGCGTCCGGCGAGCTCCTGAATCGCGTGGAGCGCGTTCTGGAGTCCTTCACCCAGTCGAGCTGTGTTCGCAGCGGACGCCTCCTGATTCAGCTCCATCCTGGCAAGGGCTTCCTGAGTCTGGCGCATCGTATTGAGCGCGACTTGGGAGGCCCCTGACATCACGGACATCGCGGAGTGACTGAACTGACCGGATCGACTCGATCTGCTCGACCGACTCGGTGCGCGCTTCGACCTCGACGATCTTCGGCGGCGACTCCGGTCGTCCTCGCTGGAATCCGACTCGCTTGGTGACGGACTCCGCTTCTCGCGCCTGGACGTCGTTCGCGGACCGGATGACGCTCTCGACCTTCGGTCACTCCGGACGGTGGTGCGATCGGACTCCGACATAACGACATCGTCCTGATCCACCGCCGTCGATGACCGAGGGAGTGCGCTCCGGATGATCTACACGGTTCCTCCGCTAGTGCCGGACTGAATCATCCCTGCTTGCGCGGTCATCACAATGGGTCCGTACCCAATCGCGGACATGTGCCTCGCGGCATCGTGTCCAGACCACAGCGACGACGAAGACGAGCTGCCTCTGGACGACCGAGCTCCCGATGCCGCACTGAATGTCGACTCGTTGGATCCGGCCGTCGTACCGAACAAGCTCGAATCAAGATGGCGAACGGGACGGCGGACCGAATTGAACCAGCGCTCCGGTACCAGATGCGCGTCCAGACTCGCTGGATGCGTGGTACGAAGGGAGCGACGACAGCGACGGTGTGGACAGCGGCGGCGCGGACGGGATCGACGATGCGGACTGGATGAACGACCGGCGAGGCGGTCCGTACTGCGGGCGCTTGGAATCCGGTTCGCCGGTGGACGACCCTTGCGGGCTCCGTGTCCGCCGGAGTCCGGCCACTCGTAGACGCAGGACAAACTCGCGACCCAGTAGTCCAGCCTCGTAATCCGACATCAATAGATCTCCGTCGTTGTCTTCAGCATGGTAGTCCAGGATCGGTGCTCGCACAGCTTGCTACGGCGTCGATCCAGTGTTCCCAGCATTCGGTCCGGTCAGGTCTTGAACGTCCGGCGCATCCAGTACGATCTTGAAAGGCACACCGGATGCCAGCTCGCGCCACTCGATCAGCTCGAACGCGAGGAAATGCTGGACGTCTTCGACCACAGAGCGCACCAGGCTCGGTGCGACTCTGGAGGACTTGGAATGGAACCACATCGGAATCAGGTTGTGAAACCTGAAACCGGCAGCGAAGAGGAGGGACTGGATGAGCGCAACGCACTCGCGCGGCGAAAGAATGCTCGGCGGAATCACGATACCCGTGACATCCTGGGCCAGACACTGCTCAAGCCGTACTGAATCCAGTTCCGCGATCCATGCAGCATCTTGACTTGCCATCGCCATTCGGTCCGACAGGTACTTCGACGTCGCCAGCGCGGCGGCCCACCATTCGGTGAAGTCGGGTGCCGGCTCGGGCCAGGCATACTCCACCTTGAGCGGGACGACAGCGCTTTCACGATGCTGCTCCCAGCGGCGCACTTGCTCGGCCACGTATGCCTTCGCCTGAGCCTCGCTCACTTGGGCCTTGGTCTCGTCGGGTCCTCGCGAATCCGAGGGCGCCAGACCGTATTGGGCTTCAATCTTGAGCGCGGGTGCTTGGGCAGTCGCGGCCGGACCGGATGGCGCAGGGGCAGACCGGGTCTCGGCTTCGTCGTTCAGTACGCCGTCTTCTTGGACAGTCGACAGCGGGCCTTCGTGCTTGATCGTCGGGGCTTCATCCAGAATCTCGACTTCGTCATCCGGCTGGGGAGAGTCCGAAACTCGATCCTCAGCCGGGGGCTCAACCTCATCGGCGCCTCCCACAGACGCCTGGGCGGGTTCATCATCCTGTGCGGACTCACCCTCATCCAGTCCCGTCGCCGGGTCTGGGACACATTTGGTGCCGGCCGGCACAGACTCGGTCGAGTCCGCCTCCGGAGCCTCATCCTGGTTTGCTTGGTGCGCATCCAGAACGGAGGACTCCGGGGCCGCTTGATCTTGAACGGCCGCCGACGCCTTCTTCTTCCCTTCCAGGGCCACCTTGCGCTTCTCAGCACCAGCCTTCCGAGCCTCCCGGAGAACGTCGTCCAGGGCCTTGTGCTCCGCCGGCGGCAGCCCTTGTCCTCGACGCGACTGACGGGACGCCTCACCGCGTCCGCCTCCGCGTCCACCTTCACGTGCTTCCTTCCTTCCAGTCATAACCAAACGGTTAGTCCAGGTAGTCAGTAGAAACACCCCTTAAGACCAAATCAATATACAAACAACTCGCGGTGAAACCCTAGGCAACCAAATCCGGGTACGCGCACCAGCTGAGTCGAGGCGGGTGAACGCCTTTATCGTCCAGGGTGTATAGCGCACTATGCCGAACCGAATGAATTCGGGTTCGGAGTACCAGAGATTGTCCACGCGATAGACAGCCCACGGGACACTGAATGACCCGGGCCTGGAACCGCTTGGACGCGCCGAATCGCACTAATGCGGTCCGGTGTTTGGCGTGTGTCCTTGTGTCAACCCCTATAGGTATCGTTTACCTTTGGCGGACCGGATTTCACCGAGTTGAGTTGTTGCGATACAGAATAAAGTCTGCTGGGTGTGTTCCTGGGATAAACCACACCGAATGAACAGAAGGTCAGACCGAATGAAAAGGACCACAGTCAGATCCGTAATTCAGAATAACCAACACAGAGAAATACAATACCGAGCTAAACGTCACAAAATATACAGCCACCACTTATTCTTTGAGACCCTTGGGTGGGGGGTCTATACACCAGTCAACTTCGGAGCCGTCACCCAAGGCACTGGCCAGCCCTGGATGCACACTCACTTACGCGCACCACCCTCACAGAATGAGGGAACAATACAAAATATAATTCAGTCCTATCACACAGTAGTCAATCAATTCGGTCTGGGGGGTGACTACCTCAACCACCAAAGACACACAGTAGGGAATATGAAATGGATGCCCGGTTAGAGCACGCAAATAGAAAATAAAGCTCTCACAGGTCACTCCGGGGTGCGACACCCCAGTCACTGCCGATTTTGCCTTGGTACCTTTGAGTCCCCACTACACCAGTGCTCGCTACACCAGTGAGGCCTTGGAAGCGTCCCTAAACTGGCTTAGACCGCGCGCAGGCAGTCTCCTGGAGGGCTCTTGAAGACGTCAAAGTCGGGGTGCTACTTCTGCCCCGAGCACAGAGTCGTCCGCGTGTTCTTCGGCAAATTGGTTTCTGTTTAGATTTTACGTTTGGCTAGTTATCTTCTATCACTTCGCTGACTTTAATGTAGGTTTCACTATGATTCGCGTGTCTTGAGTATGCTTGTGCTTCTTGGCAGTTCTTCAGTATGCTTGTCTTGGTTTCGGTATGCGGAGACTTGTTGATGGTGACACTTGTTCGGGTACACTCATCAGATGATGAGGGAGGTATCTGGGTATATCGTCTCTTCGTCTTGGAACTGGACCTCTCCCTTGGATCTGCGGCTCATTCGGTGCCGCCCGTGGATCTTGGGGGATCTTGGTCTCGTCCGGTCTGGATCGACGCCGCTGTGCGAACACACTGGACTAGTTCTTGGTGCGTCTACATCCAGTGTGGGCACGGGGGGGGGGGGGGGGGGCGGACCGAATGAACGATCCGGTATGTCCCCATCCGGTGTGGCACTTCTTCATTCGGTACGCCATCACCGGGTGCACCACGATCCGGTCCGGACAACACGAGGCTTCATCCAGCAGGGTCTTGCGTGCGCATGATCGTGTCTGGTGGGGCCAATTCAGTGGGGTAGCCCGACAACTTGACTAACCAATTCAGGCAGTGGCCAGGATACGTTCGCTGGCCACACTTTCGCGCCTTGGGCCTATCCTGCAGTTAGGGAAGTCGGCGGACGGACTGGATTCGTGACTCCACACCGAATATGAGCGCTCATCCGGTGGGCGCATCTCCAATCCTGTGCGCCCATGCCTGCTGCAAGTGCCGGGTCCCACCAAATCTCCACACACATCCACAATCCACACGTCACACTCGTCTCTACCGGATCTCCATCTCATGCGACCAATCACAGCTCACCGAAGGGTCCACGTATCCATGGGGTCGGACATGAGTGCAGACAAAAAACTGTTTCCACATCGTGTCATATATGGGTTTGGACTATTACTACGGCGTCCATTTAGAGGGTTGAGGCGCCAACAATGGCGACCATTTAGAGAATAAAGAGGTTTTTGATCAGTTATAGAACATCTATAGTGAAATCCATATAATCCCGTTAGAAGTCGAGGAATCCTAACCAGATAAGGAACACATAGTCAGTTAGTCAGTTAGAGGGATTCATTTAGGGAGGTGTCACTGTAGCAAGTTGCACAACTGGCTGATACAGACAAAGCCTTGAGAGGGGTATGGTGTGGCAGGCCACTGTCACACGTGCGCCACCGCGTGTGCGCGGTGGCCAATCAGAGCTCACTATAGGTTAAATGGTGGGGACGGTCTCGGGTTTCGATACCGTCTTCACATCGAATGAACAGGGTTATATTTCCCTGCGCCTGTGTAGGCCAGTAACGGTCTAGGCCCGTCATCACCGAGCAATTCAGCTATCGACTCAATTAGAGCAAATCGAAGTTCCTATTGACTGTGACATGCATTTCGCTGCCTACGATTTAGAACGGTCCATGAATATATATAATGACGGTGTTTGTGTTATGATTCATATCACGATTGGTCACGCTCTGTAATTGGTTGGACAACATAATATTTTGATTAGGCCATTTGCTCTAGCACTCTTTGAGACCGGCAAAGTCAAATGTAACAACGACAAACTCTTCTGTTCTCATCGGATTCATTATAAACTAGTTGGATAGTTGCGGAAATGAGCAAGCAGCATACCCACGGAGTGTCATCACCTCAGTATCACCTCAGTATTCTATGCGGACAACAACGAGTCCGAGCTCACTTGAGTGCACCACCGCGAGCACTAACCTGATGCAAAATACACCACTGAGCCTCCACAAGTCCACCATGCTGTCAAATTAGTATCATTAGTGCTGTTCACATACACAGAAGAAAAATATAGGCTATAAGCATTAGCAGCTACCCGTAAAGCATTTCCAATCCTTGCTCGTTGCTCGCCTCCTCATCAGGTGTGTATGTACTAGTTTGAGTCTGCACCGGCGCCTTCTAGAGGTCCTTAATAACGTTACGCCGAGGAAGGCTTGGCCGCTGGTGATCGACAACGATAGCATGTATCTCGGTGCGTACGACCGTGGGCGTGGTTGTCCATGGCCACTGCCCCGGGAAGGACTTGATGGTGAGCGCGGTCTGGTCGATCTGCACGGGGGTTGCCCTCGTACAAACCGAGCTCTGCGGGCACGGCTGAGTCGGCCGACAGAGTGATGCATACGAGCAGCGCGGCGTTGATGGTCTGATGCACGTCGCGGATGCCCTGGGCCTTGAGCTCGACGCAGGCCTTGAGCGCGGCCACTGCGGTGCCGACCCCGAGAGAGTCGTACCCGCCAACGACGTTGAGCAGCTGCAGGAATAGCAGCACGAAGAAGTCGGGCCTGTTCTTGGTGATGGTTTCCACGAGGAATTGGCTCCGCGGAGCGGGCAAATCCAGCCACTTTGCCACGACCCACACCGGTTGTGTGATGCCGCTCTTGGTGCACATCGCCGCCTACGCTTCGCCGTGCTATTCCACGATGTCTTGATGTCCGTCAGCTCACGGTGTCTGCATCACCATTCTCGACGTGCGTCATCCTCTTTTGATTTATCGCCTTGAGACCGTAGCGAAAGGTCATGATTTCGTCCGTATCACAGTTATCGTAACTCTACCTCATTTATATCGCACCGTACTCAAGCCGAGTAAAAATGTCATAGATCATCTGGTCATTCACGCCAACTGTGATAGATTTGAGACATACATGTGCCTTTTCCCAGGAAGAAGGAACCGGAGCGCGACGTGGTCTTGTCAGTTGGCGATTCAAGTCGAGAAGCAGAAACATGGGCGCGGGGAGCACCGCGCCCGAGGAGCACGGCGCCTACGAGGAGACGTTGTAGCGATGGGCGCTGTACGACTGCAGCGCCGTCGTGGTGGGGCAGAGGCGACGATGAGATGGCCGAGATCTTCCGGCGTTGGCTCGCGACGCGGAGCAAGCCCGTCACGCCGATCGGCGGCGTGACCCTGAGATCGCTGGATTCGGCGTGGACCGTGTTCCTCGAGCGCTGGAACACGGCGACCGGGGCTGCGTTCGTCCGGAAGCTGGAGGTGCGTGAGGCGACGCATGCTCGTATGGCTCTCGGGCTTTGGCCTCGCAGGTTTGCGCGCTGTTGTGGGAGTCCAATCGCCGCCGCTGCCTCGTACACTTTCTGGATGGCTGTCAGAGCTGACGCGGGTGTTGCCCGCGGACCAACACGCTGGAATGGCTGGACATCCTCGAAGACACCACATTGTCGAGGACGGAGCGTGACGTGACTGGACGATACCGCGAGGCGCTGGACGCCTTTAGGCGCGGCGGGCGAGCGCCGCGCCACCTGGAGGACTTACCACCGGTGCGAGGCTTGCCTCGTACGCTGCCACCCAGTCCGGAACGTCCGCAAACAGCACCGCCCGCGGCTCCCAGCTATCCGGCATCGGGCCCAGCCAACGCACAAGATACTGGCGGTGTGCAGGAACGGCAGCGTCACGGTGGGAGACGCTAACCTCTTCGTGGGGCAGCACGAGTATCGTCGTGCCGTAGAATCTCCTCCACGATATGGCGAACGTTGCTCGCACTATCCAGTAGAGGGGCAGGACCGCCGCGCTCGAACGGAGGGGCGCGATCGCTTTCCGGAGGCTGAGATAGCTCAGCGTCTGGATCGGATGAATCAGTGGCTTAACGCGCTCCAGCGGAAGAATGAAGACCTGCGTCGTCGTGTGCGCTGGCAGGAGGCGCCGCGTCAGGAGTAGGCGCCGCAGGAACCGCGTCGGGGCACTCGTCGCTGGGGATAGTCACTACCAGGTAGCGTCGCAGGCGACCGACGTAGAAGGTAGGATGAAGTCGCAAAGCTGTAGGTAGCTGTAGTGTGTAGGCGTCACCTATATCTTATCTTGAACGGTCTAATAAAGCGAGGTGCGAGCTTATTCGCGTCCACTACCAGTTTAGGTTGAATGCCGGCCATGGATAAAAGGACACGGTCGCCCACAGCAAATCGCTCGAAGTTCTTGCGGTCACGGCGATCGGCATTCGCTTTCTGGTGGTCGACGGCCGTCACGATCGGGCCATGCACATAGCGGACGTCGGATTGGCGACGCTGCAGGAACTCGGTGGCAGCCGCTACACCACGCGACTGTGGTTCAGGATTGGGGTCGAATTTGCAGGAGGAGACGCGGCGGCTTCCACCGCGCCCGGCGCGTCTTGATACTCAACTACACGACGACGCTGACTCGGATCAATCAGTGTCCAACGCGTCCAGGCTGCGATGTTGGATGGTGTCGCCCTCGTGGTGGCACCCACATGCGTGGCTCGCCTGCAGGAGAAGCGGTTGGCCTCTCCGATACCGCCGTCGTGGCGGCACGCGTGCGCATTCCTCTGGCTGTTGATCGAGCTCCATGTCGCGTAGTGACCCCGTTCATCCGTGCAGAGTCTACCACGTGAGTGGCCTCACGACCGGTGTCGCCAGCAGCTTCAGCGCCCCTGTCAGCCTATCCATCCAGGCCAGTCGAGCGCTCCACACCGAGGAGCGCCGGAACACGCGGGTGTCGCCCGAAGTTGATGTCGAACGGGGTGAGCCCCGTTGACTCGTGTTCCGCATTGTTGATGGCAAAGTCGACCATGGGCAGGAACGAGCTCCATGACTTGAAGGACGTGGGGAAGCCCCTCAACACGTCTTCGACGACCCTATTCGCACGTTCGGTCTGGCCATCTGTCTCCGGGTGCGACGCGGTGGACATCGCCAACCGAGTTCCCACCAACTTGAACAACTCGGTCCAAAAGGCGGTGAAGCGGGGATCTCGATCCGACACGATTGAGGTCGGAAGACCAGGATGGCGGTGGACGATGTCGAGGAAGATCACCGCAGAATGTTGTGTGGTGATGGTGGTAGCGTCAGGAGCAAGATGCACCATCTTGCTGAGACGATCGACAAAAACGAGAACACCAGTGCGGCCTTGCCGGTCGCGAGGCAATCCAAAGGCAAAATCCATGCTCACCGAAGACCAGGGTTTGACCGCCACAGGGAAAGGTCGAAACGGAGCCTGCTTCGTCGGAGATGGCTTACCACGCTGGACGCTTCGCAGGAGCGTACCCACTTCTGTACCCACTTGTACATATGCGGCCAGTAGAAGTCTCGGGACAGCGACGCGAATGGCTTCTCGCGTCCGAGGTGGCCGCCGCTGGGCGTGTCGGGGAACTCGTGAATCAGTCGAGCTCGAAAATCGTCGTCGAGCGGAACGACGATGCGCGGCGGGACCGCAGCTCTTAGCGATCGATCCGGGCGCGACTACGGGGAGATAAGTGGCGCCGCGCCGCTGCTGATGGATCGCGTAGGTACTTGATTATTTCGGAGCGGGCTGGTCGCTGCGACGTCGACAGCAGCGACTTCTTCAGCCACACACACAGCACTCGTCGTCATCCTCGTCGCCAACTGCGTGGCGACCCGACTGCACGTAGTCTGGCCGGCGCGAGAGCGCGTCAACAAAGATGTTGGTCTTGCCCGACTTGTAGTGTACGACGATGTTGTACTCGTAGAATAGCAAGAGCAAGCGAGCCATGCGCTGGGACAAGTGAGGGCTCTTCGTCGCTATCCGCAGAAACGCATGATCGGTGTAGACGGCGAAGGTCTGTTCACTCAACAAGAATACGCGGAACTTGATGAGTGCATAGCGCATGGCGAGCAGCTTTTTCTCGTGCACGGGGTAGTGCCGCTCCGCTGGCTTCAGCTGACGCGACTGGTAGCTCACCACTCGTTCGCGTCCCTCATCATCAAACTGCACTAGGGCGCAGCCGATTGCGAAGGCGCGTGCGTCGCACACCACTTAGAAAGGCTTCGCGTGATCGGGCAGCATTAGGATGGGCGCGGTAGAGAAGCTCTTCTTCACCGCGTCAAAGGCGAGCTGATGCTAGGGACGCCACGTCCACGTGGTGTCTGTCTTAAGGAGCTGGGACAGCGGACGAATGGTCGAAGCGAAGACTTCAAGTAGTGGTGGAGATACGTCGCGAGCCCCAGCCACTGTCGGAGCTGATTCTGATCCCGCGGCGTGGGCCACACGCAGATAACGTCGATCTTCTAGGGGTCAGCTCGGACACCTTCCGCGCTGTCGTATCTCCCGAGCACAGGGATCTTGGGAGCGCAGAAGATGCACTTCTTCAAGTTAGCGTACAACTTGTTCTCCCTCATCCCCGCGCACACCTTCCGCAGGTGTTGTAGGTGTATCTTGACGTCTGTCATGTCGCCCTCGGCACGGCTGTGATACGTCCTCCGCGGTGCTATTCGATACCCGTCGGGCCGCGGGACCAGCGCGAGGGTCCGTGCCAACGTCTACCACGACCTTAACAGAAACTTCTATCTAAATGCAAAGGGGAAGTTTGCGTTCGATCACTAAACCAAGCTACCGACATAATTCCCAACTACCCACAAAAATATTTCCCTGGCTGTGTTAAATAAGACCAGTGCCGCGGGACTACCCCTACATAGCCACATCTTCAGGTCGCGCTACGCTTGTCTTGGCTGCCTCTGCAACATAAGGACCGGCGTATGGATACTATGAAGAAGGTCTTCAATGCCATTCGGATCGTCAAGGTGATAGGAACGCTTCAGCGTTGAACTGTTTTTTGGGCTCAGTATAGACTCGCCACTGGCGAAGCCGAGCTAATGTGGGCCACATAAATTTGTACTAGCATAAAGTATTACCCGATACTTGTTTTCTATACGAAAGTATTGTATAACCGATATTTTTACCGGACCTCCAGTAGGGCCAGTAATACTAATACCATGATTTGGTCGATTATCCTAACCTCTGCCCACAACATCCCGCTCAGCGTGCTGACCGCTGTCAGCGGCACGTCGTCCTCGCGCATCAAGATCTGATAAAAGCCGTGCATCAGATCAATGGCACTGTACTTGGTGCTGCCAGACATGGTGTCCAGCTCCATGTCCTTCCTCGGGATCGGCGTTTGCGCCGGTATGGCGGCGTCGTTGAGCTTGTTGAAGGCATGGACGATCCTCCCGCCGCCAGTTGCTTTCTTCACGCAGAACGTCGGACTGGAATGCGGAGACAGGCTCTCTCTGACGTGGCCGGCTTGCCGGCGACTCTCGAAAATGGCGTCGATGGCTTCAACTTAGTCGCGTGGAAGCGGCCACTGCCGTGTCACGCAGTACTTCGCACCGGGCACGAGGTATATCTTGCACCGAACTCCGCGGTCGGGTGGAAGAACCGCTGGGACCTTGTCCGGGAAGATTTCCATGAACTCACGCACGAGTGGAGCGACTGGGTTGCCGGCTGATTCAAGTGCTGGCAACGACTGAGCTGCGTGCGTTCTTTGGCTCAGCTACTTTCGGGCGCATCCTGGCGTCGGATGCTGGGTCCGACGCTCGGGTAGTGCTAGCCGCGCTCGACTCGGCGTCTTCGGCGACGATCGTGCACACCTGCTCGACCTCGCCCTTCTTCAAGTCACGGAGACAGTCTTTCCACGAGGGTCCAGGCGTCCGAGTGATCTCGGTGGCGCCGCACATGACGTGCGACTTCGACGTTGCGTATATGCGGAGTCGTCTCCGCGTCGTCCCCCACCAGGACTGAGAGCATTTCCGCCTCAGTCGCAACCGAACCGATGCTCGACCGGGTGTGGGAGGCCACGCTCAACCACATCTTCTTGCTCTTCAACGTTGGAGAGCTGCTGCTCGTCCGGACATGGCTCGACCACGTCAGTGTCTGTGTTCGAGAACCGCTGCTGGGAACCCATGCTCGACCACGTCAGACACGTCCTGAGGTTCCTGCTCAGGACCGGCGCAGGCTGCGAGTTCGCACACCGCACACGAAGGGCCATCGCACGCTTCGTGCGCAGCATGTGTCATGGAGTCGGAGTCCAAGACGGCAACATGCGACCACTGGTTCGGCTTTCCACATAGGAACACCAACACTGCATTCACATCAATGTCTCGGGGACGGACTGTACCCGTCATCTCAGGCTGAGCTACGGGATGCCGAAGACGCAGTCGAACGAGCCGCTCAGCACGATCACCAAGAACTCCTCGGAACTGCGGAACCCGTCGAACTCGTACGCGAAGGTCGCCGAGCGCCGCGTCTTCCCATCAGCGTACTTCACGATCATGTCTCCAGGATCTTCACGAATGCTCATGTCCGCCGGTAAAACCGACAAGCTCTCGGCGTGGAGGCTGAACACAATCAGCCTCGTGTCACCGCCGGAGGTGTTGGCAAAGAGTTGTGCATGGAGTACGGGAGGGCTTGGAGGTGGTTCAGCCACCAGAGAACCATCGCTCCTTCCACGACCAGTAGGGTGCCCCGCACCTACTGGTTGTCGCCGTGTTTTGGAGCGGCGACGTCGTGCGCGATCGGGACGTTCGCCTGCATCGGCGCCGGGGCGCGGCAAATAGCTGCGCGATGTCCAGGTTTCCCACAGCGGTAGCAACGCATCGAACGAGGAGTGCGCGTTGCCGTTGCCGTGGCCGGCCTGACTGACGACGTCGGCACCCGACGTCCACCATACTGTTAAATTGGATCGACCTCCATCGGCTCCAGCTTGGGAACCGGAGCCCGAGCAACGTGGAAACCTGCGATGCAGTCACACTATAGTCTTCACGAATCGCGATCACGAAGGCCTTTTCGAGTGTCGATGGGGTCGCCCGGGTTAGGTAGACGCGCTAGTAGCCAGCGCTCATGCCGGAGATGAAGACGTGTACTTGGGTCGCCACGTCCACAGGATGCGTCGTGATGCACGGCACCCTATAAAGATGAAAACGGGCCCGGGAACACGTTGACGAAGACCCAGGGATGACGTAGCATGGGCGACACTGCGGTCTGTGACGCTTGCGCTGCTTAGAGCGCTCGACTAGGCCCTACTACTGGCTGGTCGACATTTCTTCAACCTTTTACTCAAAGCCTCCCCCATAGGCAAACTTGTGCAAAAATTTGATCTGCGTAAAAAATGGAGGAATTTGCTCAGCATTTACTCAAACCGTTGGAGCTGTACAAAACTAAAACTATAATGACATATTGACAGAAAAGGGGTAAAAATTTAGTTTTACTCACGACCGGTGGAGATGCTCTAACCTGATTACTTATATGAATCAAAGTTCTCCAGATAAAACACTTGGACATCCTTAAAAACACTCCCCTACACCCCAGCGAATGGAATACACACTGTATCGTGTACTCGTTTGAACTCCGTGGTTTTCCTGTCCTTCCTTACAACGATAACGATGCAGACGATTGCGCTTTGTTATCTGGGCATTCCACGTCAGGGTCAAGCTGACAGCTGTTGACCGTCAACAGCTGCTGCAATTCGAGTACAGGCGTCCCCGGCCTATTCGCCACAGTGGTACTTATGATGTTTGCGAATCAACAAGATTCACGCGGTCTGAACATAAATGAGAATGTACTGACTTACTACAAGCTTAGCTCAAGAATACGGTGGAGGTATTCCCGCAACGTGCCACTTGTCGCAGTAGATATCGCTGTACACTCATCTAAATCAATATTTTTGCAGAAGTAGCGTGCAAATCTTGAGAGCTTGTTGTACTTCCTGTGCGAGGTACATTAAAATATACAGCCGGGACTAGCCCGGGGACGCCTGTATTATGCTGAGCAGCAAGTTGTTTACCACCGTATCGGCTCCAATACCGCTGCTAAACCATAAACATCACCAACAATCACTGTTCACTCACCCCACGGATACATCCGAGCTTTCGGCTGTGGGACCACACTCGGTGAACGAGGGGTAGAGAGAGAACGGGTCTGTATGTGTCATTTGGTTTTCGTTTTCAAATGGTTGAGGTCGGCAGTACCTCGATAGCAGTGTTGGGGGCATGGGTGAGTTACTGGGTACTGTAGTAATAGTAGAACCATAAAGATACAGGTAACTAACGTACTATAGTACTATGTTCTGCGGATTACTACCAAGCCCTGCCGGTAGAAGCTGTAAGTTTGAGTCTTACTAAGACATACGAGGAACTCTAATTTTCTGCACCAACATTGATTTCCCTCAATCGCCGTACCTCTAGTATTACATGTACAGTATATTAAAAAAAAATAGGTGAAGTCGCTCATTGGCCTTCGATTTGCCCAGCAAAGGGTCAACTGGGGTTAAACAAATGAAGTACGCTAGATACGTTGTATAGCTGTATATTGCGCCAATGGCGCAGCGCCAAATTGTTACTTCTGAAGTGCATTAGCAAATTATGTGGACACGACCACGATTCATGGTATAATTACGTTGTTTGCGGCGAGTGAAATTGCCAAATTAAGCCTGTTATGCTGTTCTATCACTCACTAAGGCTTACCTTCGAATTACAGTAGAGGCAAACTGCTTTGCTCCTGAACCATTTCGAATTTGCCTGTTGAAGAACCATCCGTGGTTCTATAAACGGGCGCGGAAAGTGGTCTCTTATCTTTGTGCAGTTCACACCAGCGAATCGCAGGGCAATTTGCAGGCTGTAATCGCTGGTGTCGTTATGCGATTTGCAGCAGCTGTTGACGGTCAACAGCTGTCAGCTTGACCCTGACGTGGAATGCCCAGATAACAAAGCGCAATCGTCTGCATCGTTATCGTTGTAAGGAAGGACAGGAAAACCACGGAGTTCAAACGAGTACACGATGCGTGCAAATCTTGAGAGCTTGTTGTACTTCCTGTGCGAGGTACATTAAAATATACAGCCGGGACTAGCCCGGGGACGCCTGTATTATGCTGAGCAGCAAGTTGTTTACCACCGTATCGGCTCCAATACCGCTGCTAAACCATAAACATCACCAACAATCACTGTTCACTCACCCCACGGATACATCCGAGCTTTCGGCTGTGGGACCACACTCGGTGAACGAGGGGTAGAGAGAGAACGGGTCTGTATGTGTCATTTGGTTTTCGTTTTCAAATGGTTGAGGTCGGCAGTACCTCGATAGCAGTGTTGGGGGCATGGGTGAGTTACTGGGTACTGTAGTAATAGTAGAACCATAAAGATACAGGTAACTAACGTACTATAGTACTATGTTCTGCGGATTACTACCAAGCCCTGCCGGTAGAAGCTGTAAGTTTGAGTCTTACTAAGACATACGAGGAACTCTAATTTTCTGCACCAACATTGATTTCCCTCAATCGCCGTACCTCTAGTATTACATGTACAGTATATTAAAAAAAAATAGGTGAAGTCGCTCATTGGCCTTCGATTTGCCCAGCAAAGGGTCAACTGGGGTTAAACAAATGAAGTACGCTAGATACGTTGTATAGCTGTATATTGCGCCAATGGCGCAGCGCCAAATTGTTACTTCTGAAGTGCATTAGCAAATTATGTGGACACGACCACGATTCATGGTATAATTACGTTGTTTGCGGCGAGTGAAATTGCCAAATTAAGCCTGTTATGCTGTTCTATCACTCACTAAGGCTTACCTTCGAATTACAGTAGAGGCAAACTGCTTTGCTCCTGAACCATTTCGAATTTGCCTGTTGAAGAACCATCCGTGGTTCTATAAACGGGCGCGGAAAGTGGTCTCTTATCTTTGTGCAGTTCACACCAGCGAATCGCAGGGCAATTTGCAGGCTGTAATCGCTGGTGTCGTTATGCGATTTGCAGCAGCTGTTGACGGTCAACAGCTGTCAGCTTGACCCTGACGTGGAATGCCCAGATAACAAAGCGCAATCGTCTGCATCGTCAGCGTTGTGAGGAAGGACAGGAAAACCACGGAGTTCAAACGAGTACACGACACCACAGCAGCATCGCCACTGGCGAGCTCTCAGCAGACATCCACCCACACACCACTCCGTCATTCGCTCTGCAGTGCATAGCAAGCCCTCCAAGTCTCCCCGCTGAAGATCTCATCGAACGAACGCCGAGTATGCGCCTTACTTCCATCCTTGTGCTGGTGATCGCCGCCACTTTCCATACCACCGGCACTGCGCTCACGTTGACCAAGGATTCCAAAGCCGGGATTGCCAACGGAGATTCGCCCGCTAGTGGCGACTTCATCGACGCGAACAGCGCTCGGCTACTGCGTCGGGTCGAAAAAGATAAAGTCGATTACGAGCAAGACGAACAGAGGAGCTTTGGAGCCCTCAAGGATGCAGTGAAGAAGCTGAATCCCGTCACTGCTGTGAAGAAATTTTTTAAACAGAGGGCTAAACGGAAGAAAGTGATCCAGACCGCGAGGGATGCCGATAACAACTTGGCGTGGGCGATGAAGGAGGTTTATAAGGCGGCCAACTGAAACAACTGATCGCGTACCTTAACGCGCATCCAGGCATCCTTACAGCTAGTACAGCAGTCATACTCTGGTAGCGATTACTGTATTGAAAGGTCCCTTACACAAATTCAAGCAAAAAAAGTGTTTGCTCTTGTCATTTCCGCTCCAAAATGTACGTTTCGCCCGAATAGTGCAATTATCCTGGGAGGACAGCTAGAAGAGCTGTATGGACAGCCTCGGATGGCTTCACTTTTGTGTAACTAACCACTAAGGGAGGGGACTGCGGCTAACTACAGGCGTGCCTGTTGCTTGAAGTACCTGTATTGGGATGTCGCTAGTCCACTTCTTCGAGCGCATCGTGCTCGCATTCGGAGTAGCTGGAGGTTAAGATCCACATTGTTCTTTCAGGATCGACGCCCTTAACCCTTTAGCTACGAGGCTTCGTACGGGTCCAGTCTGACCTATACGACAGCTCATAATTGACTACAATTGGCTATAATACATTGTACGGGCTAGGTAGAAGCTCGCAGAGTCAGCCAACAGGTCCAAGCGGACCTGTACCATAGCCACATGTGAGCAAATCAACAAGCTGGTGCGTACCGATATAAGACTCGGGCAGGTTCTCTTCTATTCTACAACTATCGAGCGGCAAAACACACGAAAACCAAAATCCATAAGTACAGGTTTGTTGAGGGGTTGACGAGAGCTGCCATTGGTCTAAATGGTCCGAAATCGCGTTGTGGTTGGTTATGGTACATGTCTAGGGGGACCTACACTGCAAAGCTCGTAGCTAAAGGGTTAAGTGCCGATGCCGAGAAGTTCATGAAGGTTGTCTTCAATTGTGAGGTTGTAAGAGGCTATAGCATGAATGAATATGCCGCGCACCCTGTACTGTACACACCAACGCACAAAAACAACTTGCGCTAAAACTGTGCTCCTCGCGACCAGACAATGCTAGAAACGGTAGTTTCCTACACTGCAAGATAAAAGCTGTTGATCATAATCGTGCTACACCATTTCTCACCCTATTTTGCTTTCTGCCGACACTTCACATTGAGTTTGTATTGCGTCTGTTTGCCTGTTGGAAGCGCGCCTTCACTTACATCACAAATTCAATCGAGTTTTCTCGGCAACGTCTTACCCGCATGCGATGACACAAAGAGGCTTCAGGTAAGGCGTTGCTCATGGCGCTGGTTAGCGATGGGTATGCCTCGGGCGCGTCTCGAGGAGTCATGTTTTAGCTTACTCCTTCCTCAGGTGCCTGCGGGAGTGTGGACAATGGTAGAGCACCTCTTCCCCAGTCTGGAGCGACGTCCGGTTGACCAGTTAACGGTGGCGGTGACCAAGGTAATGGAGAGCTGTTGGCGAGTCGGCGTGGCGCTCTACTTCCACGATATATGGAGGTGGCGTGTGGCGTTCTTTGACCCGCTCAACACAGTTACAGAAGACTACCACCGGGCCTTGTTAGTATCCAGACTGCGCCACGGGTATGACACTGTACATCTACATCTCGGTCGAAGTCTTCAGCGGGATGTTCTCGAGATGGCGGCCCGGACGATGCGTCGTGTGCCCATATCCGCGTGGGAGCCGACGCTCGACGCGGCCCCAACTGGACGGGCCCGCTACCTTTTGTTTTTCGATGGCGGCTCGCGTGGTAATTCCCGCCCTGGCAGTAGTGGTGCTGCCGTGGTCCGCATCGGAAACGGACAGGGTGATCATGAGATCTGTTGGGTCATTAGTATGTCCTACGCGGCGGCCAGCACGACCAACAACGTGGCGGAGAACATGGGGCTACTGACGGGGCTCAAGGCGTGCATTCATTTTGGCTGGACCCCACTTCATGTGGTAGGAGACAGCAACCTCATCATTCATCAGCAGAAGACGCGGACTCCGCCTCGAGCTAAGCACATACAACCGCTATACTGGCAAAGCCGGCGGCTGGCAGACAAACTGGCGGTAACGACGTGGCAGCACCACTTGCGTGCTCACAACAGAATGGCGGACGCCCTCGCCAACATGGCGATGGATTCACGCCGCAGTTTTCAAAAGATACCCACTCGAATTTGCGGCTCCGGCTCGACGTGGGACGACGTGTACAACTACGCTTCCGGCGACGTAGGTCACTGGATGGAGAAGAACAGTGATGAGAACTCCTCGGAGTTCGTGGACTTCACCCGTTAGTGTGTGGAGGTGGCTCTGGCTCCGTTTCATAGGGCGGTCGGTTAGAGACGACCACCGACAAGGCCATAACTGTCGTTAGCCAAAGAAGTTAAGTGACATCAATGTACCTCACTGTGAAACGAAACGAAGGCGTTGCTCATGGGACTGTTGTCGCTGCAGCTGAGGAGCCACCAGCGACACATGCAAGTGACTACTGTAGAGAGATCAAAGCGAAACATGAACTAGCAGATATTGAAAATCTATAATAATATTCATTATTAAATCAATAAATGCAATGGCTACTTGCGCACTACAGCACTACGCACCGTCGCACCAGTAGAAAGCGTCGCTTCACCGCGCAGCGGCGGTGGCACCACCAGTAGAAGCGGTATGCCACGTCCCCCTCTTCCCAACTTGACAGCACCGAGCGTACCCCTCGCCACCCCAGGGCTCGAAAACTCGGAGCCGTTGGCGCGCAGTCGCCGCGCTGCTGGTGCTGGTGCTGGTGCTGGCACTGCTGCTGGTGCTGCTGCTTGGCGAGGCCAGCTACTGCTGCGGGGGCGGGCCCCTCAGCTGGCTCTGCAGCGCCGCGTGCTGCTGTGTCTGCTGCCTGCTGCTCTGATCTTCGCACCTTCTCCGTCTTGGGTACCTTCTTCATCATCTTGTCCTTGCTTCATGCGCGTGTCGTCCAGCGAGGGCGGGTGGAAACCGTGTAAACGGCCGCCAGGCGCAGACTTATTGTCGGCCGTCCTCCCCCTCGCTCTTGCCCTCCGCGCACTTGATGCCTTCGCCGCCCTTCGCGCTCTTGGTCTCCCCGCTGTCCAACACGGACTTGGTGTCTCCGCCGTCCGTCGCGCCCTTGGTGTTTCTGCCGTCCTTCGTGCCCTTGATCTCCAAGCCGTGCTCCGTACTCTTGGACAGCCCATCGTCCTCCGCGCTCTTGGGATCACCTCCCCCGGTGCCTGACGTCTTCGCCCTTCGTGTCCTGGGTGACCTGGGCTGGCTGCGAGGGCACGTGCCCTCACACTCGGCGAGGCGGTGAGCCGGTTGCCGGAGGTGACGAGCCATCCTTGAGATCGTTCTCGAGCCTGTGCAAGACTGGCATGGCATGCACTCGGGGCCTGGAGGGGAGGGGGCGTAGCGAAGGTCTCGGCGCTGCTACTGCGCTCGGGGGCGCCGCTGCGCTCATGGTCGCCGCGATCATGACCACGCAAATGAAAATGCAAGAAGTGCTAAAATGTTGCCGTTTAGACCAATCGTAGAAATTCAGCATTTCTACCAATGGTAGATCGTGTCGGCAGGTGTAGGCGGCTGTCAGCACCGTCATGGTATGACCGGATACGTTTTGGTCTTCTGGGTTGTGATTCGACACAATTTGTCAGCTGAAGTTTGTATGCTCGAAAACGTATTGAAGTTTGTATGCTCGTTGTTGAAGTTGCGCGACCTTTGATATCCAAGATGGCGTAACGTTTGCGAACGACGCGCACAAGCAGCACCGTACCGACAGAGGCTTCTATCGCCCGCGCACGCTAGGTATTCGCAGCCATACGGGTTCCATTCAAAAAGAACTTGTCAGGATATTTAACATCTCATTGATAACACTGGGGTGTACCCTTCACTACAGTACAGTACAGTATACACACACCAACGGACGACAAGCAACAAGGGCATCCATGAAACCATCGATTGCATTGAAAACATTGTATGTATCCTAGTGAGACTAGCTTAACCCTTGGACTGACTGACACCAAACAAACGCTAACGGATACTGACGAGACCAGTCGAACGACAACGGTGCTGACTCGGGCGGCACCTTACTCCAGCGAGCGAAGCTGTCGGTACGACTTCTGAGACGACGTGCCAGCCGTGGCTCTTGCCGATGCACCTGCAGACGCACTCGCCGTGGCGCTGGCCGACGCGCCGACCGTCGCAGCGGCAGCACCGTTGCTGTTCGTCACTGACGCCGACGAAGGGTTGTTGCCGGCGTTCGCGTTCGCATCCGCGTTCCCACCACCAGGCACAGCGTTAGTGTAGGAAGTGCCGGTGCTGGTAGGGGCGCTGTTGACGACGGTCGGGGGAGCATTGTAGATACCGGTCGGCGGAGCGCCGTTCACAGGGTAGCCGGCAGGATAGCCGGCAGGATAACCGACGCCAGGCAAGCCCACACCCACGTGCGCGCCGAGACCACACCGACGCCGACACTCGCGAGGCCAGGCACGCCCACACTGACGGCGGGGCCCACGCCGTAGCCGGCGCCAGGCACACCGAGCAAGCCCAAGGTCTCAGCGACCTCTGTCTCGGCACGCGCACCGCTTGCCACGGCTGCACCCGCGAGGCACAGGGCCAAGATCTTGCTGCTGCTGAGGTTGAGGCTGAACATGGTATACTTGGTTGGTTGATTGGTTGGTTCTAGGGGAGACTTGGTCCGATGAGGTGGGTGCGTGTGCGAGTGCTAGCTCTGGCGGAGATAGATCGAGCGGCTTGCTTCGATGGGTGACGGTCAAGCGAGTAGATTTGAGAATGAGGAGGTGACGAAGGAGTGAGGCAGGCAGGCAAGCAAGCAAGCCGGCAGGGCAAGCCGACAGGCTGACACAGACGGCAAATTCACGTGACCGCATTGACTGATCCCGTTGCTATGTTAACCCGCTGGCCCCATCGGATTACCAGAGGCGAGCGGAGCTTGTGGGGTCACCACGGCCGTGGCCAGCATACAGCTGCAGGTAGAGTTGCGTTGCATTAAGGTGATCTGACAAGCCGTGGCTGTAAACATTTCGTACGCAGTGTGTGCGTACAGGACGGACGGGTTTGCTCCCAGATCCAGCTTGTGAGAAGATCCAGGGGCACAGGTGCCGGGCAGCACGATTTTACCATGTGGAGGTAGCTCTTGACCTGCGTTGACCCAAGAGCGACCCTCGCTACCTCCATCCGGCACACTTGTGATGTAAATCCCTACCCTACCCTCTGCGATAGGTTGGGGCATTAAAGAAAAAAACACTTAGATACTACATGTGCAAACTTACACGTATACGAGCGGAAGTTGAACCAACCAATATAGCTCAATGAGGTCCAGCACGTTGGCTTTGAGGCTAATAGTCTGGCGCTCAAGAGGCGCTGGTGGGTGATACAGGTTTCGTTGATGTTCCATGGTGGGTCTTTGCTGCCATTTCGAAATTGTCGCACACCATGATCACTCTCGCTGACCTGCAAAACCTTGAGCCGCCGCATGAATAGGAGGTGTTCGTGTGGATCGAGGACTCTGAGCTGGACGAACTCAAGGCCTTCAAGGTCCAATATGCGCATGAGGGCAAGATACTCGTGGATATGAACGAGGTCTACCGGATGGGGCGCAGATTCGAGAGCGGCTGCAGCGTAGTCAAACTGCTGAAGCGCGAGCACCTGCCGTTTGTCCTGTACGACCGAGGGCGCTACGCGCCGGGGAGACTCTGCGTCTACAACCCCAAGAAGCGGGACAAAGCTCTGGTGCACATCCGCGAGCTCCTAGCAAGAGCGGACATCGCGAAATGGATCCGAGCTGCTTTTCGGCGTTCTCATCCCGTCGAACGACTTCGCTTCAAGCTCGGTAGCGTCCGCACCAAGTCGATGGTGTATTGTTTGAAGCTTGGAACAGTGCGCCAGCATTTCCGCACGCTACCGTTGGAGCCACGCTTCAATCTCGAGGATCACGGGCATTTCTGCCTTTACAAGTACGGATTCGTTACCGATCCGGTGGGAGGGAATGTCCTGCATGGCCTGGCATTTGCCATCGGCACCACAACGTTCGTGTGTGCCAGGGAGTTGACTCTTCAGACGCCACAAGTACTGCAACATCTTCAGCAAGCCGAGGTTCTCGTGAGCTATGGGATTGGTTCCCATCGTTTCGTGTATCGCGATCCCCCTCCGAGCTTGGAAGAGCACCGGGAATGCTTCGTGTTGGACCCGAAGGACGAGGAGTTCATCTACGACGTCTTCAGGGCCCTCCATTCTTCGCTGATGGGCGAACCGGAAACAGAAGCCGCTGAGCCTGCGTGAATCCCAGTCGAGACCGCCGTTCAAGGCCCTAACGCTTCCAACAGCCAAGATTCGTTATCTGAAGCTCTAAAATCGCTTCGGCTAGCGCACATTGCCGCGCAGGAAGCTTTTGTCCGTCAGTAATTGTCTTAAGTTTATATGAAGATGCATAGCATGTAAATGTAATTCGCCTTTACTTGCTGGTAGCGCCGCACTTCCTCGCCGGTTCGATTGCTGCCGCTGCAGTACTTGCCAACTAGACCATGCAGCATGGTGCTACGTCCGCGATGTCTTTGCGAGGTGAAGCCATGTCGTTACGGAGGTTCACTTCAACTTGGGCAGGCATGCAAATCACGCCGGGCCAGCCAGTTGGCACCTTGATTCCGACCCGCGCCTAGCAACGCGCGATGGTCCGACGCAGGGCACGCTAGGAATGCACTGCAACTCACATTATGCGAGAACAAGCAGGGTCAACCAAAGCATTGGTCCGACTCGCTTCGGCAGTGCCTCCGGCAGTTTTTTTTTTGCTGCAACTGGGGGGGGGGGGGGCTGCCAGTAGCAACTCACTATTTTACATGTATTTGCTGAGTTCATCAATCTGGGTGCCGCGGGCAGCCTAGAGTGATACGAGGAATTGCTGCGAGGATTTTTTTTTGTAGTACGCAGTCCCCGGTAAACATCGTAGTGTCGGCTGTCGGTGGCGCCTACAGCGACATGTTGCCGGACGGCATGCTCGGTGTCGGGTACGTCGCGATGGGGAAGCCAGGGTACGCCATGCCCTCGCCGGGGCCCATGCAGCCCTCGCTGTCCTCATCGTCGAAGAGCATGATCTCGAGCATCATCACTTCCTCGTGCGAGAGGTTGCAGATCGGCTCCTTGGGCTCCATCATGTTGGTGACAGCGTCGTACTCCATGGGCACCTGCGCTGCGTCCATGAAGCGCTTCTTGCGCTCGATCATACATAAAAACCGAAGAAATATTGGAGTTGTCTTTTGAGGGAGGTTGCTGCCAACGTCGATGATGTTGGCTGTGGCTTTGCAACAACGTCACTAATTCTGGTGTGAACAACATCTTCACCATTTGCCACTGCCAATGCGAACAAGCACGCACTTCATCTTGTTGCACTCAGAGCGTCAAGCACGGTTACCATTCCGCAGCAGCACCTCGCTGGAGTTCGGAGGAGTTACAACATCGGTCACGCTGAGTGGGTGCAGTTGAACTGGGCTGTTCGATTGTTTTTCATCGTCCTGCCATGAGCTCTGACCGTCGACCGTCGTTGACACAACAGACTCGTATAAAGCACCACTTCTGCCATAGTGTCGGACGTACCAAGCGATTGGCATTCTTTCGCAATAAAATGCGGCTGAATGCCATACTCGTTTTAAGTCCTGCTTTCCACACTCTCACGCTGTATCAAACCAGCAGTTACCCAGACCCAGCACATGCAACCTTGAGCAGCAGCAATTCCAGCCCCCTCCCCCCCCTCCATGTACCAGCAAAGTCCCGCGAGCAGAGCATGAATCCCCTGGAGTTTTTGTGAGCGTGGATGCCGTCGATGGTTCAGTCCATCGAATCAAACAATACCGACAGACCAGTTCTCCTTTCGCCCCCTGCCGTTCCTCGGCATGGCCTCAAACAGCGCTGTATGGACGCCACGATCGCGAAATGCAGGATGTGACGAACAAGCCGTTGCCCGCGCGTACTCGACCTGCGACGAGGCTCCAACTTCAATCGCGCGCCGCTCGCCCGGCGCATCGCGCTCGCAAAGCCGACGTGCCGGTTCCCGCAGCATTTTTGCCTGCTTGAAGTGTGCGGGGCGTCCGGACGTCTTCGGGGGGTCTTGCAGCATGCTGCAAGCTGCAATTCCTCCATGTCGACGCGGGCGACGAGCGCAATAGCTTCTGAAGGCTTCGGACCAATCAGAAGCCGTTGTTTTGGCATGACTACTAATAGGTATATAGTTTGACAACATGATATATGAAAGGTATATAATTATCTAAAGAGGAACTTATGTAAGCCGATATCCTAAAACCAAGGTGCATGTTATGACTACCCGGAGAGATCGGATCGTCGGGAAGCGGACCTCAATGAATGGTCCCCACAGTCGTGATCGTCAACCGCGACTAACCCCAGCGCTGTTAAAGCAGACAACCTTGCTTCCAAGCCGACTCCGAGAATTGGAGCGCTACCTTCGGGCGACAAGCAACGACCCGTGCACTTGCTCGCGAGGTGGATTGCTCGAGTCACCAGGCCGCGGCTGCTGCGCTCCAAGCAGAAAAACTTTCCTGCAGGATGTGCAGTCAGGGCGCCCGACGATGTGGCGGCCTGCCTGCACCAGCGAGTGCACCAAAAGCGTCCCCAAGCATGTGACAACCTCACAGCTCGTCTACTGTACAAGCGCTGGGGACGCCTCGGCGTGTCCTTGCATCCGTCCTCCGCCCTGCGTTGCCGTCAGGAAACGCAGTGACCACCGGCACTGCGCTGCGGTTGACTCGCCCCCACTATGCCCTCAAATGCCACGTCAGTGGGCTGGCACGCTGTACCAGTCCTTTCTTAGTATTCAAGCACACTGGCCATGATGGGGTGAGCGACGATTCACCTCGAACGAAACGGCTCGAGACGAAGCAGCAGCCAGGCAGGCGAACCACCACACAGGCGCGATCTGTTCCTCACTTCCATTCTCCCTCCCGCGAGCCGAAGCCTCCTCCTTCTCCGTCCCACCACCTTCAGTTTATAGCCCACGATGGCCAGCAAGGAGCAGCAGCAGCCCAGCGCCAAGGCCGAGCAGCGCGCCAAGCTCGTGCGCCGCAACTCGCGCGTGACGGTGGACCAGCTCCTGCGCGAGGCCTTCGCCCGCGTGGACGTCGACATGGACGGCAAGGTGGACGCGCTGGACATCCAGCGCGGCCTGCGCGTGGCCGGCGTCAAGCTGTCGGCGGACGACGTGGGCGAGCTCATGAAGCGCCTGGACCCCAAGAACCAGGGCCAGCTCACGTACGAGGACTTCCACGCCGTGCACGAGGAGCTCATCCTGCAGACCTTCCGCTCGTTCGACAAGGAGAACAAGGGCTACCTCGTGGACGAGGACCTGCAGAACGGCCTGCAGGCGCTGGGCGTGACCGTCACGCTGCAGGAGGCCACCCACATGATCAAGCAGCTGCACCCGCGCGACGCCCACTGCGTGCACGAGGCCGACTTCAAGCACCTGTACCTGCTGCTGCGCTCCAAGATGGCGTCCCCCACGGCGCTCGAGAGGTTCCTGTGGGACCCGGATGTCCGCCAGCTCTCCAAGAACTGGTGGAAGGCCAGCGTCGAGGTGGGCGAGGGCGGTCTGCGCGCCCCGTTGCCGGCCGACAAGGACGGCCAGGTCAAGAAGGTGTCGCCCAGCGTCAAGTTCTTCGGCGGAGCGCTTTCCGGCGTCATTGAGGCGCTGATCCTCACGCCGCTGGACGTGACCAAGACCCGCATGCAGCTGGACAAGACCGGCCAGTACCGCGGCATGATCGACTGCGGCAAGAAGCTGGTCGCGGCCGAGGGCCCCAAGGGCCTGTTCAAGGGCTTCACGCCCTGGACCGTGCACGTCGTGCTCAAGAACGGCACGCGCTTCTACTTCAACGCCATCTTCCGCCGCATGCTGTCGGACAAGAACGGCCAGGTGAGCGGCGCCAACGAGTTCGTCGCTGGCGCGCTTGCTGGCGCCACCGAGGCCGTGCTGATCGTGACGCCGTTCGAGGTAATCAAGACGCGTCTGCAGGGCCAGAACATCATCAAGGGCGAGATCCCCAAGTACCGCGGCCCCGTGCACACCGCCGTCACTGTGGTCAAGCACGAGGGCCCGCTTGCGCTGTGGAAGGGTCTGGCCCCGACGATCGGCCGCCAGGGTCTGAACCAGGCCTGCAGCTTCTGGTCCAACAACTTTATCAAGAAGCACGTGTGGAAGCTCCAGGACGGCGACTCGCTGCCGGCGTGGAAGAGCGGTCTCACGGGTATGATCGGCGCCATCCCCGGCCCGTGCATCAACTGCCCCATGGACGTGGTCAAGACGCGTCTCATGGCGCAGGAGGCCGCGGCGGGCGCGGGCGGCAAGTACAAGGGAATGGTGGACGCCATGGTCGTGATCGCCAAGGAGGAGGGCGTCAGCGCGCTGTACAAGGGCCTCGTGCCGCGTCTCGCGCGTCTGTGCCCGTCCTACGGTATCCAGTGGCTCGTCATGGACCAGGTCACCGAGTACTTCTCCAAAAACTAAGCGAGCACGCGACGTCAGTGATAGATGCTTATTTCGTCGCCTGCAGTCGGAGCTGCTAGCGTCCTATATTCATACCACAAGCAAAACACTATTCTACCTAGCAGCTCGAAGCAGCAGCCAAATACAACCCCCACTTGATTATCATCATCCCCAGCATTCAAAGTGCGTACTGACTCGGCAAACGAGCGCAATAACGAGATACCGAGGATTTGTTTAACAAAATCTGATCACGCTGAAGATGCGTGTAGCCTTACATATGAGACTGCCTCGAACAAAATGATACTAAGCCACCATTTAGAGTTACAGTAAAAGCTCTCACTTCCGGTAACGAGGTCCGACCATCTCCTAATATTTGCCATTTTATTATAAAGGGACCACAATGAAGTACTGTACACGTAAAATATATTTTAAAAGCTCAACTGCGAAGCACGAATTATAATATCTTCTACACTGACGTCTTCGTCATAAGTAGTGTCGTTGGAATCGCCGCACCTTTCATCTACACCGTTAAAAACAATTCCAGTATGGCGGAAGCAGTTTTCGATGGCCGACTTATCCTGCAGCTCTTGCCAGATCTCCTTGCTCCACCGCATTGCTTGCAACTGATCGACCGCGTAGGGCTCCTTCTTCAGCTTCTTCACGTCCTTGATCTTTTCGTACACCCAGAGAATCTGCCTTCTCCTGTACGCCCGCTTGAACAGTGCAATGATGCCGGCGTCCATAGGTTGCAAGTAGGTAGTAGTATTCGGGGGTAGGAACTCCACGCGAATGTTTGTACACACCAGATCGCCGGTCTTATGAGAAGACGCGCTATCTAGCAGCAGCAAGATATGACGCCCTGCCGCTCGCATGTCCCGATCCAGATTGTGTAGCCATTCTCGGAATATCGGTCCTGTCATCCAGGCCTTCGCATTAGCCCGGTATGAGAAGCCGAGGCTTTCTGCAGAGCGCTTCTCAAAGCAATGAGGCTGCTTGGCGCGACCCAGGAACAACGGCGGTAGTGCGTCCGTGCCGTCAGCGTTCACCGTGAGAGCAAGCGTAATACGGGTCTTCTTCTTCTTGACTCCTCGCGCCCGCTTCGTACAAATAGACCGAGCTGGGGCCATTGCGTAGCAAAGCCCCGTCTCGTCCATATTGTAGATGTCCTTTGCAGGGTAGCGATCCGTGATTTCTTGGAGTCGTTGACGACCTTGAGCTACAGCAGCGGGATCAGCGGATCCAGACTCGCTGGGTCGATTGCGGTAGCGAAGGCGATGCCTATGTTCAAATGCAGTGAGCCAGCCGTCGGAAAACCCCCCATGCGTCGCACAGCTCACGCTGAATGTCGATCGCTTTCATCCTTATCAGCTCGCGGGACAGACAGACGTTCTGGGCCTCCACCGCTTGAATCCACGCCCACAGTCGCGCCTCCAGCGCCGCCGAGGTCACCTTCAGGGGCTTGCGGCGGTTGTCATCGCCGTAGTCCTTGCTCATGATCAACGCAGCCTTCTTGAGTATGTCGGACACGGTCGACTGGGCTGGTGCGCGCTTGAGTTTGTAGTGTGCTTTTGTCCACGCTGCGAGCGCTGCTTGTGACATCGTGGGGCAGTCGGCTGCCTTCTGTATGAGGCCTCGCTTCTGATGTATTTTCATCCAGGCCCCCATGGCATTCTTGTACTTGTTTGGCTCAGTGAAAATTATGGTATGAAGACCTGCTCCGGGCTTGCTGCTCTTGCTCTGTGGCAATGACTGGTGTGCATTAGTTCGCGCCAAAACTCCCGCCAGGGTTTAGTAAAAATAAACCTTTCCAAATAGATTACATCGTTTAATTCGGGATATTAATTTATACCAGTACCGGAAGTGGGCGCGCTTACTGTATCGAGATAATCGCGCTTGAAAATTAGCTGCTATTTTTCGTATCAAAGTGAAGTTTCAAGAAAGGGCCCGATTTGTGATTTGAAAACCTGAACTGTCACTAAAGCGAACGCTCCCTCAACACCTCACTCTCAAAGAAGATCTACACCACCGCCGACATGAAAGCCCACCGCTCGACCTCCGAGCTGCCATCGCAGACCTCCAGCGGCCCCGAGTCGTGGCCCGCCGGCTCACAGGCTTCCGGCGCTCTCGCGTCACAGTCCGTTGGTGCCTCTGAGCCACCCGCGTCCCCTCCCTGTCAACACCCCCCTTCTCCCGAGCAGCATACGCCGTACGCGCCCGAGCAGCACGCTTCGGCAGCTCCTGGGCAGCAGCTTGCGCGCACCTCCGATCCGCAGCAGGAGGAGAGTGCCTCCGAGCTGCACGAATCACCGGCGTGCACGCCTTCTCGAACCGATCGGCAGCGCAACCAGAGAAATCGACCCCGCGTGACCTCCCCGCACGTTGCGGCACATGCCGCCAGCGACGTCTCGTCTGAGAGCGAGGAGCCTGATGAAAGCAATGATGATGAAGATTGGAGCACGGCCGAGTCAGCTGAAGAGGATAGAGAGGTGACGGGGGACAGCGAGGGAATCGAAGACGATGAGCAAGCCGAGGAGGATATAAGTATCAATTTGATCGAGGTTGATATTCACCAGAAGGTGACAGGCCTTATCAGAGCTGATAAGTGTGAGCGTCGCTGCCTTCAGGGAAAGGCTCAAGAGCTGCAGTGTGACGGGGCACACAGCACTTCTTAACAGAGGAAGCAGGAGTATACAAACTCCAAGTGAACAGCCGTTCACGTGTCCCTGGTCTGAAGGGGACGACTTGACTTGAAAAGCGGTAGATCTAAGACTGAATGTATATATAGGTTGGTACAGATTTGGCCTGCATACAAATCCTAAGTTCCCTATAGTTTGTGTCATACAACATGTATCTGTTGGCTCTGAGGCTACTTGGGTCACTATCCAGGGGAGTGACCGATGTAGCCATCCCGGAATAGTGATAGGGTCACTATTTTATGTAACCCCGTTACATCCTCCCCCACTTAGATTCGATCTTATCGACCAATCAGAGCGAGGTCACGCCGGCGACTCACATTTCACTCGCAAAGTCGAAATCCATTGACAACGGCGCGAGCTCTGGCGCCTCGGCTCCCGGGCCTCACAGAGCAACTGGCGCATCGCCGAGCAAGCCGCAGGGTCTCCACGTCGACCGGAAGCATGCCTCCAAAGCGCAGTGCGCGCAGTGCAAAAGCACCTTCGAAACCGCGGACCGTAGGGCCGAAGACCAGGGCGGCCAAGGCCAAGGACGAGTCGTCCGCGCTGATGGAGGCCACGAAGGCGGCCGAGGAGGTGGTGCGCTCTCATAGTACCACGCCGGAGAGTGGCCGTCAGGCCGGGGCTCGGAGCAAGTCTCCTGACGCCGCGCAAGCCAAGGAGGAGAGTCCTCGGGGCCATAAAAGCCCGGCTCGCGACTGGGAAGCCGCCGTCTTTGACTGCACGATGGTCCAGTACTCCGGTGAGAGTTCACCCGACGACGAGAACGTCTCGGAGGGCAGCACGCACGCTGCCGAAGGCACGGAGCTGGCGGCAGGCGACATGACCAACGCCTCGGCCGACGCAAAGGCCTCGTCAGAGAAGGAGGCGGAGGACGCCGAGTCCGACTCAGGCGACAGCAAGCAGTCGCACGACGAAGTCGCCATGGCCGACGCTGGGGTCGTGGCCGAGAAGTCGCCGAGCGACGCGGGCTCCAAGCCCAAGGAGGTGCTGGCATCCAAGCATCTGACGCTGCCTCAAGGTCGTGAGCGTGCCCAAGCGTCGAAAGCGGCTGCCGCTGCGAAGGCCGCCGAGGCCAAGGCGAAGAAGCGTTCAGCTTCCAGGTCGCCTCGCGGCTCCAGCTCCAAGCTGTTCATCGACTCGGAGTCTGAGGACGAGGAGGGTGCCGTCCACGAGCCCAAGGAGCTCTCCAATAACCTCGACGAGCAGCAGCAGCATTACCACGCTGCTAGCTCGGGTGCGTATACCAGGCAGCCGACTGCCACGACTGCCATCGAGTCTTCTTCAGGCGGGGATGCCACGTACCCGCAGGGCTACTTCCCACCCGAGCCTGGCACTGGTGCGCCAGCGCTGTTGGAGAAGCTCTCGGCTCCTCGTGGCCTTATCGGCGGGTACACCTTGAGGGGTTCCTATGAGCGTGCTCTTGTTGAGAAAGAGCCACTCTTTCTTGGTGACGTTGAAGCCGCCCGGTGTGTGCTACTAGCACCACACAAGCTCACACTGAAGGAGTTCACCACGCTTCGCAAGAAGCCGGAGGACAAGGGTGGACTCCATCCTGTGTGGGGGTTCCACTGGGTCAAGCCGAATGACAACATGACCTGGAGCGAGGTGGAAGACCTCTCCTGGCGCTACGTCCAGCGCAAAGGGTATTCCGACCAAGCGTTCAAAGAACTCCGTGAGGATCGCACTCTGTCCGCAATCCTGGACGTGCGCGAGCTCCGCATCGAGTTCGCTCAACTCGTGAGCAAGCGCAAGCTCCACTCGAAGATGTACGAGCTGAAGCAAGAGGCGAGAGCCAAAGCTCGTGAAGAGCGTGGGCGTGGTGCGACTACGTCTGCTACCGTGCCCCGGGTACCGGCCAAGAAGCCAAGGACTACTTACGAAGCTGCCGCTGCTTCTCGTCCCATATCGCAACAGCCTTCGGGCAGTCTGCCTGGAGCTGCTCAACGGGCTCCCACGAGTTATCCGACTCAGGGTAACCCCTCCACTTCACGAGCAGCTGGCGCTTGCCATGGAGCCGCCGCTCCCGGACGACTCGTTCCACGTGGTAGTGGATCTGCCCATTACGATCAAGGAGGGCTCGCAGTCTCCATGGCCGTGTGGATTGTCGAGCCGACCTGTCGTCTTACGACTCGCTGCGAAACCAGCTCGCTGGTCTTCGGGCCGAGCTTCATGGCCACGCGCCGTATCCGGAGCAGCAGCAGCCCCGCTCGTATCAGGCCCAGTTTGGCCAGGGCTCGTACGGGGCCCCTGTGTATGCTGCCCCGATGTACGCCGCGCCGTCTTACGACCAGCGCGCGTATCAGGCGCCTTACCGCGACCCGACGCCGCGCTTCAAGGAGCTGCGCTCTTCTCCACCGGGCCACTCACCGCTTCCTGCGGAGCAGCCAGAGCCAGAGGGTCATGGTACCTCTTAAGACGACCCACGTAAAACGTCGGGTGAGTCGTCATCGACTTGGGCAAGTCTATGGTGTACGCCGCGCCATGCCGGCTGAGGACCGTGAAGGGTCCAATGAAGCGGTGCTTCAGCTTGTTGCCCTCGACCGAGCTAACAGTGTTTAGCGGTAGGTTTCTAGTATCTAGGAGAACTAAATCCCCAACCTTAAACACGTTCATGTTTCCTCTTCCATTTCGGTCAGAGTACTCCTTCTGTTTATCTTGGGCTTGCGTCATGGTGTCTCGCACCCTGCTGATTATGTTCAGCCTGTCTTCGGCAAACGAGGACAGTTGCTTCCGCAAGGTGGCTGGACTCACGTCCGAGACTTGGGAGGAAAAGGTTTTCCGAGCCTCTCCCCCACTTAGGACCGAAGCCCCGGTACTGCCTCGTAATGTGAGCGGCACCTGAGGGTGGCGCAACCCGTTCAGGGAAAAGGGCGTAAAGCCCGTCGATGCATGTACCGCATTGTTGAGAGTGCGAACTCAACCATGGGCAAGCGATCAGCCCAAGAGCGGGGCATCTCCGCGCAGATACTGCGGAGCGTGTCTTCGAGCACGCGATTGACGCGCTCCGTCTGGCCATCCGTCTGCGGGTGGTCCGCCGTCGACATCGACAGTCGTGTGCCGAGAAGGCGAAACAGCGTCTGCCAGAACGTAGCGGTGAACCGCGGGTCTCGATCAGAGACAATGGTCTCGGGCAGACCGTGGTGTCGGAAGACACAGTCCATGAACAGGCGAGCGACCTCGTCGCCAGTGACGGTGTCACGAACTGGAGCAAAGTGGACCATCTTGCTCAGACGGCACACGAAGACAACAACACCAGTGTTGCCACGGTCATCGGCCGGAAGTCCGAAGACAAAGTCGAGACTCACCGACTTCCAGCAGTCCGCTGGGACGGGCAGGCTCAGCAATGGTGCCGAGGCGTGACCGGCAGGCTTCACGCGCTGGCACGTCTCGCACGTACGGACGTAGGTGGCGACCCACTTGTACATGTGACGCCACCAAAACATCTGCGAGACAGACTCGTACGTCTTCTCACGGCCGAGATAACCACTGGATGGAGCGTCGTGCGCCTCCATCAGGATGTCGTACTTGAGATCCTCGTCGTTGGGCACGACAATACGGGGAGGATCCTCGGGCTCGACCCTATAGTGGAGCAAACCGTCAGCCCACTCATAGCGGTGCAGCCTTGCACGTTGTCGGGGCGTGAGCCACTCGGCCTTGGCTTCCGAGCCAGCGGCCAAGAACCGCACAAGAGGTCCGAGACTGGCATCGTCTCGGTACCCCAGCCTGATGCGATCATACAGATCCGTCGCGACCCGACTAATATGAGCAAGCTCGTAGTCGGGTCGGCGCGACAGCGCGTCGTCAAGCACGTTCAACTTGCCCGGCTTGTACTCGACACGGAAGTTGTATTCCGCGAAGAATGACAGCCAACGCGCCATCCGCTGTGAGAGATGCGGCGTGTTGACGGCAGTCCACAAGGACGCGTGGTCTGTATAAACGACAAAGGGCGTCGAGCCCAGGAGGTGCACTCGGAACTTGACAAGAGCGTACTTCATGGCAAGTAGCTCCTTGTCGTGGACTGGATAGTTCCGTTCGGCTGCCTTGAGCTGCCTGGACTGGAACGAGATGACCCGTTCGCGGCCTTCATCGTCGGCCGGCAATAGCGCACAGCCAATTGCGTAGTCAGACGCATCACAGACTACGCTGAAAGGCTTCGTCTCGTCCGGCAATGCCAGGACTGGCGCGCGCTGTAAGCTCGCTTTGATGTCGTTAAAAGCATCTTGATGGCGACGCTCCCAGCGCCAGTCGACAGCCTTCTTCAGGAGATCCGACAAGGGCCGTGCCAGCTCGGCGTAGCCTGCACTATACTTGTGCAGGTAGTTGGCGAGGCCCAACCACTGTCGTAGGTCCTTCTGCGACCGAGGTGGCGGCCAAGCCGCGATGGTTTTCACCTTCTCCGGGTCCGCCCGGACCCCGGCGCTGCTGACGAAGCAGCCCAGGACCTTGATCTCCTCAGCTGCGAACACACACTTGTCGATGTTGGCGCACAGCTTGTTCGCCCACATGACTTCGAACACACGTCGAAGGTGCTGGAGATGCACCTCCATGGCCGTCTGGCCTGCCTCGGCACGGCTGTGGACGAAGATGTCGTCAAAGTACGTCTGTGTGAACGCACGCAAAGGTCGGAACAGTTGTGTGACCAAGCGATTGAACGTTGCCGGGGCGTTAGAAAGCCCCTGAGGCATGACCAGCCACTCCCAGAGCATACCGCTCGGCGTGCTCACAGCCGTGAGTGGGATGTCGCTCTCGCGCATCAGGATCTGGTAGTATCCGTCCACCAGGTCCAGCGCGCTATACTGCGTGCAGCCGGCCATGTTGTTGAGCAACACGTCCTTGCGCGGGATCGGTGTCTGCGCAGGCACTGTCGCGCTGTTCAGCTTGTTATAAGCATGAATCAGACACCACTTTCCGTTCGGTATGCAAACACAGAAGGTAGGCGTCGAGTGCGGGGACTTCGACTCCCGCACCATGCCTGCCTTCGCCTTGGCGGCAAAGAAGGCATCAATGACTTCACACTGCTCCCGGGGAAGAGGCCATTGCCTCGTGACACAGTACTTCGTGCCCGGCACGAGATCGATCTCGTGCCTGATTCCCCTGTCCGGAGGGAGATTGGACGGTGGATCCTTGGACACCACGTCCTCAAACTCCTTCACCAAGGGGTACACCGGGTCCCGGGGGTTCTTAAGAATCTCAGAGCCCATGCGCGACGCGCGCTGTCTCTGGAACCCCTCCAGGACTGCCTGGTCCATGACCGAGGACGAGTTCAACTCGGCCGACGTGGACTCCGGTCGGAGGAGAACCAACTCTGCGATCTCCCCGGCCTTTAGCTCGGCCAAGAAGTCCTTCATGGCGAGCCCCTCAAGGTTCAGCAACTCTGAAACCTCGGGCAGAGCTGTAAGCTCGACAGCTCCTGTCTTGACCCGACGACCGGTCACGCCGTCGAAGATGTGATAACACTCTTCGGCGGCTGGAGCCTTGGCTGGAGGCTCGGAGTCGCTGGCGACTGGCGTCGTCGGCCACACGACTAGGCCCGGCTTACGACGTGACCCTCGGGTGTCTTCGTCTCGTGGCGCCGCCTTGACGGCACCACCGATCTTCTCGATCTCGTGCGGAACTACGTTACCCGCCTTGTCCTTGAGCGGAACTTGGTTACCCGCCTTGTTCTTGAGCGGAACTTGGTTACCCGCCTTGCTGGGTGGAACTATGTTACCCACCTCGCCGTGTGGAACTTGGTTACCCACACCAGGAGCGCTTCCAGCGACTCCCGCATCAGTTATAGTCTGAGTGACCTCCTGTGGAACTATGTTACCCACATCGGAAGCGCCTGCAGTGCCTTCCTCATCAGTTACGGTCTGAGTGACCTCGCGTGGAACTTGGTTACCCACGCCAACGCCAGCGGCGCCTTCTCCAGCAGCCCTTGCTGCCTGCGGTACTTCGTTACCCGCGTGTGGACCTACGTTACCCACCTGGTAGGTGCTGTCCGGCACCTCCACTCTCAGGCCTTGTCCGGCCCGGTCGGAGTCGTCGTCAGTCTCGACGGACCCCAAGAACTCATTAGACGCTGCTGCGCCCTGGCGGCCCTCGCGGGCGCCCCAGGTGCTGCCAGAGGTGGGAACATGACTCACCAAAGCTCTGTCAGAGCGTGGGGGACGGCTGGCCCCGATGGCCTTGCCGCGCCAGTCGATCCAAGGCTCCTGTTTCTCCAGCCACGGCATGCCAAGGATCAAGTCGTACTTGTCCATGTCTAGGACCAAGAACGGCTCCGTGCTGTCGAAGTCCTCGAACTTGACAGTGAGGTCCATGTGGACCCGAGGTACTTCTACCACCGTACCATCGGCCAGTCTTACCGAGATCAGCCCGTTGCCTTTGCTGCCTCGTAGCGCATCGGCGTACTTGTCGCGATTGCGTGCGACAGTCTGGCGGCGCGCAAAGTTCTTGGACGCCCCAGAGTCGATCAAGATTCTCAAGGGATGATCGTATCCCGGTACACTCGCGTGCACCACAAGCAGCCCACCGCTGCCCTTCTCCGCTTCGAGAGTACAGAGACTCTCAGGGGCTAAGTCCCCATGGCGTGCGCCACCCGCACGCCCCTCATGAAGACTTAGTGTTTCCCCAGTAGGGCGCCCCGTCCCTACTGGTGACCGGCGTTCCCCTGGTTCCTGGGGTGCGGCTTCTGCCAGCGACCCCTAGAGCCAAAGGGCTTCGAAGAGAACTTCTTCTTCAGTCCTCCCGCGGGACAAGCACGTTTCATGTGCCCAAGCTTGCCACAGCCGTAGCAGCGAATGTCGCTCTGCTCGGCCATGCCCAGATCCATGGGAACCGGCCCGTTGATCGCTCCATTGCCGGAGTTACCATTAGGCGCACCGCCAGAGGCAGGGTTGCTCTGTCATACCGTGGCGGGGGTACGAGCCTGCTTGTGGCTGTACTCCTCCTGGAGGGCGATCTGAATCGCCTCGTCCATAGTGTTTGCTTGCACACGGAACAGTTGCGTGCGGGCAGGACCGACACGCAGACCGTCCATGAACACGGTCACCTTGATGTGTTAAGGCAGGGGGTTCCCCACCAAGAGGCAGTGAGCACTCGCATCTCCTGGATGTACTCATGCAGCTCGCGCCTTCCTTGTTTGCAGGCGAGGAAGCGCGAACGCTGGCGGTACGAGTAGTTCGCCGGAAGAAACGCGGCTCGCAGCTGCTCGCACAGCTGGGACCATGATGCGAAGCATCCAGGCGTCGTCGCTTCGCGCGTATACGCCCAACTCTTAGCGCGACCACTAAGGTTGGAGAGCGCAAAGGCGACACGGAGTCGCTCGTCCGAGACGAGAGCCGCGTCCATCGCGAGCTCAACCTCTCGAACCCAGAAGTGAAGGTTTTCTCCTTCCTTCCCTTCGAAGGGGTGAACCATCAGCCGCAGGGGCTTCGGTTGCACCGGCTTCGGCGCGGCCGCAGTGGCCTGCAGCCCTTGAACGTGGGCGATGAGCTCTCGCTCGTAGGTGTCGAACGCGTTGATACGCTCAACCTGCTCAGCCGGCGTCGCCGCCGCTAAGCTACGCAGGGCATCTGTCCCAAAGATGCCTGCCATCTCACGAACGGACTCGTACTGCGAGTCGTTCAGATGGGGAAACTCCGTAAGATCCATCTTGGCTCACTCGATGAGACCACAGAGGATTCAGGTAGTCCAATCTACCCGCGTAGGCGTAGGATTGACTACTATTGCTACCAAGTGTGACGGGGTATACAGCACTTCTTAACAGAGGAAGCAGGAGTATACAAACTCCAAGTGAACAGCCGTTCACGTGTCCCTGGTCTGAAGGGGACGACTTGACTTGAAAAGCGGTAGATCTAAGACTGAATGTATATATAGGTTGGTACAGATTTGGCCTGCATACAAATCCTAAGTTCCCTATAGTTTGTGTCATACAAAATATATCTGTTGGCTCTGAGGCTACTTGGGTCACTATCCAGGGGAGTGGCCGATGTAGCCATCGCGGAATAGTGACAGGGTCACTATTTTATGTAACCCCGTTACATGCAGTCTCTGGTTAGTTCAAAAGTGTAGCAATGTACGTCGTCTAGCCCAGCTGATCAATCAATGTGATACTTATGTGCATGCTAATCCAAAATGATATCAATTGACAACATGTGTCACTAATGTGAAACATCGCACGAAAGTGAAGTTTTAAGACTATTTCAATGCGAATTTGAAGAAACGAAGGGTATCATTGCGTTGGCATTTTGTTACGAAGCTTAACGTAACTTCGTGGTAGTGCCGATACAAAATGTAAGCAAATCGTAGAACTCTGTATGCGGGCGCTGCTCTTAACAAACTGCTAGGTAGTAGTCCTCGTAGCCATCGCGCTGACACGAAAGCTGTAGGGCTTGATTGAGCTTCTGTCTAGTGCTGGCAGCATGGCAAGCCAGAGATGGCTGCGTGCTCACCTATCATAATTCCCATTTCTTCGACGTGCAAACAACGGTATATGCTACAATAAACACTTCGCAATCACCAACATCCTGTCATTATTTGGTTTTGAGGGCTTTGTGCCTTGGCTTTCGTATGGCAATGAAATGCTCATGTCTCATTGCCGAGTAAGTATTTGGTCTCATGGGTTTTATTAATGGATCTCCCCCCAAATTTTCAGCACAACTTTCACTTGATGGCAGCCTCCCTGCAACGGATGGACCGCGCGAGCCTGTTTGCAGACGGTTCGACCACCGCCGCTGCAGTACTCGCCAACGAGACCATGCAACAACGTCGTCGAGGCATCGCGAGGTGAAGCCATGTCGTTACGGAGGTTCACTTCAACTTGGGCACATGCAAATCACGCCGCGCCTGCCAGTTGGCACCTGGATGCACGATGGTCCGATGCAGGAATGAAATGCAACTCGCATTGCATGCAGCAAGCAGGGCCAACCAAAGCCCGACTCGTTTCGGCAGTGCCACTATCCACTTGGCAGTTTTTTATTACGATCACCGGACCACGAGCCGGAGCAAAGTCTGAAGTATCCGATACGCCGAGCGGGCTCTAACGTGAATGAGTCAGCAGCGCCAATGGCCATGTAGCCGGCAACAAACGGAGGAGATTGCTAGTAGCAATTCGCTGTTGTGCATGCATGGCCGACTGCCTGCTGCGCGGCAGTCTACTGTTGAAAATATCCATGTCGTTGGCGCATCCATCCATGCCCCCAATTCGTCGTGTTTGCTGCCAATGTGGTCAATTTCATGATAAGTGCCGGATCTTACTGTGCAAGCGCGGCGATATTTCGTGCTGAGGTGGCCAGTTCTTCGCTGGTCAGCCCCGAACAACCTCGAGTACGAGCGGCGCGACGCGACGACGGGAGACCGCGTTGGGTCTGACCCCTTCCTGGCGAGAATGGACGTCCGGAAAAAATGCAGTGGCTTGCTGGGGAACGAGCCCGTCCCAGCAGCAGCAGCAGAACTCGTCTTGATTCGCTGCAGAAGCGATACAGTACCGGTACGAGGAAGCGCTGCGAGGAGAGGTCGTCGGGGTGTACGGGGAACCGAGCGCCAAATAGATACGGGGATCAGCCTCTGCGAGAGATGTTGCATGGTTCCAACCGAGACAAAAGAAACTTTCCGCGAGCTTCCTCGTGTTATCACTATTAAGGTAGAACATGCAGGCAAAAAATCCCTACGCAGTCCCCGGTAAGCATCGTAGCGCCTTGGGGTGTGTTTCTGTCGGTCGCGGTGCTAATTTACTCTATCAAACGAAGAACAAAATGGACGGTGAGTTGTGTGTTCGCCGCCGGTTAGTGTCGGCTGTCGGTGGCGCCTACAGCGACATGTTGCCGGACGGCATGCCCGGTGCCGGGTACGTCGCGCCCATGGGCATGCCCATGGGGAAGCCAGGGTACGCCATGCCCTCGCCGGGGCTCATGCAGCCCTCGCTGTCCTCATCGTCGAAGAGCATGACCTCGAGCATCATCACTTCCTCGTGCGAGAGGTTGCAGATCGGCTCCTTGGGCTCCATCATGTTGGTGACAGCGTTGTACTCCATGGGCACCTGCGCTGCGTCCATGAAGCGCTTGTTGCGCTCGACCATTTGTTGGCGGATGAGGCGGCGCTTCTGCTGCATGCGCTGCTGGTTCACGTTGGCCTTCTTGCGGTGGAAGTCGCAGAGCTTGTGCAGGTCGCCGTTGTCCTTGACGGCGCGGTGGTTGTTGCAGAGCTTGCTCGGGTACGAGCAGCGCACCTCCGTAGGGAGCAGCGCGACGGCCTGCTTGCTGTCGGCAGCGGCAGTCGGAGCGGCGGCGGTGTTGTTGGACGACATGGTTGTGAAGAAGTACTTGGCTGTTTGTTTGGGAGTTGCTGTGGTAACCAAGCTCGTAGTGAGACTGGTTCGCTCGTGCGTTTGTTTGTCAAATGCGCGGTCGGAGGCGAATTGAATAGTGATCACTCGCTCCAGTTGCCCCGCTGCTTATTGTTCTGGGCGCTACGCCGGCCGCGGCGCTTACCTGCCGTAGACGGGAGTCCGTAGACGCAACTTGGTGCCGAGCCGGCCACACCGCGACCACCGCTACTGCACCAAGAGCAATAACGATGCATCGACCGATCCTCTGGGCCGCCTCAAGGCCGAACGTACTCTACTGAACCGGTTCCGCGATTTTTAGGCAGTCAAGTTGTCCTCCGGAACGATTCTTGCTCGCCCACGGCAGCCTCGACGTTAGTCACCGGGGCGTGAATCCGGATCATTTTTAGGGGCCAGCCGCAGTGCGGCTCCATGTCGGGTCGAGCGGAGTGCTAGCTAGCTTCGCGTTGGCATTGCTCAATGGTGCTTGTAAAGTCGCCAGCGCTTCTAAAAAGAAGGCCACCGCGCGAAGCGGTGTAACGGAGACTGTCCCCGCTTGCCCGATTGTAGCTACCCGCGCTACAAGGTTGCTGGTTGGCACGGCGGGACGCTCGCTCCTTTTCGCAGACACTGAAATACATGGCATCGGGCGGTCCTAGTGAGCTTGTATGCACCACCAACGAGTAGGAGCTCGCACCGGCTCACTCTGCTATGTATGAAGGGCTCGACTTGATTATCCAGCAGGCGATCGAATGTGCCACACCAAGAAAGACTTGGCCATGTGGAAGTGGGGAGGATGGCGAGCAAAGGGGCCCTAATGGCTTCCAAACTGCTGCGCTGCTTGGGGGCAGCTGACCGAACTGTGTGGATGCTAATGCTACAGTCCGCCGCCACGTCGAGACTAAGATCGAGGCTCAAAAGCTGAGCAGAACACGCGGGGCCTCACGCATTAAACGCATTAAGTAGCAGCCGTGGGCCATGCCATTTCTCCACCCCGAGTTCCCGACCCAAATCAATGGAAGGCACTCTGAGCCACGCGCCGAGTTTTTTTGGCGCAATGCAACAACGGGTGTAATTGCCTCCATTGCGGCAGAACAATTGGCACCGCAGCTCCAACTCGCGACCACAGGAAGGCTGCAGTGCTGAGCGAGCAATCAGGAAGCCCATGATGGCGTCTTTTGGGCACGAGCTCCAGCGCTCGTCCTGTCGTGGTCTTTCTGAGTCATTACTTCTTCCATCAGGTCCTGAAGAGTTCGGACTGCGCGAGTGCGTGCGCCGGCTTGGAGGCCTAGTCAAGCGGCAACCAGCCGCATTAACACGAGCGACAGTCCTATCGGGCTGCATGTCCAGCGAAGCGCAGGGAAATCCTCGAGCCGTTTTGTCGCCCCAATGGTAAAAACGCATAGAGCTCTCTATTCGCCGTCACTTGTTGTACTTGTATTCAAGCGGGGTTCTCCCTCGTTCACCTATCCAAAACATACTCCGACGTCCGTCTCGATTGCATGGTTGCCAAACCTGGTGACGATCAGGTTCAACCAGATAGCCCCGCGCTACGAAGCAGCGACGCCTAGAGGTTCGTTTGTTCATGTAGCTCCATCCACTTTTGAGCGAACCTAGTTCGAAAGGGTCAGCTCGCACGCATTGTGCATACCTCGCCATCGCTTCTAGAGCGAATCTGTAACTGTTCGCACGAACCTTCCCCCAGCGTTTACCAGTTCATCTCAGGTCGTTCCTTCACACAGCGAAGCCCTCATCGAGCTGATGTAGCAGAACACAGCTCGGTGGCTCCATCCGTTACTTCTCCTGCCGTCGCCATGAAAACAAAAGCGTCAAGTGAGGCGACTTCAACATGACGCTGCGTCTTTAATCTCGTTCCTAGAGTACCGCCCTTGTGAAGGTCCAAAGCGTGTACCACAAACATGAACACCATGTGGGGTAATCCTGATGCGGACCAAACAATAGCGATGGATATTCTGCATTCGCATTGAGAGAGCTGCTGGACCTCGTACTTCAACTACGGATCCGCATACTCTTCTCGGATTGGCCAATTTACTTCAACTTGTGGTCGTCCTGTTGTGATACCAAGTCCTTCATAGCAGGAGCTCGTACATGAGGATTCCACTCGGACAGGACGCGAAACGAGAGTATTGCGCGTGCCCTTTCGTGGTTTGAATCATCTAGACTGTGTAGAGCGCACCATTGCATGGACATTGGATATCGCCAGTTGTAGGTCGTGCCTATCTGGTGGAAACCAGGCACAGCCCGACTCGAATGTGTTCGGATGTTCCATGGGCACATGACGATCACTCGCTTGCTACGTGCTGCAGGTATACCAGAAAGCGAGGCAGCTTCAACCACGGCCAGGCGATCGCACTGAAACCGCTGGAGGATACGCGCCACGTTAATGGAGACTTGTCGGTCTGACTTTTGCTTCGCACCATTCAATTCACCGTGTGGTACCCGGCAAAGCTCACATAGTGCAGCTCGCGCAGGTAAACATCCGGCGTGCCCATCGCTGTATCGGTCGAGAGTTGGCTGCACGCGAGCCACATAGGGTTTACTAGCTAGCCGCGTCTGCCTATGGCGGCAACATGACGAAGTTCGTCAGCTGAATATTTCGAGACGCACTGAGACTGGAGTGTAGATAGCCTGGCGGCGGGCTATCCCATTCTTCAATTTTTGGTGTAGTGCGCTCGGGTTTGCACCCGAGGTGTGGCTTTCTTTAGACAACCAGCTTCCCATTCGCATCAGTGTGCCTTCCAGCAGTGTTTCATCCCATGGCGTCTATTTATTGCTGCGAGCATGATCCCTTGCTGCTTGCATCCTTCCCATGCCGCAAGAGCCCCATCGCTTTGTCTCCATATTGCAAATTCCTGCTCAACCACCAGCTCGAACAGCTACAACAATGTCGGCATCGATTCGCGCAGCTACTGTGACGGACCCGTCCATCTTCGAGATCCTTTTCAAGCAAAAGGACGGCCTTGACAACCCGCAGGAGGAAGCCGCGTCGACTTCAAGCAAAGCCAAGGAGGAGGAACCGCAGCTTTTGCTGCCTGTGAAGCAGCCGACGCTGCTTGCCGACCTCCACTTACTGCAGCAACTCACACAGCAGCTCCAGGCTGCAACACTGAGCACTGCAAGCAACAATCACGACGACGATGATGGTGTGGCAGCAGCGAATGCCGAGACAGAGAGCCTAGCCACTCTGTACTGCCGCCGCGCAGCAGCACTGTTGGCTTTTGTCGACTACGACGTCACCACGACGGTGCCCCTTGATATTCTAGCCTCCGGTCCGTCGTCGAGCTCTGTCCGCGATGAGGCGAACCAGCCAGCACCGATGCTGGAGGCTGTTAGGCAAGCGCTTCAAGACGCTCAGGCTGCAGCGGCACTTTCCTCAAACAATGCAACGATCGCTGAAGCTCATTTGCTGTCGGCGAATTGCTCGCGTAGCTTGGGGGAGCTTGCACACGCTCGCGCATTTGCAGCACTGGCGGCAGCAGCACTACCGGGAAGCTATGCGATCACGAGTTTGGCTGAGCAACTGGACGTGGAAGCTCGCGCTGACACTGCAGAGCTCTTGCCCAAGCTGCGCCTCACCTCGGCGGCTTTTCCGACATCAAATAGTGTCAGTATCGCCGGCGCTGCTGATGTTGAACAGGAGGAAGACGGGAACAACAACGACCAACCTGAGCAGCGTGTTACGAAGGCGTCTGCAGTGGCTCCATTGCTGTCAATTGAAACCCCAGCGGAGCAGAGCTCGTTCTGGCATCATGTGGCGCCGCACTTTCAAACACTCGAAGAAGCTGCCAATTCTCCCTGGCTGGAAAAGCTCGAGCGACTCATGCACCAAAACGTTCACCACCGCTGCGCGCAGCCTAACGAGGTGCGTCAACTGGACGCGGCACTTCAGGCTGCATTTGCTGCGCTAGCGTTATTGCTCCAAAGCAGCGTCGCGTGCTCAGTGCTTGGACTCGACATGAGGGACGACGCAGCCGCCAGAACTCTAGAGAAGCTCACTCAAACGGCTTCGTCATCGCCGCAGACGCTGGTCCAGAATCGCACGACAAGGAAGTGGATTGTGTGCACGTGGGCTCCAATCGTTCGCCTCGCGTCGTCGTCGCCTTCTACATCGCCACTTACTGACTTGTCAAACGATGTGCTTGTGATGCTAGCACGTTTGCTTCAGGCATCGGGGAGCTGGAGGCGATGCACTGCCATGGGGCACAGCTTGGCATACGCCGAAATGGGCTTCGACCTGGCAAAAATTCTCCGTGAGAGCGGAACTGACCCTGCTACTTGGTCACGGCTGGAGTTGCAGTGCGCTGAAGCCTTCGCAACAGCTTTGCTGCAGCGAAGCTCAGGTCAAAATGAGGCCTTGAAGACATTCCGAGATGCTCTCCAAGGCGCTCTTCACGTCGGGGACCATGAGTACGAGCTTCGAGCTCGTCTGCATGTGGCTAAAACGCTTCGGCTCATGGAAGAGCCCGAGATTGCGCACGCTGAGCTTGACCAGCTACTAGTACGCTGTCGAGCTCTGAACGACGTTCACATGGAAGCGATGGCCGAGTACGAGATGGGTGAGCACTTCGTTCAGCAAGAGGACCTGGAGACTGCGCACGAACACTTCCGAGCGGCGCAGACGCTGTGCAACCGCACGGCCAACTGTGGGGACTCGTGGCGCCCTCGATCCATTCAGCAGGCGATCGCGTTTTACGCGCGTCTGCGGCTGACAGCTCGTCGCGGAGCCATGCGCTGCAGCGTCTCGACTCTGCTTCGCTCGGTCGCCGATGACCGAGAGGACGACAGCGACGAGTCTGAAGCGGAAGACGACAGCCACGATGTCCTGAAGCAAGAGGAGCAGCAGGAGGAGACGCAGCGCCCCAAGGAACGGCGCCAGGCCTTTTATCTCAAGAGATCAAGCCCAGAGCCGCGCTCATTGATGAGCACGATCATGAGCACGACGGGCGGGAACTCGCTGAGCGGACCGAAGCCCAAGCGCACGATGACCTGGCGCGAGTCCGTGTTCACCACGGCGTGGCCGGCTGGCAACATGGTGGCTTCGCAATTCTAGACGGTACATTACAGAGTAGAAAGTAAATCGCACATTTTATAAATTCTCTTCACTACGATCGAATGCATGCATTGCGCGCGTCGTGCACAACATTGTTGCCGTTGAAGTTGCCTTTGGTGTGGGCCACACTGTGTCCGCACGCGCTTTTGTCCAATCATATCCCTTATCCACTGCGATCCGGAGTCTAACTGGCTGAAATCTGTCCTTAACACGAGCCACTCGGATCGTCGGAAACCCGCTATCAGGTTTGACAGGCAGGGGGAGCAGCTCCCCAAACGAGCGGCTCTGAACCACGGAGACACCCAGATTCGCCGCCCCGCAGCAGAGCAAGAACGACAGGATGGTCATGATGATGTTCGTCAAGAACTCGGCGCCCGCGCTCAAGTGCGTAACCCTACCTGCCACAGCCCCCCCCCGCCGTCTCGTGCAGACGTCGGACCGCGCGCCGCTCTATCACTGCGTCACAAGAGCGGATAGAGAGGGCGTCGTGGACCGAGTGCGGGGTGGTTATGTTATGGCGATAATTCTCTAACGTTGCGCCGAACTTTATTGTATTGGCACTTTGTGCGCAGGACCGTGGGCCAGCAGGCCCGTGGCATGGCCACGGAGAAGCAGATTCTGCAGCGTATCACGGCCACGTCCAACATCGCCAAGATCACCAAGTCGATGAAGATGGTGTCGGCCGCCAAGATGCGCGGCGCTGAGAACCGCATGAACGCCGGCCGCCCCTTCACGGCGTGGCTGGACAACGTCAAGGGCGCGCACGACCGCACGATCGAGACGGACGGCGTGGCCCCCGTGGAGGAGCTCGAGGGCGACAACGTGTTCGTGGTCGTCTCGTCGGACCGCGGTCTGTGCGGCGGCATCAACTCGGGCATCGCTAAGACCACGCGCAAGCAGATCGACGGCGTGCAGGACCACTCGCAGATCTTCGTGATCGGCGACAAGGCCCGCGCCCAGCTGCGCCGCGACCTCGGCGACAACATCCGCGGCAACGTGACGGAGACGTACGCGTCGCCCCCCAACTTCACGGTGGCCAGCGCCATCGCGGAGGCCGTCGTGGCCACGGCCGCGTCCGACTCAGAGAAGGTGCACGTCGTGTACAACAAGTTCAAGTCGGCCATCTCGTACCTGCCGTCCGTGCGCTCGCTCGCCGTGCAGCCCGACTCGGACGCCTTCGACCTGTACGAGCTCGAGCCCGACAACAAGGACGAGCTGCTGGCCGACCTCAAGGAGTTCGAGATCGCCACGGCCATCTTCCAGGGCATGATCGAGAACTCGACCTCCGAGGAGTCGTCGCGTATGGCCGCCATGGAGAACGCCACCACGAACGCCGAGGACCTCATCGGATCGCTCACGCTCGTCTACAACAAGGCTCGCCAGGCCCGCATTACCACGGAGCTGATTGAAATTATCTCGGGTGCCGCCTCGCTCGACGGTTAAGTGGATTCAGCCCCGCCAACGACAGCGGAACGGACGAATTAAATCCTCTCGCGCAGTGTAGCTACAGTACCAGCGGGCGCGAGCTTCATCAATTCGAGGAAGTACGAGCAGCAACAGCGTGGTGTCGACGGAAATAAACAGCAAAACCATCTCCTCGACTGCGAAAGTTTTCCTAGTCTGTGCGTGCATGCAGGTACATGTATGTCGGCTCAGTGCTGTGACGGATGCAGTCGCAGCACAGCTTGAATATGAGACCGCGTCGAACAAAAAGATACTAATCAACCAAAGTACGAATTGGGATTTAGGTACCTCGTTGGAAAGAGGGGCGTCTTAGCTATCTTCCCTCCACAACTTCTAACAGTTAGATTAGCCAAAGATATGACCCCGCGAAAGCAAAATTAAGATTTTTTTTATTGGCTACCCTGGTGTAAAATTGTACAGCGGATCGCTCCACCAACATTCACCCTGCTTGCTTGGGATACACGCACTGTTGCTGGCTCTTCAAGGCAACCACAACGCAACTCGCCTTCGCTGGTGCGACAGGGGCGGAAGATGGGAACGCGCTCTGCGTGTCGAAATTTCTCAGTGCGAAATGGTGTGGCGCACACCACGACATTCCAGAGATTTAGCGGAGTTTTCGAGTGCTTCCATTGGCCAAAATCCTTCGACCAACACTCATACCTCCGCTCGCTGGATTTGAACCAATCACGACGCCAGAAAACCCCCATTTCGCAGCACAAATTTTTCCGCTGGATATCGAGCAGTGCCGGCGTTCCGCCGGCCTGTATGCGTCTTCTCTTCTAGAAGCAATGACGAGGGCTGTTTCGGTGTTTACGGTTCGGCACTTGTCCTACGGCGCTCTTGAGGCGGCACGGACCGAGCTCATGTGCAGCTCACACCTCAATTTGCCCCGTGCCAGCCACAGCTCACACCGAAGGAAGACCAACAGACAGACAACATCCTATCAGCATGACGGACAAGTTCCCAGTGGATCTAACGGAGACCTCGTTCTCCGAGGAGCTCAACGACATCAGCAGCAGCGGCTCACCCGCCGCTGTGCCCGAGGAACTGCGCTGCCAATACTCGAGCAAGCGCTGCGAGAACCAGCGCACGCACAAGAAGAGCGGCGGGCTGCACAAGTTCTGCGCCATGCACCGCAAGAAGGCCAACCGCAACCAGATGCGCCTCGACCACCGGCGCCGCGTCATGAAGCAGCAGCAGAAGGAGCTCCAGCGGCAGCAACAGGCCCAGCAATTGCAGCAGATTCAGGCCCAGCAGCAGATGCAGATGCAGCGGACACACAGCCACGCCTCGGTCGCCGCCATGGCGGCAGGACAGAGCTTCCGCTACAGCAGGACGCAGCGCACCCCCGTCGGCGCCATGCGCAGTCCGGTCGGCGTCAAGCCCATGTCGCCGCCCAACATGACGATCAGCATGAGCATGCCCGTGTACCCGGCGATGGAGATACCGCCTCAGCAGCCACGGCCCCAGCAGCAGCAGACGCCGAGCATCCCGCTGTTCGACCAGCACGACCTGGAGATCTTGGAGGCACTGCTGTTCAGCAGCGACGAGGAGCAGAGCGACGCAGCCCCGGTCGTGCACTGCAGCACGCCGCAGTTCTTTCCGTCGCCGTCCGTTGTGAACGTTTGAAGGCGCGGCGCCGCTGCGGCTCCCCCCGATGCAGACCCAGATCCGGGCGGCGCGAATACCGAGTTCCCGAGCGTGTCGGACGCACAGTTTTCTTAGCGCATGCCCCGCGTGCGCAAGTTGATAGATAGTAAGTATATAGCCCTGATAAGTTTAAAAGTATTTAGCCGAAGATAAAGAAGCTGGCCAAAGGAAACCAGCCGTAGATGCAGCGCAGATGAAGCAGAAGAATATCAATAAACACCACTGCCGTCTACAGCAAGCCAAGGTCGCAAGTCTTCGTCTACAGTGTATCCATCGCCGGTACACTGTACCACCTCAAGTTATACTGAATGTTGGAGAATTTGCAGCTCTCTACGATAGAGCTGACCGCCTAATAATCGTTTTTACCACCTCGGAGCAAGATTGACCTGCAGTTCTCCTGCCACCGTGGTGCTCTTCGCGACTTATTAATACCTGGTGGACAGCACGCAGCCGCGGCTGCATCCTCTTGCTTCCCATTTTGTGCTCACATCATGCGAGACATCGAGGATACAGGATATTCGTCAATGCTGTTGCAGCCTCCATCTTTTCTGAGGCTGACAGACCCATACCTTCTCGACAAAAGGAGCACCAAGAACGTCGCAACCATCCATGCGCGACGATGGTGAAACTTGTGGTAGCTGCACGGAGAAGGAAACCAGGTACAAACGGCGAGGAAGCCGCGGACTCACTCTGTCGCTTCAACCTGGAAATCTAGCTACGCACATGATTCAGGTGGCTGTTTGTAGTTTCTAGAATCAAAACACGGTGCACCACATTCCAATTCCCGATGTTCTGAACGATATAGTGAACCCAAGTCAAATCGCGGTCAGGTGTTCAGCCCACGACAGTCCTCGATTCTTGGTGGCCTCGAGGACTCACGCCGAGCCGCACTTCCCTTCCGTCGCCGTGGCGCGTGTCTTAGACGACACTTCCCGCTCCCAGCACCACCACAACCCTCTGGACAACATTCTCGTCGTCCCACGCAACTCTTGCGCTCGACGCAAAGCGTTTAACACCACCCCCACCTACCTAACCTGCATTATTCCCTTAAACTTGCAACTTTAAGTGAACAACTTTAAGCCAAAATGGAGAACTACCAGAAGGTGGAGAAGGTGGGCGAGGGCACCTACGGCATCGTGTACAAGGCGCGGGACCTGACTACCGGCCGCATCGTGGCACTCAAGAAGATCCGGCTGGAGCCCGACGAGGAGGGCATCCCGTCCACTGCCATGCGCGAGATCTCGCTGCTCAAGGAGCTGTCCTCGCACCCGAACGTCGTGTACCTGTACGATGCCGTGTACCAGAAGAACAAGCTCTATCTCGTCTTCGAGTTCGTGGAGCAGGACCTCAAGCGCTGTCTTGAGAAGCTGCCGGCCAGGATGGAGGTGTACCAGGTCAAGAGCTACCTGTACCAGCTATTGGCTGGCATTGCCTTCTGCCACGCCAACCGCGTGCTGCATCGCGACCTCAAGCCGCAGAACCTGCTCATTGACCAGTACGGCAACCTCAAGCTCGGAGACTTCGGCCTGGCGAGAGAGTACGGCGTCCCGTTGAGACGCTACACGCACGAGGTCGTGACATTGTGGTACCGAGCACCTGAGGTGCTGTTGGGTGCCAAGCACTACTCCACGCCCGTGGACTCGTGGTCCATTGGCTGCATCTTTGCTGAGATGGTCAACAAGCAGCCGCTGTTCCCGGGCGACTCCGAGATTGACGAGCTGTTCAGGATTTTCAGAGTGCTGGGCACGCCGAATGAGGCGCTCTGGCCCGGAGTTTCGACGTTGCCGGACTACAAGACGTCGTTCCCGCAGTGGCGTCCGCAGCCGCTGTCCAAGGTCGTGCCGCAGCTGGACCGCGTCGGTCTCGACCTGCTCTCGGTGAGTTTGCAGCTCATGTGTTGATTTATTGCTGTTGTTAATGCTAACTTTTGTTGGTGTGTTTGCTTGATGCAGCGTCTTTTGGTGTACGACCCCAGCAGCCGCATTTCGGCCCGCGCTGCGATGTCGCACCCGTGGTTTGCCGACCTGCACCCGCAGTACGCCTCTTTCCGCAACAACGGCAACGGCAATGGCACCCAGACGTTCTTCTAGGTCTGGGCAGCGTGTGGCGCGACAACCGACATTGTATAAAGGAAAACAACAAGAACAAGAAAAAGAGACGACCGCGATGGAGATTTTGGACAGCAACAACACCGACAGCCAAATATTCATCAAGCAGCGACAAGACAAGAAGAAACGCCGGCAGAATCCACCGCAAGGATGTTGTTTATCTACGGATAAAGTGAGATAAATTTACACCACCGCAGCAGGAGAGCAGTAGGCGAGTTCGACGGACTTCGCTTCAACTTGCTGCTGGGCATATCAGGGCTCACCCGAGCCTTTTTCACGTATGAGTGGCATAGATTTCGACGGTTCCACACGGAACAACGGGGGACGCAGATAGACAGTGATAGAGCTTTGTCTGCTAACTCGACCATGGAACTAACCAACAAACAAACAAAGACACCACGGAGCGTCCTCCGTGACGCCACCATTTTTGCCATACTACAATACCGTAGAGTTCCTCATTCCATACCATGAAATATCCGACTATCGGACCTATCGGACCTGTACCAAAAACATGGTACCCTACAAGGATGGACTCTAAAAACAAATATATAAGTTTGTGTATTATGTTGTGGGCCACACACCGATTACACTTTTGCTCATTTTTATTCTAGCGTTGGAGGGCAGAGTGCCGGAGGCAGCGGCGGTGGCGCCGAGGGACTCCGGCCGCAGGAAGGCAGCGGCAGGAAGCAGGCTCCAGGACGACGGTGAAGCCGCAGGACGACGGCGGCAGGAAGGACTGGCGAAGCGGCGGCAGGTCGGCGGAGCGGAGGCAGGTCGGTGGCTGGCTGGACGGCGAGGCGGCAGGCAGCAGTAGGACGGCGACTGGTTGGTGGGGCGGTGGCGGGGCGGACGGCTGCCCGGAGAACCTTGATGACTTGCCCGGCAGGGCGGCCGGCAGGCTGCCCGTTGGGTGAGCGCCTGCAAGCTGCGGCGCGCCCTCCCGGCAGCCCCGCGGCCCGCAGAAGCAGCTGCCACCACCGCCGCCGCCGTGAAGACCCCGCGAGTGCTAGTGCCTTACCTGGAAGGGCTGGCGGCATGCTGCTCGGCCCAAGAGCTGGGTGCTGCCCGCTGCATGAGCACGCAGCACGTGCGGGCTGCACGATGCCAACCACGCTGCATTGTTATGAGATTATTCGTTATATAATAAACGTATATTTAATAAAACTCCTCCACTGTTAATGTACATGCCTAGCGGCTTCCCTTCCGCGCTCATTATACACACCATGCACGCTCATACATTGCTACATCACGACGTCGAGATGGCCATTTTCAGTTTCAAATACTGCATATGTACCTCAATTATGGTACAGGTCCGATAAGGTCGGATAAATGGGATATATGCGTGTGATACGAGTTTATCTAAGAATTTGTATAGACATACACATATTTTGCAAGTCCCTCCGACCCGATACGTCCGACAGCGTCGGATATCGGACTTCCCTAACCCTATCGCAATATATTGGCCGAAACTCTGCCATGACATCCCTATGATTGGCGCAAATAAATACAAATGCTGTAATTGGCTGTTAATAGGCATACAATAAATAAGTAAGGTCGGATAACTCGTCATATTCAACCATAGTTGCCCATTTCAATCTAGCCAATCACCTTCATTCGCGCCAAGTCCCGATCTGCAACATACAAAAACCAAGACAAGAGTTTACCTAACGTTTCCCGAGTTTCCCAAGTCAAGAATTGGGTCAAAGCTTCATCGCCGAAAAAGATGAACGGAGCTCCTCATAAACGCCACCACGCCGGACGCGACGCGGGTGTGGACGTGGTCCGAACGCCCTCCCACAAGAAAGCGCGGACGCTAGTGACGCCGCAGACGGCGACGCGCGTCGCCTCAAGTAGCAGAAGCCACAGCAGCAGCCACAGTGCATTCCGGCGACATGCTGCGAGCAATCCCGAGTCCGAGGAGATCGAGGAAGAGGAGATGGAGGAGATTGAACACGTGCAAGAGATGCAGAGCCAAGAGGCTGAAGAGGAAGAGGAGGCGGCCATGCCCCTCGTGGTGTTCCAGTGCAGCACGTGTCGCTCCATCTTCGGAGACTCCTACGCCTTTGTGTGCTCCACTGAGGATCTGTGGCTTGTGACGCTGAGTCACGTGACCAATGTGGCGCTGTCTCCGGAGGTACAGACGGCCAACACGGGGCTGGATGCTGGCAGCTCGTTCTACGAGTTGTTGTGTCACAACTGCCAGGCTGTTCTCGGCCGCAAGTATTTAACGACGCCAGTGGCGCTGGACGGCATCAGGGACCTCTTCAGCTTCTCCACGGAGGCGATCACGTCGTACACGCTGGGGGACCCCATGCAACAGAGTGAAGATGCAGCAGACCAGCAAATGCTGCAAGCTGCGGCGGCGTGTAATGACACGATGCAGAAGCTCGCGGCGGATCGGAGCGAGCTGGCGAGGCTGAAAGACGAGATGGAGAAGGTCAAGGGGCTCATGGTGACGGTGGACGACCGATTGGCGCACCTTGAAGGAGCGGAACCGGCAGAGTCCGAGGAGGAAGCCGAGCAGGAACAGGAGCAAGAGGTGACACAACAGGGAAGCAAAGCATAGGCGTTAACTGTACGATGAAGGCGTTTAGATATCTTTTTCTGCGTTGATTGTCTTGTTCTAGCGGGGGTGGGTCGTATGGAGTCTCGGCAATCAAAAGACACTTGCTCAGTGGGATTCACCACCGCGCAGGTGCCGGCATCTCGGCCTTCCTCACACGTCCAAAGCTTACTGCGTAGCCTCAACCTCAGCCTGAGCCTCGAAGGCCGCACGCGCAGCCTCAACGCCCGTCGGCGGCTTCGCCTTGCGCATCTCACCGGGTCTACACAACAAAATACATCGAATGTCAGCACAATGTACCTCCAACCTCACATCTTCCAACTGTCTCCGCACCGGTCCACGTATTCAATCACAGCCATCTCAGCGCCGTCGCCCTTGCGGAAGTCGGCCTTCAGGATGCGCGTGTAGCCGCCCTCACGCAGCCTACCCAGCAATAACAAGAACACCTCCTAATTAGCACCTAGAACCCCGTAAAACACATCTAAAAGGCAGCAATACGCACGCGTAGCGGGGGCCCACGACGTCGAAGAGCTTGGTCACGGCCTCGGGCGTGCGGAGGATGGACTGCGCGCGCTTGCGGGCGGGCTCGTCGCCCTGCTTGGCCATCGTGACCACCTGCTCAGCCACGCGGCGCAGCTCCTTGGCCTTGGGCAGCGTCGTGCGGATGCGCTCGTGCTCGATGAGCTGCGTCACCATGGTGCTGGAAGAGTGCAAGGGACGTCGTTAGCTGACACCGCGGATCTAGGGCGAGCTGCGAGGTGCAACTGGCATGCATCGGTGCGCGAGAGAGCTGGGAACACGTACCGCAGCATGGCCTGGCGATGGGCCGACGTGCGGTTGAGCTTGCGGAAGGCGACGCGGTGCTTCATCGTCCTGCAGTGTCCAAGGCTTCCTGTGGTCACGAATGCGTCGAGGTGCTCCCCTCGAGCTGAAAAATGTTGCACGAATGTATTGTGTACATCCCACCAAATACATGAGTGTTGCTTGAAGGTGTTAGTACCTTCGTGCAACCTCACTTGTTGAAGTTGTCCGTTATGCGGCTCTTGAAGAGGCACACGGTCTCAGTGCTATATTTTCCCCCTCGAGCTGCAAGAGGTCCTAGAGCTTCCATCTCTGTCAGCACGTATGGGCAACGTACAGCAGCAAGTGGGCAAGCGCATGGTAGTGGGGCGCTACGAGGTGGAGGCCGTGCAGTACCTGGGCGAAGGAGGCTCGTCCTTCATCTTCCTGGTCAAAGATGTGCGCGCGCCGCCGACTGCTGCGCCTCTCGTGCTCAAGCGCCTCGTGGCGCACAACGAGCAGACGGCCGACTGGATCGCGAGCGAGATTCGACTGCATCAACGGCTGAGCCACCCGCAGGTGGTGCAGTTCGTGTCCTCGCAGACCAGCAAGGCCAGAGGTGACAAGAGCGAGGTCTTCATCCTCATGGAGTACTGCCCCGGTGGGCACCTGCAGGAGAACATGGTCAAGATGGGCACCAAGCGCTTCGCGCAGCACGAGCTGCTGCGCACATTCAGAAGCCTCTGCGAGTACGTTGTGGGACATGCATGACCATTGGATAACTACTTACTTACTGAGACCTTTGTTCCATGATAGGCCGGTTGCTATGCTGCACGCGCATAATCCGCCGATTGCGCACCGCGATCTCAAGCTCGAGAACTTCCTGCTGGGGAAGGAAGGCGTGTACAAGTTGTGTGACTTCGGGTCGTGTGTGGAAGGCCCACAGTCGCTCGCTACCAAGGCGGATCGCATGCGCGAATCCGATAATGTGTCCAAGCGCACGACCGCCATGTATCGCTCACCCGAGCTGGCTGATGTGGAAGGAACCGCCATGTTCGGCTCGGGTGAACTGACGGAGGCTGTGGATGTCTGGGCCATGGGCTGTGTGCTCTACAGCATGGCGTTTTTCAAGTCGCCCTTCCCGCTCGAAGGACTGCGCACCGACCGCTACACGATCCCTTCGAACTCGCCGTACTCGCCGGACGTGCACGCCATCATTGCGCGCATGCTCACGGCTGATGTGGAGAAGCGTGCCACCATCGAGCACGTCATGGAGTGCATCGATGAGGTCATTTGCGGGCGCCCACTACCCCCTCTACCTGGTGCATCGAAGAAGAAGAAGGAGAAGGCCAAGGATGAGCCCCCAGCAGCAACCAAGAAGACCGAGGCTCGGAAGGAAACAGTTGCGAGCAAATCGGCTGATGCTGGAGACTTGCTGGGTATGGACTTCAACCCCACCATCTCGGATAGCAAACCTCCGGCCGCTAAGGCTGCAGCACCGAGTGCGTTCGATACAACTTGGGCTGCATCGTCGGAAGGGTTTGCAGACTTCGCAAGTTTCCCGTCTCCAACATCGTTCGGTCAGACTGGAGGCTTTGGCCAGAGCGGAGGCAGCAATGCGTTCGCTCCAGGACCTGCCAAGGTGGATCCGTTCGCCCTTCCACCGGACCCCGTCAAGCAGCAAGCTCCTGCAGCTGCAAGCGTCTTCGACTTCGACGCTGCTCCTGCCTCGTCGACCCCTGCACCACCACCCGCGATGGTTCCTCACGCGGCAGAAGTGGATCCGTTTGCAGAAATTGACGCTCCGCCTCCAGCTCTTCTGTACGGCGGCATGCCGGGACAACGCATGGGGCAGCAGCAAATGGGACAACAACCTCACATGGGGCACATGGGGCAACCACAAATGGGCTTCCAGCAGCCCCAGCAAGGATTCCCTGGAGGGTTCCCGATGCAGCAGCAACAGCAAATGCCTCAGCAAATGTGGGGTGGCGGCGCCGCCGCAAACCAAGGCTATAACCCTTCGAATCCATTCTAGGCTTGCATACTAGGAAGCTTTGGCGATTCCACTTGCATATCTTGAAACAACACCCACAAAGCTCCACAAACTAAGCTAAACGGTTCGACATCTCTCTCCGTTGCTTTTAGTTTATCTGCATTCATGACAAATCTTTCACTTTGTATCGCGTGGGCGAGTGGCACGGGTGCAAGTTGCACTGCAAGGCACCACGACCAAAGCATCGCCTACGCTCACAGCGACTCTAAATCAACTCACGGCGTGGCCGGGACCTCAATTTCGATGTGGTGAGGAGTGACCTTGGCCGAGTCGAACTGCATGATCCGCTCGCGATGCTCCTCGCTGCATACCGCAGGCGCACGCAGCTTTGCAGAGTACACGCAGGTGCTGGGCTCTTCAATGTTGAAGAGCTCCATCGGCTCAGGGCCACACTCGAGCTTCACCGTCATGGATCGGTTCGGGCCGTTCCAGCACTTCTGTCCATTCGAGAACTTGATCTCCTCAACAGCGGTATCGACTGAGGCCGAAGCACCATCAACAGAGCCCTCGTCATCGGACGCATTGAGCTTCTCAAACTCCTCCATGTCGCCCAACTTGGTGTGGTCCTGAGTCGCCTTGCCGAAGAAGCAGATCTTGTACTTGTACTGGCCCGCGTTCGATTCCACACACTTTTCACGCAGGGCGAAGTAGACGTGGTCGACGCCGTAGTCCTTCTCCAGCACCTTCTGGACCTCGGACAGCTCTTTCTCCTTCTCCTCCAGCTCCTTCTTCGTGTCCTCGTGCTGCTTACGCGTCACCAGCGCTTGGCTTCGCTCGTAGCGCTCGCTAGCCGCCAGCTCCTCGTAGAGCTTGTCAATAGGACGCGTCTCCACCTCCGGCAGCGTCAGATCCTCCTCCTCCTCCTGTTCCTCCTCGGCCGCAGCCGGAGCTTCAGTCTCCGGCTCGGCCTGTGTCTCAGCAGCTTCGACTCCTTCAGCCGCCTCGGCCGCAGCCTTCTCCAGCGCCTCCTTCGCCTCCTGCGCCTTCTTCTCCTCTCTCTCCTTCCGCTCTTCAATGAGCTTCTCAATGCGGCGCGTCTCCTTCTGCCTCTCCTCGTCCCTGACCTTAAAAGCCTCATCCTGCTCCTCCATCGGCGTCTTGGGCAGATCCTCGTCCCCTTCACGAGCCGCCCCCCGCTCCTTGCGGATGATCGGGATCAGCTCGTGCTTGGCCGAGACGCCGTTGCGTCCGATCTCGAGGATAATGGACGCTAATTGCTCCTTCGACAGCCCCAGCAGCCCCAACTGACTCAAGATCTCCTGCTTGCTGGCCTGCACGCGGCTCTGCTTCTCCTCCTGCTCCAGCCTCTCCTCCTCCCCCTTGCGGGCCTCCAACTGCTCCGCCATCACGCGCAGCGACGCGGCCGAGGCCTCGACCTCCGCCTTCTTCTGCTGCTGCTCGTCCCAGAGCTTCTGCGCCTCCGCGGCCAGCGCCACGCGGTCCTTGAGCCCGGCCTCCACCTGCTCGATCAGGTCCTTCTTGTCGGCCTTGAAGCTCTGCATGCGAGCCGCGCAGTCCGACGCGCAGCCCGCGCCGCTCGCGTACTCGTCCGAGCCGTCGCAGCAGTCGCAGACGCCGTCGTTCACGCGTGACGTCGGCACGTCCGCGGCGAAGAAGCCCGCGTTGGCGCAGTGGAACACCGCGGCCGTGTGCGAGCAGGCCGACGTGCCGGGCTCGTCGCTGCCGTCCGCGCAGTCGCAATAATTGTCATTAATGCGCGAGAGCTCCAGGCGCTGCTGCCCGTTGTCGCACGTGAACTACATGCATATGGATAGTGTCGAGAACTGGTTAGAGAATAATTGGCATAAACGTTCTGAGACGTGGGAAGTTTAAGCTAGTGTTAAACTTTTTAGAGAATAGCAGGCATGTGTGTACGTACGCTGGAGACGGCGCTGAGCTTCTGCTGCAGCTCGGGAGAGATCCCGCGCCAGTCCGAGGCGCGCACGCACAGAGAAAGCAGCGCCAGCGACGTCGCGAGGTGCTGGAAGGCCATGGCGCAACAAGGTGACGTGTCAGCAAGTTCGGTTCTGGCGAAATGGGTAACGGACTCGGATTTGCGCAACTTATGGGATTTTAAAGCAACTTAAGCGTAAAATAGGCAACTTCAAGGTCTTGTTGACCTCTTTGTCGTACTTGATGGTGTTGAACGGCAACAGACGGCAATGACTATCAGGCATTGCAGGCACTTGAACCCTTAGGCTGCAGCAACGAGTGCCTCTTGCTGCTCGATCTGTTGCTCGAGCACAGCAGCTTCCTCGTCGGTGAGCTCTTGGAACCTGTTCTCGTTCTCCTTTTCCCTCTCGGCCGCCTCAGCCTCCAGGATCTTGGCCATCTTGGCCGCGAGAGCCGCCGCCTTGTTTGCGCGAGGGCGACCGGCGTCTACCGGCCGCGATGAAGGCCATAGTACTCGGTCGAGGAGGCAGCAGCAGCATCGACGACGTCGTGGACTCCGGCGACTCACCAGACGTGAGCAGTAGTGGGGCCTTGGGGGCAAGAGGGGGCAGCCGCGGCTGCGATTCCGTCGACCACGCTGTCCCTGGAGTCACGGAGATCGTCATTGTAGTAAACTGTTGCTTGATGTTGCTTCGAACGAGGTAGAAATGAATATGAAGCGGTGTGAGCGAAGCGAGCGGCAAGGTGTAAAATATTGCTAGCCAGCCAGCTACAGCCAGTTGCCGGTGGCGTCGCCAGCATTCGAAGTCTGGCGGCATGCAGGGGCACTCCACTTCAACTTCAGTGTCGATTGAAGCGGTACCATGTACCTATGATGTATACATTGTAGACGAAAACAGTGTCGAGCCGAAGTACTTCCAGTATCCGCAGGTTGCGTCAGCGTTGTATGGGTAGCTATCACCCTCACGAGTGCTGATGGGGTAATAAGCGCTCAACTTGCGTCGGTGGAGTTGGCAAAGCTTGTGTACTATCTTACTGCGATATCCGCGGCCGGCGCGGCCGGAGGGATTCTTCAAAGAGTGGGGACGTAATGAGCAGGGGTGACCGATCAAATACTGAGTAAGGGTAACTGAACCACCTCACGTTAACCCATACAAACCTGTTTCATACAGAAATCAGGGAACACAAAGCTGCATTGCTAGATTGGGGGCTAGACCTGTGGGTCTGGGGTGAATGCGAAAATATGTCTAGAGCTAGCACTGCATCCAAGTTTGGGTAGCGTCGGACAAGAATCGAGGCCGATAGCGCGCGCTGAAGTGGCTCCATAGTAAAGTGCACGGGATAAGTGGGCCAGGAGCGTGCATGCGCAGCACATAAGCAGATCGTACGTTTTCTCAATACTACACCTTTTCAACTTCAAAACTGCAAATTGTAAGTTCAAAACAGCAAAAGGTAAGTTCAAAACTGCACGAGCAGAGACCAGGCTAGCTTCGTACTTTTATACACAGCTCATTGGTTGGCACGCAGCATAGCTAGCCAATAGGTAAATTGTACTCTATAATCGTATACGATGATTGATATCATTCAGTTTGTAATATACATTTATAGAGTATTGTTGTTTTGATGTTACCTTTTGCTGTTTTGAACTTACAATTTGCAGTTTTGAAGTTGAAAAGGTGTAAACGTAAGTGAAGCCGGATGGTATCCTGGAGACGCCTGAAATAGTTGGCTGCAACTCACCACCACAAGCACTGTTTTGATATCCAAAGCTATGTATAGATTTCCAAGACGTCACTCGCGCCTCCAGCCCTGCCAGTTATTTCCCTGAGAAGGTTTATTCGCTGAAATTAGTTGCCAAAGTTCGCTTCTGCAGATTACAGGTCATCTGCTTCATTTTGATTTGCTATTTGTATCGACAGGTAGCCGAAAAAAGGGAGGCGATTGAAAATAATCTCAATCGAAGCATAATGTCCGCTCGTCGATCTTGATCACACGCCTCACCCCACAAAGCTATAAATCGCACACGAGTCAAACGAGATTCTGCGCTTTACAATGGTGGTTTTCAAGCCGAAATTGGTGCAGCCGTTCAAAAGAAAACTTATATCAAAATTAAGTGGCCGAAGACCGGTCGCATTACCCTTAGTGCGCGCAAAAGTTGTGGTGGGTAGCTACACCTTTTCAACTTCAAAACTGCAAATTGTAAGTTCAAAACAGCAAAAGGTAACATCAAAACAACAATACTCTATAAATGTATATTACAAACTGTATGATATCTATCATCGTATACGATTATAGAGTACAATTTGCCTATTGGCTAGCTGTGCTGCGTGCCAACCAATGAGCTGTGTATAAAAGTACGAAGCTAGCCTGGTCTCTGCTCGTGCAGTTTTGAACTTACCTTATGCAGAATTGAACTTGGAATGCAGTTTTGAAGTTGAAAAGGTGTAGTAGCCGAGGAATGCCCGTCAGAAATCTTGGGAGGGTTTGACTTCAACAAAACATGGTACATGTACTACACGAACCTGCATATACTCCACACTCGGCGGGCTGTCTTGTCGAGGATACTCGAGCAGGGGTCCTTGTTAATCGAGAAGCTCTTTTATAGCGACCCGAATCAGTGAGCTGGACACGGTTTTCCAGGCTGAAGTCATCCCAAAGTTTCCTCTGTTCTCGTTCTCAGCTGCACGAAGCTTAGTCATCTTCGATTTCTTGAGGTTTGGTACTTAGCATGTTTACACATATTAACCCCCTTGCTACACGATAGCTGAGCCGGCTTCGTCTTGGGCCGGTTGCAGGTTCGACGGGGTCCACTGCGTCGTCTCTAGAGGCGAAAATGCCGTGAAAGGCAGAGGCATCGACAACTCCATCATAAAGTTCGGGTTGACGAGCTGCTCCGCGTGGGTACCAACAGTACACGCTGTTGCACGGATGAAAGGGGCTTCGTGGGGAATCGGGTCGATCGTGGTCGGGTCGAAAGTGTCTTGCATACTTGGACAGACCTTCTTCGTCAGCCTCGACTCTACTGCCTCCGCCTCAGCCTCACCGAGCTTGCGCTTCAGTCTCGCCTCGCGCTGGCGCTGATGTAGACGCTTCTGACTGGCGTTCGCCTTGCGGCGGTGGAATTCGCAGAGCCCGTGAAGGCTGCCGTCGACTTGATGGCGCGGGGATTGGTGCAGATCTTGCTTCGGTAGCCGCACATCATGAGGAGCGGCACGGTCGATTGCAGCTCATTGAAGGGGGAGGACATGCTGGACTTGGGGGCTTGCTGGCTGTGCCGCGCGACTATGAATTAAATACTGTGTGCCATGCATTGTACGGTTCTTCAGCCGCATTGATTTTCCCGGGGTGACTCGCCACGAGGTCCAGGTAGGATAACCCTATCGTGACCGATCGAAAAGAGACCTTGTGACGGGATTCCGTATTCTCAACGAGCTCAGAGATGCACAGCCACACACACACACGCACACACAGACCTTCATCACCGGCTTTGACGACTTCATGCGGCGCTTCACGCTGCACAAAATAATGCCGACGATAAAGAATTGGCTGTAGCTATATATTGTTTGCCGTCGCAGTAGCGACGTCATTTCAGAGGCCGTTGCCGAGGCTATATTGAGCTAACTGGCCGTGCTCAGGTCCCGGACAGAGTGCGGCTGTATTTCTGTATTTCGGCTCGTGTCGAGGTGGTCTTCGAGCTGCGCGCTGCTGCAAGCCTCCTGAATGTTCCCAGCCATGGTGATTTGGATTCAAATGATAGCCATCTTCAACGAGTCGCAGTGCAAACCGCTAGCAGCAGTGTGATCTTGAATCGCGGTCACAGCATGGCGCTGTCTACCCCTGTGGATTGTGCAACGGAACGTGAATGCCACGCCAAGGATACAGTGCTGCCGTCGATTTTGCCATTTGTAACAATGTTCCGTCGACCTCCCGTGGATGAGGTGGTTTAAAGAGCAACAGATGGTTGGCAGCTCGTAGTTAGTGAGGCGGCGTTGATGTGATTTGGGCGTACGATGGCAACACTTTTGCATGAAGCTGTTGCATTTGGCGTCATCTCCTTGATATTCTGGACTACGTGGCGACCGGCATCCTTTGGTAGCCCAGGCAATTGATGATCCAAGGTATTTGGCTGTTGCAGTTGACCATGCGTTTAGGCGCATTACCTGAATATCGCGACGACTGCACCGCGGAAGTTGGCAAACATCCACAGTTTTTGACTGTGATCGACGATTTCTAGTTGAGTAAACTGGCACACGTCTACATGCACGTGTACGCACGTTGTTTTCAAGTGATTTGCCACAATGACCCTCAACACGAAACATTATTTGAGTTCGACTTGTGGGGTTTCTCTCCGCTGCCAGGTCCTTTCTGCTGCAATTAGCAAAATGATGCTAATCATCGTCGTATGACCGAGCCGTAGCGAGCCCGATGCCTCTAACGAATGCTGTTGTAGCATCAAATTTATCGCTGTGCACCTTTCAGGGGAACGGACCTCAAGTATTCCAGTGTAAGGAGGCCGACGACACGGCGAAGGACGAGACGGTGGGCGCGGCAACCACGCTGTACGACGGCGTTGAAGTAGACGGCAGCGTGGGACGTGAATCCGGCTGGCATTGTGGTCGGCAGGATCTGCTGCGCGGTACCGAGGGATCTACTGGATCTTCGGGCCCGCTGGACTCCGCGAGCCCCACGACGGAGCTCACTTTGGGTTTTGACGGCCAGCGAGCAGGCCCGAGGAACGCGCGTTTGGCAGCAAGCGCAACAAGCGGTGAACGGACGAACGACAGGTGGACGAACGGCGGTGGACACTAACGACGACCTCGGTGGACGGCTGCGGCGTGAACGACAGCAGAGTGGCGAACAGGAAGCACGTGGCTTCCGAGTTCTTCGACGGCTGCGACGAGTAGGGCAGGCGCGTGTGGGCGTACGCCCGAGTGGCTAGAAGAGCGACTACGGAACTGAGTCGTGCGCGTTCGACGTAGACGTGTATTTGTAGTTAGTCGGTGGTTGACACCGCGCTAGTTCATCTAAATAAAGTAGGTGTTGCTGCCAGTCGGGCACGCACCGGTGCAGTGTCTTACGCTTGGACACTGTCGGCCATCCGGACTTTCGACCGCATCAGCACGGTCGCGACCAAACCCCAAGCGTGTGGGGCACCAAACACGTTGCACCAGGTCAGTTTAAACTCTATCTTCAGCTGCTATCCGGTTTGACAAAGATCTGAAAAACTGTCGTGTCATTCGGTGAAGGTGGTCCCATGCAGACCTTGGCCGGCCTGAATTTGAGAGAGCACGATTGGGTAGGATAAAGCCATGCATTCGACAGTCCCACGGCCTGCACAACTCGGTAAATTACTCCGTCCACATTTCACGAAGCTATTATACCACGCTTTTGATATTATCAGTGGCTGGCGTTTGATATGCACTCGGTAAAAGATAACACATCCTAATAGACGTCCTAAGATGTCCTATTGTCCTAAAAAATGCGGTATATTACTTGCAGTTTGCTCATAAACGGTACCAAAAATTAGGACAACACAGCTCGTTTTAGGACGAACGGGCTGGTTAGGAGCTGTCCTAATAGGACAGCCACGATTCACTTACCGAAATCTGTCCTAATAGGACAACAACAATTCACCTAAATGAGGATCTGTCCTATTAGGACACTTAGTCGAGTAATAACCGAGAGCTGTCCTACTAGGACACTTAACTGCCTAGAACGGGCAGTTGTCCTATTAGGACACTTTGTTGACTATAACTGGGAGCTGTCCTATTAGGACAAATGGAATTTTTTGGCAACTCGTTAGCAAGGGCTCTCGTTGAAGCAGGACTGCATTATCAGCGTCTGAACACCGTACTATCCTACTTAAAGTCCGCATAGCCAGCTGGGATGCCTGGCACTACTGGCGGAGCATGCTGCGGAGCCGTCTGGAGTCCCTTCTTGATGTCGTCAATGCGCTGGAGATAGCGGGCTGCTTCTTGCTTGGTGCCTTCAATGAAGGTAAGCAGGCTAGGGTGTGTACCCACTCGCGACGCGAAGTCACGATTGTACTTTTCCAGCGGATTGTTGGTGCGGTTAACGATGTCAACACCGCACCGCACCATTTCATGAACGTTCCAGGTCGTGACATCAAATCGCTGCGTCCAGGTCTTGAGGAAATAGTTCCAAAAAGTATTCCATTTTGTTTTCGCGCCGGTCTCGTCGACAATACTCCTCACGTACCTCACACCCTACAATGCAGCCATTTATCAGAATAGGTCAGACACAAAAAATTGGTCACCCCAAAAAATAGTCCACACCTTTTCAGCGATTTGGTCCTCCGGGATAACTGTGAGAGTGTCGAGCTTTCCTGGGCTGAGAGCGTCCTTGATTTGGTCTTCGGGTAGCCGCAGCTCAAGCATTTTCCGACGGAGGGCCTGTTTCCAGTGGAACAGGCACCCAACGAGGTTCGCAGTCGGAAATTGCTCCAGCACAGCGTTGATAAGGGCGGACTCAAAGTCACACGTGACATGTTCGGGCTCCAGCTGGCGGTTGCTCAGGATCACGAGCTCGTTGAGAACCCGCCAGTACGTTTTTTGGGACTTGCCTTGCACCAGTACATAGCAAACAGGCACGTAGAGGTCGACAGAAGGCTCGAAAGCCATCACAATCAGACACTGACTGAACGGCTTAGGAACCACCGCAAATGTTCCGTCAATGAACAGCGTGATCTTCGGGTACCGTAGAATTCGAGCCAAGTCGGGATGGGCCAGTCCGATCAGACGTTGCATTCCGGTGCCCGCGGCGGTGGGGTGGACAACGCTGAACTGAAGAAAGGCCCTCGCATCCATGTCACTCACGCACCGAACAGCTTGGGTCAGAATGGCTTCAAAGACATCACCGCCAGAGCAATCCTTGCGCGTGTGCTTGATGATAGAGACGGCCGGCTCCGCAGGGATGATCTTGAGCGCAATACCTTCTCCGCCGTAGCGAAGCTTGAGATCGTCGTACACCTCTTGCCGCAGGACCGCCGGTGGGGTTGACATCTTGGTGATGCTAGAGCGCTGGAGCTCCACTCTTATCTCCTTGCGCACGTCCACCACTTCTGGCTTGGGCTCATCCTTACAGCTGTGCACACTCTTCTCGGCGACGACGGCTCCTCCTCGGACAATCAGTCTTGCCTTGCATCCCTCACGAAACTTCTTGCAGCTGTAGTAGATCGTGTTTGTTTCCGGGCATGTGCGCTTAACACAGAATGAATACCCGCCGTGGTCCATGACAAGAAGGTTGGGCTCTCACACTTAGGCTGCAAAAAGTGAAATTGCTGGCAGCACTGCACTGTGGGGTCTGACATTCGACGAGTGGCTAGGATGAGCCCGTAATTACGCGTAAATAACGTTGCGAACGCTCTAAAATACGCGTACCACACATTGTGGTCACCAATAAAACGCGTAATATTCATAAAACTAGGTTTTAGGACAGCTCGTAGGACGTAATTATTATATTCTGTTACGAAGGATTATACGAGTTTTAGGACATCTCACGGTAATTTTCGAGAGTTTTTTAGGACAATTAGGACACTTTAGGAATCGTTTTAGGACGTGTTATCCGACACCATGCACTCTTTATCGATGCAAGCTAATGAGCTGTGTATGTGGATCGTGGTTTTGTCTAGACAGAACTACATCAACGTTGACTGGAATGCAAGCTACTGGGTCATACGAGGAGTGAGCTACTACTATCGCCCAGCGACGTTGGAGAGCTCATCGCACACCCCTTCGGGGGGTCGACGTCGGAGAGTAGCAAAGCGAGGATGTCCATATCGGTCTGTGTAAAACCAGAGGCGTTGGGCTCTTCGGCATCGTCGAGTTTGAAGGGAATGGGGCCCACAACAAGAGACTGTTGTCTGGTCAAACAAGCTTTCTTCTTCTGGCGAACCTCGATCGCCCCAGTCGGTCGACGCTTCCGTCGCTCTTCGCGGTGGCGCTGATGAAGACGCTGCTGGCTTGCGTTTGCTTTGCGACGGTGGAACTCGCAGAGGTTGTGGAGAGAACCGTCGATTTTCGTAGCGCGCACGTTGGTACAGACCTTACTGCGGTAGCCGCACTGCATCAGCAGCGACGTGGATGTCGGGATTGCATCAAAGGCAGCGAACATGGGGAAGAAGTAAGCGGTGATGGTTGCAAGTCGAGAAATGGTACCGGCGGGCGGGTAACGATTGGATCAGCGCTCTACTGTACAGCTACTGTAGCTTGAGCTTGAATTGGTGACGAGATCCGTCTGTGGGCAGCGCGCGGCAGGATTCTGTCCGTCCTCGCGAGAGCGACCATCGCTCATCCAACTTGTCCTGGATTTGGGCGTGCCTGGTGCCTGCGCAAATCGTTTCGTCCTCGCCATGTGAAGCTTATCTGCGCCATATTATTGGCATGCGCCCTGCAGCGTCCAGCGCGGCACTTGATGTGCTGGACGCTTTTGGAGTCAAGTGTGTCAACGGCAGTTCAGTAGGTCACTCATTACTGCAAGGATCTATCTGACCAGAGCATGCAAGCACCAGCGGAAACCCAACTTGAAGGTTTTCAAGCAGCCTCAGCCAGCGTGCACGACCGCAATATATGTAAATCCATCGGTTGTAGCCTCATTACATGTACTGCAGCGATGCATGCAGCCGCATCTGCGGATGAGCATCAGCGACCGCTCTCAGGGGCGGCAAGTTGCAGCTGGAATTCAGTACTGTACTGTATCATCAACGCGCGTTCGAATCCATCGCGCCCTGCAATCGCTGCGATACCGTACATTCATTCCGCGTTGATCTGGCTGGTAGCATTGGTGTCTATCCACCAGCTTGAGCGAATCTTGAGCACACACATTCACATTTGATCTTTTGGGTGAGTTCCATGATCAGCATTCCTGCGTCATTGAATGCAGTGACAATGGCGCGATATAATATAATACATGTATCTAGATATCTTGGAGATGACTAGTTCTCGGAACCTGTTCCTGTTTGCTGCAGACCCGACATCGATGGCGACTCGCCAAGGCAACTGCGAGCGCGATTGACCAGCGAAAGACTGGGGCATGCGCCACTACGCTAGATGTAGACGACATTGATATCCTAGTTTTCCCAGGAGGTAAATCTACCCTCGTTCGGGGGTATATCAAAAATACATGCGGTTTAACGTTAGGTGGTGGAATGTATATATGGTCACACGATGATGTAGCTCACGTCGTCCACGGACACGGGCGAGTTTGGCGGACAAGTGGCGGTCGGCTGCGGTCGCGCATCCTGTAGTAGCAGCTCCAGCAGCTCCATATCCACGGGCTCACAGGCCGTGGAGAAGGTGAAATCTTCAGCGAAGACGCCTGAGGGGCATCCATAGTGTTTGCTGGCGACGTCAAGCGGCGGGTTGACCGCATCGAACGGAATGGGATCCATGGAGATGGAGCCAACTGGGTCCCGAACGGCCAGACACTCTTTCTTCGCTGGGCGACCGTCCTCCGCTTCAGCTCGTCGTCGCTTGACCCGTTGCTCGCGTTGCCGCTTGTGCAGCCGCTGCTGGTTGGCGTTGGCCTTGCGGCGGTGGAACTCGCAGAGCTTGTGCAGCGAGCCGTCGATCTTCGTGGCGCGCGCTTTGGTGCAGACTTTACTGCGATAGCCGCACTGCATGAGCAGCGACGTGGCCGTCGGGAGCTCGTCGTAGCTGGGGAACATGCTTGCTGTGTTTAAAGCGGTCGAGGGAGGTTGGCTGCAAGTTGATTAATGAATGACCCTGTGTCGGGCCGACAGTCGGGAAGCGGACGGAATGGAGGAGGGGATCTCCACTCTCCATTCGGTAGTTGAATCACGGGCCCTGACGACCAGAGATAAGACCGTATGGGCGGCGCCCCCCAGGATTCTGTCTGCCCACCGTTCGCCGGGCGATGGGCAATCGCAGGCTGCTTACAATACTCGCATCAACAACTGGAAAACGTCGTGTCGGCTATGTGCGTGCGTGCAGCACGGCAATCAACTGAATCGGCAACGATGGTCCACTTGACGGCCAAGAAATTGTCCTCACTGGACACTTCCCTATCTTTTCGAGCTCGCAGGCGCCGCAAAGGCGGCGCTGACCCCGCCGCAACTCGCGCCGTAGACTGTACAGTGTACGCGCGCAGCTTGGGCGTCGCCGAGTCGCTCATGGCAAGATCCTAATCGGTGTGCTGCATTGAGTGGGTGGCGGTACAGAAGCGATCTTGCTGACGCGCTGGTCGCCAACGGAATCGTGATCGTGGGAATTTTTGGGTGCGTCTGGCCCTGCCCCTGCCAGATGCACCCCCTGGCCGCGCTCACGCAGGAAAGCTGAAGCGCAAGAATAAGCTGGAGGAGTTCGAACCGTAAAGCTCCAGCGACAACAGCATCAGCTGCTGCACTTTGAGGATAATACTGTAGCTGCTCGGCTCGGCATCTTGCACCACCGCATCGAGCCCCGCCGCGACGACCTACAAATTTGTTTCTCGTGCACCGGTGCATGTCCATGGTGCTACAGTATTGGCTACCATCGATGGTCTGGAGCGAGCTACATCTTTCAGCGTTGATTGAACGCAGGTTAGTAATATCAGCTGAATGCCCGAGGGTGTCCTCCTGCTGTTGATAGCTTTGGCAACGCGCGTTCTTGGAAACAGCAAGGCCCCTTCAAGCTGGCATTCCAAAGCCTTTGTAGTGCTTGAATCAAAAAGACCAGCTAGGCATCCGGTGGCCCTCGTGGATAGCGGGGTCGAATCTCTGCTGCTTATATTCATGGCCCATGACTATCCGTGACCATAGAAACAGCAGCTCTACCGACTACGAGACCGATCCAATCGAATCTACTCGCGCCGGCGTCACCGACGGTGAAGTTTATCCTTCACGGCGGGTTCGCATCCAGGCGTCATTGCCCCGTGAGCGCATCCCTCGGGGGGAGTGGCCCAAGAGTCCAGTTTGAGACCCTGCCTTTTCGGCCGATCGCTGACGCCCTAATGACGTCGTTACAAAGTCAATTTTTGAATCAAGGCCCACTGCTGCCTGCGAAGAGCAGCGTAATGAGGTGTAGCTGAGGCTGAGGCTGAGGCTGGCGCATGCACTACAGCGACGCTGTTGTCGCCTCGCAGTTAGCTCGCGTCTTAGCCTGCTGCCGTCGATCGACAGCAACTTTTCCAACCCGAGACTTCGACTCCTACCGTAGTTGCTGTGGCAGCAGTACACGTATTGTACTCGCCTGTCACGCGCGAGTCGCGCGTGTACGGTTGAGTCGCGCGGCGCGACTCAACCGTATCCAGCATGTCAAGCCTAATCAGGGGGAAACTTCGAGAATCCGTCAGCGCAGATGCGAGCTTCCTGCGAGTATTGTACTTCTAACGGCGAGTCGCCTTGCGATTGCGCCACACTCACACAGAAATCCGGTCAAATGATACTGATGCGGGACTGCAACTGCAGCAGAGGCCCAAGGGATGCGCCGCTGACTGTCACCGCTCATTCCTCAATTTGCGGCAACTACCCCACACCCACCCACTCAACACCAGCATGCTCGCCCTCTTCGAGGAGGCCCCGACGTCCACGTCACTGCTCATGCAGTGCGGGTACCGCAGCAAAGTCTGCACCAATATGCGCGCCACCAAGATCGACGGCTCGCTGCACAAGCTCTGCGAGTTCCATCGCCGCAAGGCCAACGCCAACCAACAGCGGCTGCACAAGCGCCAGCGCGAAGAGCGCGTCGCGCGCCGAAAGCCCGAGGCTGCCACGAAGGCGAAGGAGGACCGCCCGACCAAGAAGCTCTGCCTCAACATTGACATCCCCACCGACCCGATCGCGGCCGATCCAATCCCCTACGTTGCGGCTGAAGCCCCGCTGGACCAGTTCTACCCAAGCGGGTTCTTCGCCGGAGAGCCAACCACCCCCACGAGCCTCGCGATCGTGGACATGGAGCTGCTGGAGCTGTTGCTGCTCGACGCGCAGCCGCAGCCGCTGTCTCTGTTGCTTCCACCCAACTCCCCGACCTCCGTAGACGAAGACAACTCGATCGTTGTGCAAGCAAGATGTCCTAGATTTATTTACGTGGCAACAATATACGTGTGTACTGTGCTCTGTTGATTTACGCATACACTGTGCTTTCGGGTGTACATTACTCTAACAGAAGAGACTTGGTTACCGAACAGCGGTCACTGTACGTGTCGTCTACATGTACGACTCGCAGACTATCATAGGAATACGACCCGGTCGATGGCGCCCCATCTCATTCCCGTTGTCTCCGCGAACGATAAAGCTCTCGCCGATAGGCACCAGGGACTACCCCGTCTAATGAGAGCGACCGTGACAATAATAGTGACCAAGGAGCTGCACGGCTTGACTTTACCAGCATTCGCCCCAACCTTCTTGCTAGGATGGTATTCAATTTTTGCCACGAGATCCGGTCCTGGCGTCGGCTTGCTACAGCTGCAAGGATTGCAAGACAACCGTGCTTGCACTGCAAGCACGGTTGTCTTCCCGATTGGGGCACGAATCGAGATATGGCGTGGTGGGCCTGTCGATTCGTGCTTGCTGGCAATCGGGGTCCCCCCCCGGGGTGATGCGTCAAGAGAGTGGGGAATGTATCCATGCGCGGCTGGCGCAGACTACAATTTTTTTCGGTGGAGCTGCGTGGTAGAGCTACAAAAGCACCATCGAAGCGTTGCTCATCCGTCTCCTTCGACTGGATTTATCACATCGAGCGCATCGCGAGTCGCCGATATATACGGCGGCATGATGCGCCGAGTCAAAGAGCAACAATTTCTCCTGGATATCCTCCATGTTGAAGCGAGACGAACATGACGGGCAGTGAATAATGCAGACACCGTGATCAGGCTAAGGTCTCTTCTTCAGCGTCTCCTTCCAGGCACCAACCATTGCTCAATTCACTACCAAACCAGCAGACTTACTAAACTGACCCCTCGCCAGCCCGAGATGAACTTCTTCGACGACGCCGCAGCCTCCACGCCGCTGCTCATGCAGTGCGGCTACCGCAGCAAGGTCTGCACCAACCCCCGCGCCACCAAGCTAGACGGAACCCCGCACAAACTCTGCGAGTTCCACCGCCGCAAGGCTAATCTGAACCAGCAGCGACTGCACAAGCGACAGCGCGAGAAGCGAGCCGCTCAAGAACTACGCGAGTCGGTCGAGAAGGACCTCGAGGCTGCGGAGGATCACTCGGCCAAGAGGGCTCACCTGAGTGTCGAGCCGATCGTGCACTGGTCCACCGATGACACCTGCTACTACGGACTTGGCGGATACGAACACCCCACGCAGCAGACTTCCAGTGTTGGCGAGACGCTATTGCCTCGTATGGGGTCCCAGGACATGGACATCCTGGAGCTGCTGCTGATGGACATGCAGTCGCTGCCTCCTCTTGCAAGCGCGCCGCCTGCCTCCGTGGACTATGAAAACTTCGTTGACGTGTGAGCGTTTAGACAGTTGGTGTGTGTACATATAAAGGAAATGGTATCAGCAAGTTGTGAGATCAATTACCACGATGAAGACTGCGATAGGACGATAGGGCCACGCCTTGGCTAAACCAAGTTGGTTTGTCGGTCTCATGTCCATGATGCTCTCCGCGTACTGTACAAAGGGAATCGTATTCGAGCCGGAAGATAAAACATGTAAAGTATATCGGCGCCCCATCACTCGCGCGAGCCATTTCAAATGGCCCATTACTGTATCCCCGCTCACCGAGCGGTCAACCTTGCTAGTCAGGAATGATATTTGCAAGTTGCATTGTAACAGCTCAGGTATCCTCGGTTTCGTTGCACGAGCCCAATGCGTGCTGCCAAAAATGAGGTAAGTTACCGTACTTTGGAAAGTATCTCTCTTCAATATTGCAGATGAAGACCCCCAAGGCAGTTCAGCTATGTCTTATGCCGATGCAATAGCCGCATTACATTTGCTGTCACAGGTGTCACTTGCTGTTGCCAAGCAATGTTACGACCGACAGCCATATTTGGCAGCAAGCTGCTAACGGTGCTTCGTTGCTTACGGGGCTTTTGGCCGAGCGTACACTTATCTCCCAGCGGCTCCTTCCCACATGGCAATGGCCACACTATGGCGATCCTCAATAGAAAAATCCTCACGCAGCAGTTCGCTGCCATCTCTCGATTCGTGCCTCGTCACAAGGCGCGTGGAACTCCTACCTTCCGAACTGCTACACTGTCCGTCCGTCTCAACTGCGTTTTTGCTGTGCAAGGCTTGCGTAAGAACCAGGTTTTCGCTGTGAAATTTATGAAATAACTCGCAGCTTCATTCATTTTAGGCAAGTCTACCAACGAATGAATGACATACTCCGAACTGCATCCGATATCCAACCTCGCTGTTGCAGGTGAATGAGCATCAACCTGAGCTCTTAAAAACTGTCCTCGTATCCCCTACAAGGTCAGCCGCCATAGAGCAAGCTCCTCTTACTTATCGTACTCGCCGCTGCCGTAAAGAACAGTGCGAACTTCGCACTGCGAAGCCCACGCAAGTCTCGCGTTGCGGGACGATATAATATGTACATCCCCCTTGGCGGAACTGATGAGCTGAGTTTCCCTGACAAGTCTGGATATTGTCACTCCACTGACAGGCCCTGCCTTCAAGATGGTGCACACCGACAACGGAAATATTGGAGACTTCGACAAATACTCGCCACTCGGCTAGGTTGTCGACGAGGTCTCCACCACTATTCAACTTGCAGCCAACCATCACAGCCACCGTGCTCAAACTCACAAGTATGAACGCCTACTTCGACGAAGTCCCCACCTCCGCATCGCTGCTCATGCAGTGCGGATACCGCAGCAAGGTCTGCACCAACCCGCGTGCCACCAAGATCGACGGCACCCCTCACAAGCTCTGCGAGTTCCACCGGCGCAAGGCGAATTTGAACCAGCAGCGACTGCACAAGCGTAAGCGCGAGAAGCGCGCAGCTCAGCCGGCGTTTGAGTTTGACGAAGACCACCTGATCAAGAAGGAGTTCGAGCTAGCGAGTGAGTATCCAAGCAAGAGAGCGTGCCTGAGTGTGGACCCAGTTGTCTACCATTCTGCCCGCTCGTCTATCGATGGCTCTATCAACCTCCGCGGGTTTCGACAAGCGGAAACCACACCGCAAGTGTTTGGATTGCAGCGGATGAGGTCCGAGGACGTTGATACCCTGCAATGGCTGCTGATTGATATGCAGTCGCTGCCTCAGCTCGAGTCGTTTTTGCCAAACGTGGCAGTCTGCGAGGATGAGGACTCCATCATCGTGTAGTACTGTAGGAAAATGAAATCCTTCATGGGCGGTTATACCAGGACTTTACTTTCCATACTGTGTCTAAAGCGATCGGGCAGATATGTACACCCTTCAGCGTATATACTTGTACATCGCTCTTGCTTTTGCTGTTCACCTCGCCACTTGAGCTAAAAGGCAGGCTTGAGAAAACAATTCTCTGAAGTGCAGTAAGGCTCACAGCATTCCGGGATGTCATTACTACCAAGTCGTCGGCAAGTTGCCGACACTTGTCGCGAGTCAGTTTGGGTGGGGACCGGTCGCCGCCGTATTGAGGCCGTGTCTGTGCGGGCGAGGAGGATTAGACGGACAAGAGCAGCAACTACTAAGCAGAGTAATACATGCAAAACGTTCTGTCTTGTTGTTCCCAAAGCTAAATCACGACTGACCTCTTCGCTACTCCTACCTCTCTCGATCCTTATCCTGCGATCCTTGCGTATCCGCGTATCCGTGCCGCTCATCTCCCGCTCACCCTCTCTGATGACTTGAACCGTTCACTCGGGCGACCCTAGAAGCTGCCCACCATGCCATCCGTCCCCGAAATCCAGCCACGACGCCACGAAACCCTCTTTCCCTCCGAGGTATCTCCCAGTAGCAGCTTCCGGGTCTTCAGCTTCACGGCGACCCGGCCCATGACCCGCCGCTCCTCGCCCTAGTAGCATTGTAGCCTGTAGAAGCACGCTTGTCCTCGTGACACACTCTTCAAATGCTACTTGAGCTGGACTTGAACAGTACTGTACACTGTACAGTAGACACAGGACGAGGGACGAAATATGAGCGTAGGATACATGCTTAGAGAATCTTTGAGCCGCCCGAAAAAAATCGCGCTTACTTTATAATATATCGGCCGCCTCCAGTAGTGGGCCGCTACCAGCGGATCGGCCCCGCTGACATCGGACAGAGCGGAGCAAAAATAACTTTTGTATCAGCTTCTTCATGCAGATGCTTGACCACCGACATACAATACCCACCGAGATTTGAGTCCTCTCGGATCCAAACTGCACGCCCGTGCTCTGGACGCTTGAAGCAGCAGCCCGAGATCAACGGATTCGTGCCTCGAGATCAACGGATTCGTGCCTCGTCGGCAATCCGCAGCCATTCACTGGCGGGCGTCAGTGACGACTCGTCACGGCGAACTCCATTGGGGGGGGGGGGGGCCAGCACAGATAGCCGGGCGGCGAGCTTGACGTTGTGGCGCCAGTCGGTCGACTCGCACGCAAAAATTGCCGAAGATACCATCGAAGCTGTAGACAACCCTCTGTGCCTAGGAGTAAGAGTGTCAAGTTGGTCCTGTCAGCGAGTCTCTGCTGGCAGGAACAGAGCGCACTGCACGACCAAAGTGAGGCAGATAGCAGCGTAATATGGCGCGGTACCGTACGAGCTTGGTCACTCACCGTGACCCCTTGAAGGAAGACAGCGTCAAGTGAACCGCATTCATTTCCATTTTACCGCGAAGGTCTGAGTCGATCCACTTCAACCAGTCCCGGTTGAACCCATTTTTGGCGAGACCGCCTGGATACTTTAACTCATCCGCTCCAGAAGTGGTCACTCATCCGCTCCGGCCACAAACAGCAAAAAAATCACTGGTCAAAGATACTTCTTCAGGGCTGGCGACCCGTTCCAGTCAAGCTCGGATCCACGCACGGGTCATCGTTCAATTTGCGGCCAAGCACTACAACTACGTATTAAACCCCACCAGAATGAATGCCTACTTTGACGAAGTCCCCACCTCCGCGTCACTGCTCATGCAGTGCGGCTACCGCAGCAAGGTCTGCACCAACCTCCGCGCCACTAAGATTGACGGAACTCTCCATAAACTCTGCGAGTTCCACCGCCGCAAGGCCAATCTGAACCAGCAGCGACTACACAAGCGGAAGCGCGAGAAGCGGTCCGCCCAGCAGCTCTGTGAGCCAATGAAGGAGGTTGCGCCTGCTCTCGATCCCCCGATCAAGAAGCCTCGCCTCGGAGTGGAGCCGATCGTGGACCCGATCATGCACTCGCCCACTGAAGGCTACTGCTACTACGGACTCGGCGCTACGCAGCACGCGTCTCCTGTGGGCGCGAGCGAGTTCTCGTTGCAGCGGATGGGGTCCCAGGACATGGACTTTTTGGAGCTGCTGCTGCTGCTGGACATGCAGACACTGCCCCCGCTCGAGTCGTTCTTGCCCAGCGCGAGCAGCGCGGACGGCAAGAGCTCGATCGTCGTGTAGACAACCGTGGAATTGCAGTGGAAAATCGTACAAATATAATGCGCTCTCCTTGTCAAGTCACAACGCTCTCCCATCGTAAATTCCTGTTCAAGTCACCGTTGCTATTTATTTTTCTCCCTCTCTCTCTTCTCTACCAGCAGCGCCTGCGTCTTCCACTGCGACGTGGTGAAGCGATCCTCATCTCGAGCCGAGATTCCCGACCATGGAGCAACGAGCTCCTCGGCCTCCCATTTGCGCTCGTTGTATGCATCTGTGGACGCAACTCGCGACTCGATTCGATTGGGCGGATTCTTGAAGTTGTGTAATCGCATTCGCCCCGATCGTCAGCGTGTACCGTATAAATTATATCGCGGAGATGGGCGACGTCCACCTCTCTGAAACACTGACTGGCGCACTTCGCCCGTAATGACGTGGCTACGCCTGCAGGCAGCACCGCAAGCCAAACCAAAGCCGCCAACAAATCGTTGCCGCCGACACAGCGCCGCCTTTAGCCTTTAACCCTTTGCGGGTTATCGTTGTATTGACCAGCACTGTTGAACTCAACTCAACTCGGTGGCAGCCAATGCAGTCGCCACACTGTGGAGTCCACAGTCCACAGTGTGGACTCCGCAGTCTCCTGCAGTGAACCTAAACGGCCAGGGGGCTCCGCTGGCCAGCAAGCAGCCCGCCGGGCGCGCGCTGATGACTTGACGCCGAGGACGCCCGGAGGACCTCAAGACTTGAGGTCCTCGAGTCAAGTCCTGGGGCCGGACGATGGAATTTTGGCGTGCTCGGCCGGGGCGCGTTGACGCAACCTTCCCAGGCGCGCTAGGCGGCGCCAGCAGAGCCCGGGCGGCGCGAGCACAATTCAAAATACCGCGCGCAGAGCCGGCCGCGGCGTGGGCCACACCAAGATCTCTGTGGTCGGCAGCATACTGGGCGCAAGTTATTTCCGGCTCATCACCCCGGGGGGGTCATCAAGCGTCAGGGTCATCGCGAAAAGTCTGACGACCGCGACGGTCGGCAAATGCCTACACGGTGCAGAGCCGCGGCGCATAATAGTACTCGGCCGAGCTGGAGCTAGAGTCGCCGAAGTGTTGTCAGTCATTCCGGAAAAAACGCTCGAGCCGCTCGGACGTCGCCAGCCCCACACTCACTCAGACTAAGACGCGACACGTACGTGCTCGAGCCATGACGCCCGCCGCCCAAGCCCACGCCCCGCTGCCCCGCGAGCTGCAGTGCGCGTACCGCAGCAAGTTCTGCGACGCGCCGCGCGCCACCAAGCTGGACGGCACGCTGCACAAGCTCTGCGACTTCCACCGGCGCAAGGCCAACGCCAACCAGCAGCGGCTGCACAAGCGCAAGAAGCGCATCCTCGAGCAGCAGCAAGCCGCCGTCGCCGGCCAGACGCAGACGCAGACGCAGACGCGGGACCAGACCCAGCCGCGGGACCAGACCCAGCCGCAGACGCCGCGCAAGCGCGCGCGCACGAGCGCCGACAGTCCGCAGAGCGTCGTGGTCGGCAACTTCGACCTGCTGGAGATGCGCATCCTCGAGGTGCTGCTCTTCGGCGGCTCCACCGACAACGCGCGACAGGTGCCGCCGCCCGTATCCATGACGGCCATGCTCAAGGACGAGAGTCTCGTGTGCCCCGTGTCGCCCACCACGCCCTCGGCGCTGACGCTGCCTGCGCCCATGTCCGTGCCCGTGTTCGACGACGCCTGGTCGGTGACGCTCTAGCCCCCCCCCCCCCGTGAATTGAATTGAGGGACTACTTTATTCCGAACGCCAACTAGTCGTACGTGCATGCATGCGATCAACTACTATACCATACTAAATACAAAGTCGAGTCGTACCAGCAACTAAGTGAGTGACAAGCATTGATTCATTGTGTGTGTGTGTATTTGGACTTCATTACTTAAAGTCATCACAAACAGGTGTTTCTAGGTCAAATTGGCCTTCTATCTATCGGTCTCGCGTGCCACTGGAGCTCCAGTCAGCAGGCTGGTTCATATTCAACGTCGTGCAGCTTATAAATGAGCGGTGGTCTTGGTTTTGGACTCCTGACAGCGGTAGTAGCGGTTTACGAGGTGCGACTCGTGCCGAGCAGCGCCACCAGCAGCTCGATGTCTTCGGGGTTCAAGTCCACGGGCTCTTCGAGCGGCTCGGGGATGTCCGGGATTTCAGGCAGCACGTCCCACTTGTCGAGCTCCGTGTCCGTGTCGAGCTCCAGAGGAATGTCGGTCTTGAGGAACTCGTCGAGTAGCTCAATGGCCTGGAACTCCTCACCGTTGAACTGCATGGCTGCGAGCTGGCGTTCGAGCTGCTCCTGGCGCCGCTGCTCGCGCAGGCGACGTTGCATGTCTCGCTGGGTCTTGTTCGCCTTGATGCGATGTGTCTGGCAGAGCTTGTGCAGCGTGCCGTTGCGCTTGCGCGCGCGCTCGTTCGGGCACGGCTTGCTGCGGTACGTGCAGCGGAGCTCCATCGGGATGACGCCGTTGGTCTGGCTCATGTCTGTCTGTACTGGTTAGTGTTGCTGCTCGGAGGCAAATGTTGTTGTGCCATGACAAGTGCACATCCTCGCGGCGCGCGTTGCCGCGCTCCAAGAGGCAGACACTTGTGCATGTTGGGCAAGTGCTGCGTGAACACTATTGTGAGGCACACCGAAGAGCTCAGTGACGAGGCAAGATACTCGCGCCGCTAGGATTGGTAGGCGATCAGATGACGGATATCCCTTGTGAATCCATCTGCAGTATCCCTCGGTCCATCTTGGGACTAAAAATCGAGAGCCCGCTCGCGGCAAATCGCGCCTGGGATCGCTAAAAGGCGAGCCGACCTACTCACACAGGACTCGGATTTTCGGGCGAGCTTCACTCACGGCCTTCACTCACTCACCGCAAACGCTCATCGCCTTCACCAAGTGAGTCCTCCAATGCGAATGCAACGTTGCAGGAGATCGCCGTGACCCGCGTGAGTAACGCAATGCTTGCTTCAGCCGCAGCACCCTCGAGTAAGCACGAACCGTTTCAGCTCGCGGCCAGCTTCACGCTGGTCATCTCCGCCCGAGGTGACCACTTGCTTGAGCTCACGCAGTACTTGCCGGGGCGGAGCGCTACATGCATCTGTAGGCGAGGTCTGCAGCATTGGCAGCGCCGAAGGCGCCCCTTGGAGTAGCTCAGTATGCAAACTGCAAGAGGCAGGGTGGCTACACTTCTGGCATTTGATGTTCAGCGTATCCATGTGCCCCGCTTCAACTTAGCATATACAAATGTCAAGTAGTATCGTTTCAAAACTACATATCCTGTCCAAGCGAGCGCGCCCACCCATAACGCCTATCCTTAACGGATCCCACTGCAACGTTCGAGGAAGTCGACATGACATCATTAGCGGATCCGCCGCGGTCCGCCCAGGGATCTCATGGCGCTGGCAATTTTGCGCTGGATTCGAGGTGGCTACGCGCCTCTGCGCGCCCAAGAGCCACAACGCAAAGCGCTCTCTAGCTCACAGGCAGGTCGGCAGGCAAACTCTCGCGTGGGCTTCCACGATCCAAACAGATGCCATTGTGACGAGCCACTGCTGGCTGTACACTGTCTTTCCAGCGGTATTTTGATCGGGTCAACGCCAGCGCCAGCAGTAGCAGCACCAAGTGGAAATAGAGCGCTCACGCGCTCAATATAGCGTCACTTATGGCCAGCGTGGAGCGATAAGACTTCAGCCCCGTACGTAGCACTTCAACATGACTAAATTTGGCGCTCGCGGTGGCTCGGAATAGCTCCTGACTTCCTGGTTGATCGGCATGGGACCGTGTCGGCCGCAGAGCGTGTCCAAGGTCAAAAGCCAACTGGCCTCTCAGCCAGCAAGCTCGCACCTCGACTCGACGATGCAGGATATGGACTCGGACCTGCTCAACTTCGACACGTTCTTCGCCCCCAACAATGACGAGGGGGTCGAGGGTACGTGCACATAGTAAATAACAATATATTTGTACGAATTCTAATCAGAGTGCTTTAGATCTGTGGGACCTAGCGGCGGCCACGGGTGTAGGTCAGGACGACGATCTGCTCGATGCTGCAGAGCTGGAGCCTCTCAGTCCGATACTCAAAGAAGAACCGAACGAAGAAGAACAGGCTCAGGTTCAGGTGAAGCAGCCTCCTGATAATAAGCACGGGCTCAAGCTCGACACCAACCTGATCAACAACTCCAAGGAAGGGTGGCTGGCGCAGTATGAGAACGCCAAGGCCAATGGCACGCCCACGGCCACGCTACCAGCACGCTTTGCGTTACTCTCCACTACGTGTGTGTATGAACCGGGGTTCACGACGTCACCGCGTGGTAAACGCAGGATCAGTCAAACACTTCAGCAAGCGTTTGAGGTGCAGGATGAAGATGAAGGAGAAGACGAAAGAGAAGATGGACAAGAAGAAGGAGGAGAAGCAGCGGATGGGGACGATGAACCGTTCATGCTTTCGGATGACGACGACTACAACCTTCCTGTGTTTACTGATGCGGAGCTTAATGCCATGGTCGAGTCACCGTCCAAGGTCTCAACGACTTCGACGACATCTCCAGCGCCTTCTCCGTCGCGCGGACTCAGCGACGCAATGCTCCATACTGCGGGGCAGAGCGCCCCCGACGTGATCAGCATGATCAGCTCCATCTACGACAGCTCGCAGAACTTCCTCGTGGCTCAGCAGCAAGCCTTTGAGCTCTCGAACGCAGCCAACAGCGGCGCGAGCAGTAGCAACTCCGTCGCTGCAACGATACTAGGCACAGCGAATCCAGCGCTGTTCCCCGCTGCACCGGTTCTTCCGTACCCTACAGCCACTGCTGCGCCTCCAGCCACCGGATCAAACGATACAGCTGCGACCAACAGCGCTCAAGATCAAGCTCAGGTTCCGTTCGACTACTTCTCACCGTCAGGCTACGCCGCAGCAGCGAACCAGTTCTTGGACAGCTACGGACAGCAGATTCAGCCATTCTTCCTGAATCCAGACGCGCTCTCGCCCGTGACGAAGGCAGCGCTGTTCCCAGGTCAACTTGGTCAACAGATCCAGGCCCAAGCGAGCACCAACGTGCAGCTCGCTGCGGCCATGGCGATGGCCAACTCAGCAGCTGCAGTGAACACGATGAGGAAGATGAACGCCAGTTACGGCGTCCCGATCGCCCCCATGCAGCGTCGAACAGGTTCCATGCCCCCGACCACGCAGATCAAGATCGCAGCGCCGATCAAGCCACGACTCCCAGTCCAGCGCGCAGCCTCCGCGACTTCCGTTGTGGCGGCTGCCACTGGGAACAAGGTCACTCGTCTAGCCATCACGCCGGACATTGCCGACTTCAAGCTCGTCCAGATCTTCCACCAGTTCTGCGATCCCGTGACGAAGGTGCTGACGCTGCCGCGCTTCCAGCAGCTGCTGCTCCACCACCACGTGAAGGAGGAAAGCTCCAGTAGCTCAAGTGACTCCAAGCACTCGAACGACGCGAGTTGCTGTGGGTCGACCCCAGCGGCAGCGAACGCCAACGCAGTGGTGACGCCCAATGCGCAGACGCTCTTCAAAGCGCTGGACATCAACAACGTCGGTCATTTGGATCTGGAACGCTTCATGCACTCGTTCCAGATCTGCAACCGCTGCACGGAGGCCAAGCGCCGAGCCCACCAAGCTTTATGCGCTAGTCAAGGACAGACCTTCACGCCAACAGCTCTGGAACGACAGTTGATGGAGGACGTCGCGCCTGTGGTTGTGCGCGTAGTGCCCACACGCTTCGAAGGCCACAAGGTCAAGAGCTGTGAGCACTACCAGTGGACCTGGTGCGAGGGCTTCGAGAAGACTGGCAACGAGAAGTGCCGCGGCACCAACCGCCACGACAAATGCCCAAAGTACCTGGCCAACTGCACACTCTGGAAGCACAAGCTGCCGCCCAAGAGCCGGAAGCCCAAGATACTGATCGAGAACGTCGACTCGCCCACCAAGAAGCTCAAGCACTTCTCCTAAATGAACTTTGACCATGGACTTGAACGTCACGGAGGACTCTACATCTACCTACCTATCTATCATAAAAGCTATCAAATGCACGCGCGTTGGTCCCAAACGCTCAATACCAATACGTCAACGTTGGTCAATAGTCGCTTAGGTACTGTTCCAAGCGGCGTGAAGACTCAAGGGCCGCAGGTATCCGACTGTGGCCAAGCCAAGCTCAATCGGCAGCGGAGATACCATCCATACGAATGGGGAACTCGTGCTATTGCTGCTCCAAGCGCGAGCGCACGGTTGAGGACCTTCTGGATGGCTCGCTAGAGGACAAACTACTCGGCAAGCGCGACGATGACGCAGAGGCCACAACGGCTGAGGAGGAGGCGTGGCGTCAGCGGCGTGAGCAGCTCAAGGACGAGGCGGAGCTGTCGCTCGACCTCTCGGATGATAACGATAAAGGGAACAGCAATGCTGCGAAAGGAGGCAAACCGAGTGGCAGCACCAGCGTCGACCATGGGACTTTGATTTGGGATCTGAGTGAGCGGAACACGGTTCTTGCTGTTCGCAAGGAGACGACGGAGTTGGTGGAGGACGAAGAGGACGACGAAGTGTTCGGCAGTGCGAAGGAAGACGCGAACGGTGATGAAGAAGAAGATCAGGACCAAGAGAGTAAGGAGCACGTGGCTGAGAGCGAAGAATTTGACGTGGATCGACTCACGCAGCTCTCTGCGAGGTCCGCGGAGGACTCGTACGCGTCCGTGAACGAGTACTTCCGCGGCGACGACACGCGGGTCTTCCGGGACACAGAGATCGACCGCGCTACAGTGGCAGACAGCTTCATGGGCACTACAGTGACGGACAGCTTCTTGGATGCGTCATCGACAGCGAACCGCAGCTTCCATGTCGACGATGACGACGAAGTCCAGCAGCAGCAGGGTGAACAGCAGCAGAAACAGGAGCAAGACGACGAGCAAGTTGACGACGAGAGCAGCCCCGACAAACGTCGAAGCAGCTCTGGTGCGTCGTCCTCGTCACGCCGTCGGTCGTCCAAGAAGAAGTCGCGTAGCAAGAAATCCTCGCGTAAATGAGCCCCAGAAGCTTAAGGAGAAGCGATAGGACGACGAAGCTGTTGTTGCTTTAGGAAAAAATTAAATCACTTGACCCCCCGACGCCTTGCCTAGTACTAGTCGTAGTCGTAGTCGTAGTCGTTGATCACACTTCCCAGACGGCTTCGGCGGGTTGCTGTGTGGAGCTCACGTATGTCGGAGGGGTGTACTTCTGGTGCGACTGCAGCTCTGACGCGGACGGGTGGTGGATGAGGTTGTAGGAGCTCCAGCGCTTCCAGCTCTCGTCTTCGACCACGAGCGGCTCCTTGTTGTGCACGCTTGGATGTCGTCGGGGATGGCAGCAGCGAGCCACTACGCTGCTGTAGGCTTGACCCATGCCGGCGAATTGCTTGAGATGGTATCCGTCGCCGCGCCGCTTCAAGATCGATCCTTCAAACCGTGATGACGTAGGTACCGTACATATTTGACGAAACGTATTGTATGAATTCGATACATATTCGAACTGTGATAATGTATTTGTATCAACGGTACACCCAGTTGCCGTGAAATGACAAGTAAATGCCAAGCGACCCAGTCTACTGCTGGATGGCAGCGCTCAGGAACTTCTCCATCGTCTCTCGGATCTTGTCCAGGCCCGTGGAGCTGATATCAAACCAGGAAGCGTCCAGGTTCGTGGTCGAAGCTCCCGTTTCCGCCATGTCCTCGTCCAGTCCGTCCTGGATGCTCTGCAGCACCGTTCGCACCGACAGATTGAGCGCGCCGCCCTCCTGCTCGCTGGGGTCTTGGGCCGCAGCATTGGACTGCAGCATTTCCTCGGCGGACGGCTCGTTCTCGCCCTCCAGCAGCGTCTGGAACCTGATCACGACGCTCTTGACATCGGCGCGGGCGCTGACAGAGACGCTGTGACGAACCTTCGTGCACTTCTCGTGCAGCTGGGAAGCTTCGGCAGTCGCGGCTTCAGTCGAAGAGCTCGAGCTTCTACGCGCGTGAGCCGCCCACAGCTCCTCGATCGAACTGGTGTGGGGGACATACGCGCAGACCGTCTTGGCGACAATCGCGAGCTGGTTGTGCAGCGGATCGCCCTCGTAGTCGCCCCAGAACTCCATCGGATTGGCCGTATTGGCGGCGTTCCACACTCCAGGCTCGCCGAAGTCGCCGGACTGCTTCATGTAGTCGTTGTACGAGCGAATAAAGTTGTTCTCGTTGAAGCCCGGGATCAGTGCAGTCGCCACGCGAACGGTGACGCCGCGCGCGCGTCGCAGTCCAGACACACTCAAACCCGCGCCGTGGACGCGAGGGTCTAGCACCAAGCAGGCCATGAAGTGTTCCCCCACGTAGCACTCCATGCGCTGCAGGAAACTGGTGCTTATGGCGCCCGAGTTCCCGTCGAGAAGCGGGGAACGACTGGCAGCACCGAACAGCCAGATCCACAGCGCCAGCATCTGGCCAGACGTAGCGCTCTGCAGTTCACTCAGCGCCGACAGGAAGTTGAGCGGCGCAAGAAGCTGCGCAGTGTGACGCAGCGTGTTCCACGCCATATCGCTGCTGCCCACATCTACTAACTGACGCAGGATGGCTGACGGCGTTGACGAGGCCTGCTTCTCTTGCTCGATCGCTGCGCGTAAGAAGGATTCGAGACGAGTGGCCTGCTTCACTGCCATCGCGATGGAGCGCCAGCTTGTAACCGAGACTTGAGCGAAGGCGCTAGCGTCTCCTTCGACATCAGCACTGTCATTCTCCAAGAAGACCTCCCGGATCACACGCTCACGCAGCGATGGCATCACGTGCAGGGCATCAGCAGTAAGAACAGCGTTGTCGAGCGCCTCCTCCAGTGACAGACTGGTGATAATCAACTCGTGAAGTAGCAGCGCCGTCTGCTGCGTCATGCACACGCCCGTGAGCGTGAAGGGGTTGGTCGGAGCGCTGGAGGTGCGTAGCAGTTCCTGGCGTGCTCGAGCGTAAGCGCCCGACGTCGGCGTGACCATGAAGACCTTAGTGCCGGAGTTTGAGCACGGCAGCGACGACAGCGCCGAGAGCACTTCAGCAACGTAAGGCGACGCCGCGGCGCCGTTACCCTCCGCCAGTACAAATCCATGTCGCCACTCATCCAGTGCCACGTACGTCGTTTTCTTCGCTTCACTATCGCCAGCTCCAGTGTTATTGATCGCCAACGTGACCGCGTTCGAAGCAGCTAAGGAGGTGCGGCATTGGTGGTCGTATTTCTGCGCAAGGCGATCCAACACCTCCGTCCGCGCGCGAGCCGCAGTCAACGGCAAGTTGCCCGACGCCGGACGCAGAATCTCCATGGCTTCACGGAACGCGGCATTGTCCAGCAAGCTCCAGGGTGCGTTCGTAGCGACCAAAGCGGTCGTCAGCTTCTCTTCAAAGCTGCGGATGTTACCAGCCTCGCGCATGGGCATCGGCTTCGGCGCAGGGGCCTGAGTCGGCGTCCTCAGAGCCGGCGACTGCTGCTTGATCGGTAACGCCTTGATCGCTGCCTTCTCAGGGGTAGCCACGGGCATGGACTTGACCACATGGGGGGCCACTCTGGTCGGCTCAACCGCCTTGGTCAAAGTGTCCGCAATGGCCACAGTGCCCACCTTGACAGCCGCCTCCTTCTTATTCGAGACGAGTCCCGCAGCACCCGCGTACTTGGCCTTGACGTCCTCCGGCGCTTCCGGACACTTGGCGGACAAGTGCAGCTTCAGACGTCCGCTGATCTGCGGCGAGTCCTCGTGGCAGTACAGGCAGCGCATCTTCTTGTGCTTGGTGCCGGGGGACGCCGGGACGTCCTCAAAGTGCTCGTAAACTGGTCCGCGCTTGCGACCCGCGGTCTGTCGCACCTTGAGGACACTTGTAGTTGAAGTTGCCGATAACGTGGCTTCCGGTGACGTGGTCGCGTCCGCATTGGTCGGCGCCGAGGTGGTTATTGTTACAGTAGCCGGTTCCAGCTGCTGCGCGCGGAACATGTCCTCCCACGTCGGGTGCTTGATGCGCAGGTGCGTCAAGAGGTTCGTGTAGCCCGTGCTGGCCGCCTGCGTGTACACGTTTTGGCACAGACGGCAGAGGTGGCGGTTGGCGCCGCCCCCCAGAGGCGCGCGCTTCTTGCGGCCGCGCTTCTTGGGCGCGTTCGGGTCCTCGGGCGCGGGCTCAGGCGGCGGCGGCGCGTCCGCGTCGAGCACGGGCTCGAAGAAGAAGCTGCAGACGTTCACGGAGCTCGCCATGGTGGATTTCGGGCGGTTCGAATTGTGTGGAGGGAATTATTGGAAAACGAAATCTGGAAAGAAATGGGACTTTGGACCAATGAGGAGGGGTTATGGTGGATTGGGGGGTTGTGATTGGATGTAATGGTGTTTTTTGGTAAATAAATTGCTTTGCGTAAGTAATAATATGACTATTTTATATTTCTTTTTTCGCATCAAGTTTATTGTCAAGTTTATTTTCTTGATCATGGGGGATGCAGGTGTGCTCCGACGGTTTTGTTAATTTGTTGATAACTGTTCACAATACTACATGAGTGACAAGATCTCTAAGCTTTTTCAAGCGCCCGAAGTAGCCTCGTCTTCGATTACCGAACACTGATCCGGACGCTGTGCTATCGATCCGTTGCATCAGAACCAAAGTGCTCAACAAGATGCATGTTCTACTCAGCTACGGCGCATAAGATCACCAAGACTGATGACTATTGATAGACAGCTACATCGATCCCTTCCTGGATGAAAGGCGGTATTCCTGCTTTTGTCGAGCTCCGTCCTCTTCAAAGCGTCGAGCGATGTCGCCGTATTCACAGCTCAAGTCGCCGCCCATGACGTCGACATCCGAGCCAAACCTCGCCAAGGAACTGGACTGGAAGGCCGAGTACCTCGACAAAGATGGCGTTCTGCGGCGATCGAGTTGCGTGACACGCCGCATGATCCAGCGCGGCGCATCGATCAAAAACGCAATGGACTTGACCACGGACGACCAAGCGCACACGTCGATTAAAGCGCGGACTCTGGAGAAGCGCAATAGCCGTCGAGCCACGATGCAACTGGCCGCTGACGCCGAGCGCAAGCGTTCAGCCAACGCCTCACTCAAGTACCAGGGCAAGTTCAACAAGGAAAAGTGGCTGGAGGACGTCAACCTGCGCGCGGCCGAGCGCGTGGCCCGTCAGCACCAGCAGCATATGCAAGAAGTGGCGGAGCTCACCAACCTCGTGGACTTGACGGAGAACAACACGGCCAAGTCACCGTCACGAACCAACACTTACGTTGACGAGGAGGGGAACCTCCGTCGTCGAATTTCCACCCCACCTGAAGTTCTTCAAGTAAACCAGGAGGGCTTTGTCCCAGCGCCAGAAACTCCACCGCCACCAGCCCCCACCACAGTTGAAGAACCACACGAATACTGCTAAGTAGAGGCCACAGTGCATTCTTCCATGAGTTCGTTCATTTTGATAAATAAAACTAGCAGCAGTATTCATCATCCATCGTCGGAAAGAGAGATTTAAGATCTTGACTTCGAGAAAATGTTGCTGAAGATAGCACAATACCCGATGCTGGTTCTCTTGGATCATATAACCACCCTGGCTAAATGTGAGCGCTGACGACCTCCCCTTTCCCCATGTTCTTAGCCGATGCAAATGAGTGGGGCTGCATCGGTGCGTCGCACTTTGTTTCACGACCTTCCATACTCAAAAGCTCGAGGTTTTCAACGCCACTTGGACCCCTTGCAATCCGCAAGATGGAGCAGCTACAGCGTTCGCTATCGGAAAGACTCGCTTCAACTCCACTGGAGACAAACGTGGACTTCATTGACCAGGACGGAGTTATTCGCCGCTCCTGCACTGTCACCAAGCCAATGCTCATGCAAGGCGCTTCCGTCGGGAAACTGGAGTTCCTCTCAACCGAGTTGGACGACGATAAACCGCAAAGTTCCGCAGTGCTCGAGCTCTCGAGCGTGCGCTTATCACCTTTGGCCACGCGCTCAGTGTCCGAGTCGGAAATGAACCGACCCATTCCTCGCGAAGAGCGTGTGCGACGTTGTACGCAGTTCCAGCTCCAGCTTCGCGAACGGAAGCACAGCATTCTGGTGGAGCAAAATACCCGCCACGAAGAGCGATCACAACTCTGGCACGACGCCTCTGAGCTCGATCCAGACGTCGAAACCACAAGTGAGAACACCGTGCGAACGCCGTCTCCGAGGTCACAAACCTATGTCGACGAAGACGGCAACGTGCGCCGCAAGAGCTCCGCCGCCTCTTTCGGTGCATCACGAGATACTTCAGTATCAAATGACCAAGGCACGGCAACCGTGGATGGAGATAACGCGACACCGAAGTCTCCACCTTCACCCATCGCCCTCGTATTTGGCCAAGGCAAAGCATCGCCAACACCTCCGCGAATTAGTGCGTCACTGGTGCTGGAGTTCGCGCAGACAATCAACGACAGCTAGAGGAAGCAGCTTAATCCATTTATCGATAACACAAATCTTCGTCTTCGTTATGGTCGACTAATTTTGAAAAAGGGGTATTCTTGGCCGGTTAGCAAGTTGCCAAACACCACGAAACCAGCATATTATTATCGTGTCAGTACTTCATGAGTGCAAATGCAGGAGATGCCGCTGATGTCGACGTCGAGGCCGACGCCTTATACCACGTGCGACTCATCCATGGCTGGCCACCGCTCGGAAAGTCTCCACCGCTAGATAAACTCCTTGTCTCGTCATTTTACGGCCTTCAACTGGAGCTTCGCGGAAAAGCCAGAGACTTGTACGACTCGCGGAGTTCCATCACGTTGTTCAATGACGGCCAATCCGTATCGAAGACCGGGGAGATCAGGAAGGCGGCCACAGCTCCACTGCATCTCGGCCCCCCGTCACCAGCCATACTAGCGCCTTTGGAGACTATCACCGGTCCATTCGAGTTGGTCGTTCTCAACAAAATGCCTCCTCCAGCATCCTATACAAGTAATGAGGACATCTTGGCGGCCTTGCAACAAATGGGTCCTGTGCAGGCGGAGAACACGCTGCTGGAGATCAACGGGGAACGTATCGTGCTTGACTCGAGCTCCACTGGGGCTGACGTGTATCGCCGACTGTGGTGTGTGACTTCACGTGCGTCGTTGGCCACGCCCTATGAGCTCACGTTTCGGCGACACGACTTGGCCCAAGCATCCGCCAAGATCGTGCCGTTCGCAAGACGGAAAGACGTGCAAGACGCTCAGCTCGCCCAGCTTGCAAAGATTGAAGCGCAGGAGGCCGCACTGCCCATCGACATTCGCCGTAAGAAACTGTTTATTTTCCAGCAATTGGACTTTGAGCGGGAGCATTACCTGGTCGCGCACGTGAGCGGCCCACTTCAGCAGCTACAGACCAGCATAATGGGCGGCGGTCAGTGGCAGGCGTATGAATACGGCAAGACGATGTGGTACTTCCACGCACCTACCGCGCGGTTGTGTGCCCAGCACCCGCTCCGCTGTCATCCAGAAGCTCGAGAACTCATCGAAAGGGTCCAACAGCAAGTCCAGCAGGCTGTGCGGCGACTGCAGCGGAAGACCAGGTCACGACAACGTCGAAAGTGCTTGATGGCTGTCATCCAGGCCGAGATAAAGCGACGAGAGGATGAGAGGCGGAAGGAGCAGCAACGACAGGAAGACGCGGTGCGTCGGGTTCAGCGGCGGATTCGAGGGTATCAGCGATGGAAGCGGTTCTTGGCCATGATTAAAGCAGCAAAGCGACGACAACAGGAGCTTCAAAGAGAACAACAGAGAGCAGAAGAACGGCAACGCGAAGAGCAGCGAGCGGAGGAGAACCGGCAGATGGAGCTGATGAAGCAGGAGCGACAGCGACTACAGCAGGAACTTACCGAGCTGCAAGCAGAGATGCAACAGCTTCGGCTGCTCAAAGAGACCAAATTACCGGTGCAGACGGAAACGCAGACCAGTGCCCGACGAGATGAGAGCGCCATTGAGACGCTGAGGAAAGAAGAGCAGCAGCGACTTCAGCTGCGTCTTGAAAATCTCGAGGTGGAGCTGCAGAAGCGGAGGGAGATAAAGCCATCCAACGAGTCAGAAACGCAAACCAGTAGCCGCAGCAGCAGTGGAAATGACGTCGAGCAGCAACGAGCACGTCACAGAATTGAGGAGTTGGAGCTGCAACTCCGCCATCGAGACACCAAAGAAGTGGTGGAGTCAGAAACACAGACCAGCGGTCGACGTGGAGGCAGTTTACGGGATGAAGGAGTCGATACGGGAGACGATCTTGAATGGCAGCGGTACTTGACGCTGCTGCGTGTCGCAGTGAACAAGAAGAAGAAGACCTCCCCAAAGAGAAGCCGACAGACGCAGACTGACAGCATCGACGGCGAAGACACTATCTTGGCCTCGTCAATGTTTCGAGCGCCGCAGCATGCGGTATCCTTCTCACCATCGTCTCGTAAATTCACCGGAGAGTGGAAAGGTTTTCCGTCGTGGCAGCGGACCAACGGCAACAGTAACAGCGGGTATAGCAGCAACAGCAGCAGCACCGCGAGTCTCATCACGCTCAAGTCCAGCCTCGGCCAATTCGACGAGCTCGACACCGTGTCACCTCCGACACGTACATTCGAATCCTTCTTCGCCCCCGACGTAATGATGCCACCGCAGGAGCGTCCTCCACCACCTCTCGTCGAGCAGCCGTGGAGACAGGATTCCACTTTCTTGCCGCTGAAATCGAGTCGAAAGATGCTGGAAATCACGCCAGTCCACCAGCCACTGCATGAAAAGGAAAGTCCAATTAGACCCATGGGGAACGCGTCATCCTTCGTAATAACTCCAGCATCCAGCCCCACAAATACAACCAAGCTTCCATACATCACTCGGAGGCGGAAGAATAATGCGTCATAGAGACATAGTTTCCCGTCGCCATCAAAATAAAAGCACAAGCAACACGTACGAAAGAAATCCAACGGTCTGCCTGTTATCCATCACATGTTCTCACCTGCCCATGGTCGGGATGACAGGTCTTCCTCTACTGGTCATTTGCTCCGTCGGTTAGTTGAATGGACCATCCGCCACGTACGAGTGTTTGGTCAAGACAGCTACTGCGATCGATCTCGATTCAATTAGTTGTTCTGCTTCAGCTGGCGAACGTAGTTGCTGAGACGATGCTGGGCCTTGTTGGCAATCTAAAACATAGTAAATCGGCACGAGTGAGTACACTGAACAGGGCAGTCTGCACGTCGTACAGCTCAAGCGAACGTACCTCGATCGAGGGGTTAATGGCGAGCAGAGCGCGGATGTCCTGCAGGGCGAGACGGTAGCGCTCCAGACCCTCGTAGGCCAGCGCGCGACGCAGCAGCGCCTTCTGGTTCTTCTCGTCGTACTCGAGCACGTGCGTGCAGTCGCGGATCACGCCGGAGAAGTTGCTGAGCTGCTGGTTGCAAGCCGCGCGGTTGTTGTAGCACGACAGGGCCAGGGCCGAGCCGGGCTTGTCGTTGCAGGCCTCGATGGCCTCGCCGTAGAGCTCAATGGCCTTCTCGAAGGCGGCGCTCTTGAACGCGTCGTTGCCGCGCTCCTTCAGCAGCTCGGCGGGGCTCATGCCCGAGCGCTTGGACTGCTCGGCGCGGGCCTGCAGCGGCTCGATCTCCGTCACCAGGCGGTTCAGGTCGGCGTTGTTGAAGTCCACGCGCTGGCCGGCGCGCAGCGTGGCGAGCGCCTCGTCGTACTTCTTCAGGCCCTTGAGCGCCACACCGTGGCGGTGGTAACCTGCAACACCGTACCGTAAATTTTAGTCAGCTTCAACTCAAAATTAAAAGGAAATCGCTTGACAACTCGTGGCTCGGAGCGCGCGGCACGGTAGGTAGGTACCGCCGGAAAAGGGCCCAAGTGAATGAGTCATCCATCGTCTGATAACGCCACGTACCCTTGACGAACTGCGGGTTCAGGCGGATGCACTCGGCGGCATCGTCCGCGGCCTCCTGGAACTTGCCCCAGCCAGCGTACGCGGCACTGTGTGCATGTAAAGAACAGTGACGTCAGTGTTAAGACGAAAGAGTTGACGGGAGAGAGAGAGAACAAGAAGACAGCCCGGGGGACCATTCTTATTGCGTGATCACTCCCCCTGCTATTGGGGCTGTTAATTGAGTGGACGCACGCACGCACCTGCGGTTGGAGAAGTAGACGTGGTTGGTGGCGTCGATCTCCACGGCCTCCGTGTACTTGGCCACGGCGGTCGGGTAGTCCTGCTTCTTGAAGGCCTCGTTGCCCTCGCTGTTAAGAGGAGGAGACGCAGAGTTAATTAGGCGGAGAAGGGGGTGGAGCGGAGGGAGAACGAGGCCACGCACTTCTTCTTGGCGTCGGCGGCGGCGTTGACCATGGTGTTCGCTGGCTGGTTTGGAGTGTGTGTGTGTGTGGCTGGGATCTGTACCCTTGCGTACCCTCGTACCCGACCTAATTTAGGTTTTATAGCTTCTTAGTTTAGGTTTTTCATGACTTTCCGTCAGCTTTTGGCTCGAAATGACGGAAAGTCATGAAAAACTAATTTAGGCTTGTAGGTGGCCACCTAGAGCGGGGTACACATCGGGATACACTATGTGTGTAAACCACATTGTATTAGGTACACTCCGTGTGGGAACCACATTGTATTAGGGACATTTCAAACTTTGGGTGGTGCACCTTAAAAATGGTGTACCGTTTCTAAGGTACCGATCTTTTAGCCAGAAAAACCAGGTTATGCAAATCGGAGCCGAGCGCCGCTCCTCGTCAAATTCGGAGATGTTGAGATGTTGTGCCCTTCAGGCACGAATCGTCGAAATTGAGAAGCGCGTCGGTCACGGCAATTCGCTCTGTACTGTACTGACTGATAAGCACTGCTGCCGTAGTTGGTGTACGCGCATCATACAGAAAGAATCCGTGCCTAGTGGTAACGAATTAGTACACTGGTAGTAGTGTAATTCTTGTTGGAACATCCAGCCATTGACCACACTATTCGTGTTATTTATAGTAAACACACGAAATGAACACCTCCATCAAGTACACGCTTCGAACCTCCTCTGTATTTCGTTCCAACAATGTCCCGTACATTATGTACACCTGAGAATGCGATGCGCTCATTGCAGTAGGTGTGATGTACAGGCAGCTGTAGGTCGCTCGAGGCAAATTAAAAAGTGATATTCGTGACTACCGTAGACAGCTAATCGCTCGTGTCCACCTGGAGCAAAATGCACATTGACTACAACGTCCCGTAAACCGTCGTCCCGAAATCCGTCTAGTAAACTACAGCACCCTAAGTTATAAATTACCGTTTCCGTAATTGCACCCCAGTGACAGACGTGTGCCAAGAACTGCCCGCGTGTGGCCTCAACGCATTCACCGTGACAACTTTCGTGCTTGCAGCGCAAAGCCAGGTGATGTACCGCCGATGTACTGTACTACGTGTATTAATATTATAGTGTACGTGTAATGCGCCTACCTTGGCTCACTACTACGGCTTACACGTATGCGCACGTGTATGAGGAAGCGTAGGTTTCTTTTACTTGAGTTAAGTATACTCGAGATCCACGAGTATACTTTAAACAAGATAAAGACTCCAAGTAGCGGGTTTTGGTAAAAGATGAGAACTGCTATTTTTGTTTATGTTTCTGACTTCCTCTAAATGTAATATTCTAAGATAGGAATCTGCCAACGGCTGGTTGGCAGAATTCCAATGCTATGCATGTCGCTCATTGGCTAAGAGATGCTGCTCTCAGCCAATAGGAATCCTAAGTCTCTATGGACCACCCGTCGTGGTGATCCTAAATGTATGTAGCCTTTGGTGTGTCTACACCAAGGTCCAGAAAGTCTTTCAAACCTCTAACAGACATCGCATCTGTTAGAGTAACAAGTGACTGTAGTCACTTGTGCGTGTAACCCCGTTACGCCATCCCCCCGTCAACCACCATTGACCGCTTGGTCAATGTGTGACGTCGAAGAGAGCGTGCTTGTTCCGTAACGAGCACGACGAAGTTGAAGACCCCTGGCGCAGCAGCGGAGAACCTCTCTGCTGCTGAGTAGCATGCGCGACAACGTGCGAAGCGCGTCGCTGCCGCGGGGGCAAGTACCTACGTCTGCCCTCGAAGTGTCTTCGGGCGCTGCTGTTAACAGCAGCGCTCGCATTACGTTCCAGTATGTAGCGCATGGTGGGCTTCGTATGCCCTCACCATGTCCGGGACGTCTTCGAGCAAGACGTTCCGCGGCTCCCATGTATCTTGGTTGGGAGGGAATCCTCTCCAACGGATACGAAAACGAACCGGTTGCCTGTTCGTTCTCGGGATACTGTGACCAACAATCCGCTCAACTATCCATCGAGTTGAGCCGTGTGCGTCACGAATTGGCGGTGGTGGTGGTGGGAACACGCCCCGTGTGTGGTCAACTTGGTGTTGACCCTGATCTCGCGTCTCCCCACGACCGAGTTCCGGTCGTGGAGTAGTTCCAGAGCGCTGGGTTCGGCGCTCTGAAGCATCATCAGGTTGCGACGGCCTCCCAGGCTGCCTCGATCGTTCCGGCCGAGCTGGACCATTAGCTGGACCCGCTGCTCCAGCGCGAAGTCGCGCTGGAGAGGATGACGGCTTCCGCCGAGTCTTCTGTGGTTCAGCCGAGCTAGGTAGCTCGTGCTGCAAGTATGGCTTCAGCCGTCCGACGTAGAACGTCGGATGGAGGCGCATACTAGACGGTATGTCCAGTGTGTAGGCGTTCGTTCATAACGTCCGCAAAGAACAAGACCGCTGGCGCTGTCTGGCGTTCGACCAAGCCATTCTCGAGATCTTGACGGAGGTCCACATCAGCCCTTTTGGTGTCGTAGACAAAGGTGACTCGGACCCGCTGACGGCCGGCCGGACCATTCATGACCTCTCCTTCCCCGTCGGCCGCTCCATCAACGATCACACTGATTCCGCGAGTATGTGTGCTCCTACATTCGAGACGTGTGATGCAATCGCGACGGAAATTCTCCTCCGGCAACACGCTCACCCCAGCGCGGAGGTTAAACTCCAGGCTGGCGACGTCGCCTCCGCTTTCCGAAACACCTGTACGCGGAGCGACTGCGCGTACCTTTTCGGTGGGCGGCTCGAGCCCGATAATGCGCTGGCCATCGGTCTGGCGGCAGCGTTCGGCTGGTCTGGCTCCCCCGCCACGTATGGAATCGTCGGCGGTGCCATTGCCTTCATACACGGCGTGTCGTCCAACCTGTTCCAGCCGCGAGGCCTTTTCAACTACTACTGGGTCGACGACCACATCAATGTTGCTGCCGATGTCGGTTCCAACTGCGCGGACGCTTACATCTCCTTACGGAACGCCATGATCACGGTCCTCGGGGATGGGGCAATTAACGAGGGCCAATTTACCCCCTGGAGCACGCGTTAGAAGGCTCTTAGGCTCATTTTCGACACTGTCGCCCAGACCGTCTCCATGCCACAGTCCAAGATTGATAAGGCCCAAGCCTGTGTAGCAGCGGCTTATGTGGCGGATTCCCTCAGCCGCTCCGACTACCGCTCGCTGCTGGGCCGCCTTCGCCATGTGGCGATATGCGTGCGTTCCGCCCGGCCCTTCCTTCAGTGGCTTCGTGCTCAAGAACGCCATCTTCACCGCTGGCACCAGATCCCTGTCGTAACCGAGCTGAAGCACGACCTCGTGTGGTGGGCTCAAATCCTTTGTTCGCCCCTGCTCAATGGCGTACCGATGGCCCACGGTCGGATCTAACGCCTGACATCGTTGTGGAAATGGATGCCTCCGATAGCGGTCTATGCGTGCTGGTACCCGCGTCACAGGAGGTTCTTTGCTACCCTTTCCGACAAGAGGAAGCCGACCTTAATCGAGCGACCAAAGTGCAGCTGTGGCGAGGCAAATTTGCAAGCTCCCGCAAGTGCCATCTCCAACGTTGCCCGGATATACTCTCGATGAAGTGACCGGACTCAAGCTCCCCATTCCGGAAGACGCTACCGCTGATCTCTCCGGAAGTAATTTTACTTTCACGACAAGTGTGGCTGGGACGCGGTGACAGAAGAAGATTGACAGTCATTGTTTGTATCCAGATTGTGCACTCCGGACAATTGAGCTGCTACGAGTGATGACGCGCTGCGAAGGACGACTAGTTGGCATGCACCAGAGTGCTCATGTGTGTGATGGATGCCCCCGAAGGCATGTGCGTGGTTGCTGTTGCCGACCGAGCGTGTATCGAGGCCAAGCAACGACCCAGAGGCACCGGGATGAGCAGTGTTTCGGATGGACGGCTGGAATTCTGAATTTGGATCGAGATGGAGAGCTGGTTTGGATCCTTGAATCTGCGAGGGAAAAATCCAGTGGCCACCCATCAAGAAAGGTTCCAAACTCTAAGTATAGTCTGGCCAAGATGTTAACGACCGACCAGCGCGACCGACCAGCGCGACCGACCAGCGCGACCGACCAGCGCGACCGACCAAGATCTGTTATGCACGAGGGGTCGCCTGATTCCTTGCGTGTCTCCGGATGTTCAAGATGATCACGGCACCCGGACCCATAGTGAAACCAAGATAAAAGTGAAGCCTGCATGCGGAAAGATAGCTAGTAGAGATCGTCTAGCACTAAAATCAACAGAGAGTTCGTTTTGCCTTGTGAGTGACAAGTCGGCCGGCCAAGCCTCAGGAAGTCATTCCCCGGGCCCGGCGACGCGTTTCTTGCGGATAAGGTCACCTCGGGCACGCGTACGCCCGTTGTGCGAGTCTCCACTACGACCTAGAGATCTAATTGATGGGGACCACGGCGACGCGCGCTAAGGAGTGATCCGCCATTTCATATTCCAGTTGGCGAACCGAACGGTAACCCATTTCATATTATTAACTTGCGGTTTGGGAGGTTGTTAGTAGTCACCCCTTGAACTTGATTGAGAGACTGCTGTGTGGTAGGATTGTATACCTGTGTGTGAATCGGTTAGTCTTCCGGAACGAATTCTAGTGTTCGGCTCCGGGATATTGATTTGAGTAAGCCAGTGAGTTTGGAGCTGACCAGGGTTCTGAACTACGCTTTGTTGACTGGACCGAAGACCCACCGCTCAAGGGTCCGAAAGAATTAGAGCGGCTGTATATCGTGTATAACTCTCTGTGTGTATTGATTGGTGTTTGGGGACGACTCCACCAATAGTCTGACCCCCCAGCCGTACTGACTCCGTTTGGAAACGAACGTGGGCGATTGTAATATTCTGTATCTGATTGATATTGTGAAAGCAACTCAGGTGGTGAACTCCGGACTTACCGAAGATAAACGCTACCTAGAGGGATTACACAAGGTCACACGCCAACTCCGGTCGGGATACTCGTATTCCAATTGGAGACTGACCCCCACTTGGGTTTTCCGTTTGGACTCATCCGACCGCTAGGCACGTAACTATACACCCTGGACGATAAAGGCGTTCACCCGCCTCGCCTCAGCTGGTGCGCGTGCCCGGATTTGGAAGTCTAGGATTTCACCGAGTTGCTTTTTTATATTGTTTTCGATCATGGTTCAGAAGGGTGCGGATTGCTAACTAACTTTCTGATCGTTTGTTAAGTATGACTGGAAGTGAAGGCGCACGTGAAGTTGGACGCGAGGGTCAGGAACGCAGTGAGGCGTCACGCTCGTCGCGTCGAGTGCAGGGGTTGCTGCCTGAAGAGCAGGAGTCTCTGGAAAAATTGGAGAAGACTGCTCGGAAGTCGCGCGCTGCGAAGCGCAAGGCAGCCCGAGAGGCGAAGTCGGCAGCGGGATCTGAGACGACTGCTGAAGCTGGAAGTTCGGGGGCGCACCAAGTGACTCCGGATGAAGCTTCGGACGAGGTTTCGGGAAACCAAGCCGACTTAAAGTCGACCGACTCGGTTCGAGATCCGGTTGGCGAGGACGAGTCCAACCAGGACGAGTCCGAAGAGGCGTCTGCGGGAGGCGCCGACAAGGTTGAGCCCCCAGCTGAGGATCGAGTTTCGGATTCTCCTCAGCCGGAAGAAGAAGTCGAAGCTCTGGATTCTGGAGTGCCGACGATCAAGGAGGAAGGTCCACTGACGACCGTTTGAGAAGATGAAGTGCTGGACGATGCGAAAGAATCTCCGGCTTCGGCTCAAGAACAAGTGCCGTCAACTCCGGTCCCTGAAGTGAAGCCTGACCCAGATGTCATTGATCTGACTGGAGATGACCGAGCTGAAGGACCGACTGAAGAAGTGTCTGGGGCGCTGGAGGCGTTGATGACGGAGGGTGAAGCCAAGACTTACGTGGCTGATCAAGTTCGACGTTGGGAACGGGACGAGTCCGAAAGTGTCCCTCCGACTGTGAAGACTGACTGGACACCGGGAAGTTTGGATTCCGGATCGTACGTCTCTGCTGCTCTGATGACTTCGGTGTATCTGGATCGGCGCATGGCGATGGCGAGTCAGGCCGACGCTTGGATTTCGGAGATGCAGCTCAAGCGGGTATCGTTTGGAGCCGCCCAAGATCTGAACGCCGTCCTGATCCCGCCTGGATTGTTTTTTCCGTGAGAGTGCGCTGCAGTCATTCAGACTCTGCTTTTGAAGCCGGCTTTGAGTCTGTGAACTTGGTCCCTGGTTGGTTCCGAACACGGGCCAACAAGGTGCATCCAGATTTGGTTCATCGAGTGGTTTCGGACTTGTTGCAGTTGCTGGCCGTCGAGTTGATCGAATGGAGACAGTTGGTTGACACAGCCCAAGAAGCTCAGCGCCGCTTGAAAGTTTCTGGTCAGACTGATTCGAGACCGCCACGTTTAGAGTATCACGCTGAAGATCGGGATGGAGATTTATTGATGAACGATTACGAGGCTAATCTACTTGGACGCGAATAAGTGTTGCAGTTGAAGGTAGCTGGACTCCGGAAGACGCGAAGCCCGCGAGGGTCCGCTGACTCAGAGCCCCAACCGAAGCGTCCGCAACACTTGCCGCCGCGTCCAGAAGTCTCGCCAAGTCCGACTCCGGAATCTCCGCTCACGATATCTCCGGAAGTGTCTCTCCAACACGTTGGGTCGAGAAGCACCATGTCCGAGCGAAGTGCGTCCATCCAGGCTCCGACTCGCTTCGGGGTGTCGGGTGGGTCCGATCAATCTCTGACGAGCGCTTCGTCTGGGACGTTCACGTCGAGAGACGGCTCCTCACTTTCGTCCGGATGGAGTGTTGGCAGGTTCGCCGGAAGCCACATGCCCATGGCGATGATGGCCCAAGGTGGAGGTGTTCCGACTGGAGATGGAATGGCGATGTGCATCAAGCGTGAAGTGGTTCCGCTCGCCCCGACGCCAGTTGACCAGGACGATGTCGTTATGTCGGAGTCTGGGTCGACTGATGTTCGGAAGCGGAGAACAAAGTCTGGAAGCCACTCGCGTCGATATGGCCACCGTCGAAGACCTTCGTCCGGAAGCTCTGACAGCGAGGACGATCGCGGTCACCATCGGAGTTCCAGAAGTCGACACTCGAGAAGGTCGGACCGACACTCTGTCCGGACGCTCGGGTAGATCCGCTCGGTCGCTTCGGTCGGAGTCTTCAGTCGGATCGCGGTCATCGGGTGCCACGCAGATTGCCTTGAACACAATGAGGCAGGTGCAGGACGCGGTGTCCCGCATGGAGAACACTCAGGGCTCGACACTCGAGAAGCTTGGACTGGCGCTGAAGGCAGAACTTGGACGGATGGTTCAGGAACAGCTTTCAGAAGCTCGACCGATGGAAGGTGTCGTCCCATGACGACAGCCAGGCTCGCCGCGGGGCGGAGACTCTGGAAGCGCTGCGCGTGGAAGCTGCTCGTCTGGAACGTGAGCGGTCTGAGGCACTGCTTGGACACTACCAGGCCCACTTGGAGGCGCGCCAAGCCGAAGAGGCCGACCGCACGGCCGCCATGATGGCCGTCGTCCAGCAGGACTTGCACGACTTGCGGATGGATCGAGACCAAGAGCGACTGAAGGCAAAGATTCTTCAGAAGTATCTCGTGGGACAGTTGCGCAACCTTCAGACGACATCGGCCCAAGATCAAGGATCTGCGGGAAAAATCCAGTCTAATCCGGCAACTTAAGGACACAGACAGTCCGATCGAGCAACTTCAGACCGGAAATCCAGTCGAGAATCCAGTGGCGTAATCAACGAGCGTACAAGCGCGGGGCGTATGGGACAGGACATGAAGAACACCGACGAATTCCTGGCGTCCAAACTGCAGGAGACCTTGAACGCGGCTAAAGCGGTGAGCTTCCTGAAGCCCGCTGCGGCACAAGCCCAGAAGGTGGTCGCCTCGAAGGTGAAGGCAGAACCTGTTTTCGAGTCAAAGCCCCCTGCGCCGACCCGATCGACGTCAGGCAGAGTGTCTGGATGGTCATCGTCTGGAACGTCCATGTCGCCCGAGCCGCACAGGCGTGAGTCGTCGCGCAAGAGGAAGACTGGCAAGTCTCGCCGTCATGGTGATCCGTCGGACTCCGACCCGAACTCGGACTCTAGCTCTAAATCGGACTCAAGCAACAGTTCGGACAGCAGCTCGTTTGGGGACACGACGCCTGGAGTGACTATGAAGACTGCGGAAGGAGGCACTACGGTGTACACGTTCAAACCGTTTGTGAATTCGAACACGCTGGAGGACTTAGATCCGAAGGCCTCGTTGGCGACCAGGATTCGGTGGCTGGAGCGGTTCCAAAGTAGGGCGGATGGACAGATCAAGTTAAGGTGTACGAGATGAAACTCAAGATGCCTGCACCTGTTCGGAACTGGAGAGCAAACTTGGAGCTGAAGGTGTGTCGGGACTGGAAACGTTTTCTGAAGGCATTCCGCGAGAGGTATTGCAAGGCCAACACCTCAGATTCGGAGCGGTACTACACGATGATTCAGAAGAAATACGAGACGCCTCTCGAGTTCTACTACCGGTTGAACAAGGTCGCTGAGAAGGCTGGCCTGGACTTCAAGTCGTCCAGCAAGGCTCGAAAACGCCATCTGAAGGTGTTTATGAAGAAGCTTTTGGACACCAGACTGCGATCGACCCTTCAAGGTCAGCGGATCCGAAGCTTGAAGGATGTGGAGTACGTTTTGAAGCGACATTATGACATGCTTCTGGACGACGAGTCCGATACACCTCTGTCGAAGAATGTTGTTCTAGGCCCTCCAAAGAAACGTATCCAGCCATCAAATTCAAGCCCAGTCTACCTTGCTCGGACTGGTGGTCCACCTGACAATGTCAAACCGGAACGCTTTTGGAAACGGGACCTATGTCCACATTTCCACAGAACTCACGACGGCGCATGTTCGGAATTGGATTTGTTCAAGACTGTTCAGAATCTAGTTCGTCAAGGAATAGTGGAGGATCTTCCATCTTCGCTTCGGAACCAACTTTTGGGTGGAGATGCAGATTCTGGGGGACGTCATTTAAACTAGCGAGCCCGCTGGATGGGGATCCAGATCGCGCCGGGCTTAACCCCCCCCCCTGAATTGTGCGCATTCGCGTACGTTGGTCCAGACATCCAATCCCAAGGCCTTGGTCATCACCGGTGTATGCCAGTGATCCAGACTGGCGGTTCAGCTCCACGGGATCAAAACAACTCGAATCTGGAGTTGGAATCGTCTCGTTTGGAGGTGTCTAATCCGGGTGGAGTCGTCGAAATCCGATTGAAACCGGGTGAACGTCGTGGTTGTTGGAGAGATCACCTGTTCGATGGAATGAAGCGTGTGGCGATGGTCGATGGAGCTGTAAATGGACGTCGAACTGGAATACTCCTGGACCCCGGAACGTCGGCAAGCGTAGTGAGTCTGAACCTTGCGCGTGGGCTCAAGCTCAAACTTCGCTTCTCTAAGCCGTTCCGAGGTGCAGGTTTGGGACGCGTTCCAACAATCGTAACCGCGAGTGCTGAAGTCAAGATCACATTGGATTCAAATGTTATATACATTTTGGATGTCCTCGTGGCAAATGTCGGTGAGGGGGTCGATGCGCTGTTTGGAACGGAGTTCATGTATTCGGCTGGAGTGAGATTGGTGGATCGAGATGATAAACGTCCAGACGAAACACGAGTTGTGTTCCCCAAACAAAACGTCTTTTCGAAGAACGGTGGTCTGGATCTGCCTATCACACCGCGAGAGACGCTTCACCTTCGTCCCGGAGAATACGCAGTTGTTCGGATCCAGTACGAGCACAGCAATCCGCAGCGGGATGTCGTTTGGCCTGGACGAGGCGATCGTTGGGTGACGAAAGCCATCTATGCCGTAAGGTCCTGGGTGGTGGCTCTGAAGGTCGTGAACATCTCCAATCAAATGCTGTGGCTGGATGCCAGAACACCAATCGGTCGGATTGTCGAGTTCGGATGCTTTCCAAAATCAGGCCAATTTGTCCGGCCGGGTTTACGAAGATATCGGGAATGGCAGCGCCTGATTCGCCGGAGTGAAATTGAGATTCAATCCGCACTTCGAGCAGAACGACTTGCACAAACGCTACGGAACTCGGGACGGATCGGCGGCGAAATCAAAGCATGCGAATGGCCGAAGCAGTTGTTGGATCGATCTGGATCTACGAAAGACTTCTTGGAACAACTCCAAAAGAGGACCAAGAAGGCAATATTCCCCGTCAGCCATCCCAGGGACGATATGCTTCGGGATCCAGGCGCTGGCGACACATCGGACGGTACGGACGACCCGGAGACGCATCAGCCGCTGACCAACAAACGCGATGACATACGCGAGGAGCATTCGGAGACGGACCAGTTTTCTTCAGGCGAAGTTTATCCAGACGGGGACGAGTTTTTCGATTCTATCTGTCTGGATGAAGTTGACTGGGGCGATGGTCTTCCGCACGAAGATCGTGACCTCAGTGAAGCCGCCAATACAGACGCGCTGGGGATTCCAAATGACCAGTGCAAAGCTGATTTCGAAGGCGACGCATACGTAGTCGAAGCCATTTTGGATCTCCGATGGTCCCAAGATTCGTGCACGCCCTGCCGGAGCCGGGAGTACCTAGTCAAACTGAAGCGCTGCACGAAAGCGATGTGGTTTCCGGAATCCCACCGTGACCGTGAACTGCTCTGCGATTTCGATCGTGTGAACAACACCGGATGCCCGGTCCATTAGGGTCGAGATCGCGCGGATGTTCTCAGGGTCTAAGTCGCAGTCTGGAGTCGGCCGCATTTGCGTGACTGGATTGTGATTCGTCGGAAGATTGATTTGGTCGTGATTGCCAATTAGAATTGCACTCGGGGAAGCCGGACGCCAAGCGAGAGGAAGAACCAGGAACGAGATGACGGTGAAGTGGGACGACCTGTTGCAACCGATCAGCGCTGGTACATCTGGATGGTGGCTGCATTTCGGATAACTCGTACTGGATCCAGAGGTGACGAGCTGAAATACTGCACGTTGACCGCTGATGCTATGAGGGACGCGCTGGCCGGGTGTGAGTCTGGGAGATACGATCAAGGTATACTCAAGTCAAGATGTTTCCGACCGACCAGGCAGACCGACCAAGGATGGACATACACTGGATTTTGGCTCGACCGGGATGTCGACGTCAACCGCGGTATAGTGAAATCAATGCATGTCTAAGTTGCAGGAAGATAGCCACAGAGATAAAAGATAAATAGAGTTCGTTTTCCGCTAAAACCCGCAAGCCGCCAAGAAGAGCAGGAAGCGCAGGACGACCGGGCACCGCGGCTAGGTACGACCGTGGTTAGATATCTCCCTGAAGTAAGTACGCCAAGTTAGGTAAGGGGACTGGGGCGTACAGGCGTCTCAGGGTGATCCGCCTATTTTATTTTCTAGTTGCAGCCGTATTCTCGCCCAGAGCGAGGTCCTGCATTTCATATTATCGATTACATCTCGGGCGGAGTGAATAGCTCCGCCTGGGACTTGGCTGGAAGCCTATTGTGTGGTAGGGTATTGATGTTGGTTATTTTCTCTCAGTACATTTGGGAGTGGTGCGCGTTTGAAGTCGCCCAGGGTTGACCAGTACCCTGGATACGACTCGTTAGTTGACTGGAGTAGTGCCCACTGTCCGAGGGTCCGAAAGAATAAGTGACGGATATTTGTATTTGTGTATAACTCTGTATTTGTGGTTATCGTCCAGAGTCGTAGGGGCTACGTTTGGAAGTACGTATCGCACCTCGCTCGGGAACCCAACAGTGTACAACAACTCACCAACTCGGCCGAGCTCCTTGGTTCGAAGACAAACGACCCGAGAGGGATTGTCACAAGGAACACACGCCATCTCGGGCGGACATCTTCTGGTATATCCGCCTGAGAAGTTCTAAGGGACTTTGTTCTCCCGGAACATTCGCACACTATACACCTGGGCGGAAAAGGCGTTCACCCGCCTTGCCTCAGTAGCTCTAATCTGAATAGAGTACATGGTTGTCCCCTAACGACGGTATGAGCGCAAACTCCCAAAGAAGCACCCAGTGAGCACAGATCCGACTACACAGCCCAATGGAGTTGCTATAGGAGTCTATGCCCTTGCTCGGCTGCAAGCTGCCCGTCGTACCAGTCACCAAAGAGTGTCCGTCAGGAAGATGTTGACCATTGCTGTCCTCGATATAAGCTACGGGAAGCATATCTCGCTTGCGAGCCTATGCACCGAAACGTTTTAGCGTTTGTGGAGCTCTATTCGAAGATAGCTGGCAGATAGAACATTGTGGGGACTTAAAGTGCCCATTTGGCGCCCTGCTGAGCGTGCGAACCAGCATGCGAGTGACGGTGAAAACGAGGGCTTCTTGACGACGAGAGTGTTGATTACGTCAAATAGGAGGATATGGCTCTAGCTTTAGGGATATGCGACTATTCACTCAATATGTGAGCGCTGCAGAATTGACAAGCTCGTAGGCCAAATGCAGATAATATCACTCGCTGTAGTTCTCTGATTTTCGTGAAGTTCCCGTTATACTACTTGAGCTTCTATGAATTGGCGACAATTCGAATGAATACGCAATAATTGGGCTAGAGATCTAATGGCAAACAATTATCACAATCCCTTTGACAAATCTCAGTGAAAATAACTGATTTATGGAAATTCCTCAGTGGTTGTCAGAGTTGGATGCAAGCCGCTTTCCAAGAAGAATCTCATCATCTTATTGGACAAAATTCCCCTGCATTACAAGAGATCTTACCCCAGCTTTTTCTTTCCAGGAGATTACTTGGAGTCCAAGGAGTGAGCGACACACAAAATAACAGCACGAAGATCTCGTCGCGGCAAGCGAACTAAGCGCGAAGACCAAGAAGAAGCTGGTCTTCTAAGACCACGATGCGGTCACCGACGGCAAGTCATCTCTGCAGGTCGTCCTGGATTGGCTATCCACGGAGGCAGATTACAGCAAGTGGCGGGGCAGCGACCATCTAGTGCTGCAGTGCGAACTGCGCTAAAGCACGGGCCTCCAGCGAGTACGAGTTGGCATCTTTTTGAATGAGGCGAGGGTCACCTGATTGGTTAGGCGACCTTTCGCCTAACCCTTTGCCTGATTGGATCCAGCGAGCTTGGAAACGTAGTCAAAGTTCGCATCCTGTCATTGGCTAATGCTCCTACTTGCATCCAGGGCTTGCATCCAAGTCTGACAACCACTAACAGCTTTATTTTCATTTTCATTTTCAGAATAAACGGATCGTTTTGCGAACAGTATTTTGGCAAAAATGTATTGCTGTTGGCGTCATTCCTACAGTAACTCTTCAGACACCGCGGTTTGTTGCTGGTCGCGACCGCTTTGAAAAACGGTAACGTTACGTATTTCCAGCGAACTAATTTCCCGCATATCATATACTGAACTTAACGCCCCACTTACCGACAGAGTCCACTTCAACCAGTTGTCCTCATCTTCGAGCAGAAGAGCTTCAAAAGTACGATAGGGTAGGTTGAAGTTAGTATAATCTGGAGCCGATATTGTGGCGTTTTGTTCTCCATTGCCCCTTCACTCAGTAAATCGTAGAGAGTTGACCCCCTTCACCACGAATTCTTTTGAAAACCCCACTCTGAATCCGTGCACGCCGGACTCTGGTCACCCCCAAGACGAGATTTCTTTCTGTCACCAGCATTTTCTGCTCACGAGCAGATTTCGTTACGGTTCCTCTGCTAGGCACGCCACCAAGCCGGTACAGTACGTGCCTCCAATCGGTTCTACACCCACAGCTGCAGGTCAGCATCCTTTGGTGTTGGGCTGTCATTGCCCAATCTTCCGTGGCCCCAGCAAGCCTCCCTCATCACTGTCAGAATCATGGTCTCCCTGTCTTCGTCGCTCTTCGCTGTGGCGCTGCTGGCTACCGCGTCTGCCAAGAAATCGACTGCCGGCAAGTGGTCGGAGACTGCGGTGACGGCTGCTAACAGCGAGCTGCTGTACACCACGCTGGCCGACGAGAACGCCTACAACCCCAGTATCCAAGACTTCATCTGCGTCCGCGTCGTCGAAGGCTGGAAACGAAGACAGCGGCTGCAAGCAAGCACGTTCGCCAGGCTGACTCGGACTCCACCAGCTACAAGTTCGTCGTTGGCGGTTGCCTTGTGCGCAAGGAGTACGGAGGGCGTTGCTTCGAGTCGTATTTCTACCCGGAATGTGGCAACTTCGACGTCGTGATCTCGCCGGACGCGAAGACCGGCGACTACGCGGTTGACTCGATCTCCTTGCACAAGGCGAAAAAGTCGAAGCACTAAACATGTAGGCCTCGAATTAAGTGGATACTTAAGTATACTTCGTAGATAAACACGACGCATTCCGATGTTGCAATCTCAAGTGGTTTTCATCATCAATTTATTTTCAACCTCGCGGTTCATGATGATCGACAAGCAGCTTGCACCAATTAGCCAGATTTAAATATATTCACGCCGCGCTCATTCCGATGGCTTTGGCGAGTTGAGGGAGAACGGAGTCCGACCAAGGAAAAACATAACTTCCGCAGTCACGACTTAGTTTCCAATAAAATCGTTTGGGTCTCGGCGGGGAGCTGCAGGGCGATATCGAGGGCGTAGATCGCCGCTTTCACTTGGCACGCCCTTTGCTTCCTGCTTTGTCTTGGAACGATACGTCTTGGGGTATCCAGAGTACAACACTCGCCGGTTGCGCCGCGCCTGCTTCATGGCGTGATACCGCGCGATGACAACCGTCAGCACGACGAAGAACCCCAAGATCGCCACGACCGGCAGCACCAACTGGCGATAGATCGCTGCACCTGCATCGAGCACCACTCGCTCCCATGAGACGTAAACGTCGAGCAGCCTCTTGACAGCGCCATGGATCTCACCTTTTCCTGCAGACCCCGCAGTGCCGTCACCAGCGTCGCCAGTCTCCGGTGACTTGGAGCGACTCGTCTCCTCCACCGCTTGCTGTCGTTTAGCCTGCTCCAGTTTCTTCTGCTCTTCCAACTTCTTCTGCTGCTCCTTCTCCTCCAACTTTCGCTGCACTTCCAACTTCTTCTGCTTCTCCAGCTTCATTTTCTGCTGCTCTTCCTGTAGCCATCGCTGCTGCATTTCCTGTCTCTTCTTCTCCTCCTCCCGCAATCTCTCCATCTCCTTCACCTTCTCCACCTCCTGCTTCAGCTTCATCTCCAACTGCTTCTCCTCTTCTCTCTGTCTCTCGAGCTCCTGCAGCAGCACCAGCTCTCGCTGCGCCTTCTTCTCCACCTCCTTCTCCTCTTCAATCTCCTTCTCCAGCTGCTTCTCCTTCAGCGCCTGCCGCTTCGCGCGCGTGGCCGCCCTGAGCGCCTCCACCGTCTCCCGCCACGCCGTCACGTTCCCCACCGCCGCGCGGCGACGCGCGTCCACCTCCTGCAGCGCGCGCTGCATCTCGCGCCTCACCTCTTCCTGCACCCTCGCCAACTGCGTGCGCGTCTCCACTGCCAGCAGCTCCAGCTGAGTGTCCTCCATCACGAACAGCTCCGCCACTTGGCTGGCGTCACGCAGCTGCTGTGCCACGACGGCGTACGCGCGCTGCGTCTCCTCCATCTTGGCAGCCACCAGCGCGTCCATTGCTGCTACCTGCTCGCCCACTGCGCGCGCGGCGCTGGCGCCCGCGCAGCACAGCAGCAGCAAGCTGCTCACCCATCGGATCGGCGCGACCATCTCTTATTCCAGTTGGGAAATAGATATTTGGTGTGCGCACACCTCAAGTTCTTGAAACTTGGACTAGAGCATAAACCATTATATTTCATTCATGGACATCCGCTTATATACTTGGTGTGCTCACACCAATTAATCAATCTTGGTTCTATCTTGCACTTCAACGTCGACGACGGTGACAATACCGAGCTTTCTACAGAACTCTGCCTGAATACCGAACGCCTGATATATATAAGGGCTCTAGGTTTATAAAGTGATCTCAGCGTTACCAGAGAAAAGGCTGTACTGAATTAGTTTATCTTAGACGGGATTTGACGCTTGCTGAGTTGTTTCAGCGCTGACCTTCGATCAAGCGTGTTCGCACCACATCAGTGCGGTTAGTAGCTCTACTTTGTACTACTCGTAGAGGGCTTAGCGGGTAGTGCGCAAATGTGAAAGTGGAATCGTAAATACAGAGAAGATCGCACAGACAATCAAAAGGGTGCCAATTTCCAAACCGAGTACTTTTAGCCAAACAAACGTATCCTGGATTTTTATATCAGTACCTTTGCCCATCTCCGTTCGTCCTGTTGTTGGACCTTGAAGTATTATTTATATGAGGTTATGTATTGTATACCCGTTCGGTATTGAGGCAGATTTCTGTACGGGAAACGCTTATTGTGCGCTCTTCTTCCGAAGTCATAAGAGGAAAGCACCACGTAGAAGGTAGGGCTGAACTCGAATTTATATCTGGGCGATATGTGCAAGAATTTGTCACATAGATATTTATCGTGAGTAGGGCGACAAAACTTGCAGGGGGTCAACGATCGTTTGCCAGAGTTGGTAAAGGAGGCCTCCTAGAAATACAACGACCTACCGAGCTTTAAGCTGATTCCTTTGGGGGCAGAACAATCTCCGGTGAACAACCAGCGACGGGAAAGCCTTGAGGTGCAGATTGCTGAAGACGACCATTCTCCAAGTTTCGCCGTCAAGCACAAATGCAGTACTCCTCCTCCATGCTCTCGCTGGGTGCCATTGCGTTGCCTCTTGTGGGTTTAGTGTTGCTCGCCACGCCTTCTCCTCGCCCGTTAACGTAATCGTCTGCTACTGAAGCTGACCGAAAGTTTCTTTACGCGACGCTGACCAACTTAGACGCGTACAGCCCCGACATCTCCACGTTCATCTGAGCCTACGACGTGGTCGGCTCGCCAATCGACGGTACTAATAGCACCAAATTTATGGTGCTCGGCTGTGCCTGGAGTGCCGAGAAGAAGGGCAATGCCCCAACGATGGACCTTACAACATCTTGGAAAATAATTAATACCTGCTGTTCCAGCACTGTCGAGCTGTTGGCACCGTACAGCTCCTATTGACCTGTCAAGGACCCAGGTCAGCTGTTGTTTTCCAACAGATACTACGTAGTATTTTAGATTAAATGCCAGTTGCGAGCTCAAGCTGCGATTCGCGCGCATACTCGCTCTTGGATAATTCAAAACCGCCTCATCAAAAGCACTTCAGCCATAGGTACATCGGCTATTCCCATAGCTAGTAACTTGCAAATGGACTGCTCTTGTCCGCTGAAGAATCAATGGAGAACAGAAGTAAAACCAAAGCGCTGTAGGTTCATGTAGCAGAAGGTAGTGAGCGATTGCAAGGGCACGTAGCAGAAGAAAACCTGGTACTGTACTCGCAAATTAGGGCCGCGCGGAGTTTCGAGAGGCGGAAACCATTGCCGAGCATTCCTGCGAATGGGCCTGTTCCCGCAACTCGGAGTAAGATTTCCCACTGCTGGGGTCTAGGGAGTGTAATCCACAGTCCACACTCATCTCAGGAGAAATCCATGAAGAAAGTAGCAGGTTAAACAGAAATCAACAGCTGAACAGGGCTCATGACAGGCGAACAGGGGCTGTAGATGGGCAACAGCCGAACTGTGCTAAAGTAACAGCTCATACATATCACCCCAATGTCTTCATCTCGAAGGGCGACACGACCAGGGTGACCGCAATTGAGGAGCAATCGGTCACTGACAGGTCGGATGAAGTGGTAAGCCACACAAGCAGATAAGCACCCAAGGGTTTCCCTGCTTACAATGCGCACGAAATGCATGTAGCGAATGATGAAAGTTTTGTTGTTCCACGTCATTGCTCGAAATTTTCACCACTATTGACTGTCCAGCTACTGCGCGTGTACGAGTAGAATAGTACGGGTACCAAATGCCTGAGGTAGAACAATAAGCGTGACGTGAAGCTACCAGTAAGTTAAACATCGAATTTCATCGGACAGATACAAATACTTTGGGAAGTGGCGCTCCCTTGAATGACAAATGTCTTGCTGTCTAGTGTTTGGACTTCATTTTGTGCACAGTGATCGACGTCACCGTGTAGTCATTCGTCTTCGAATCCAGGGAGATGGCGGTGTCGAAGTTGTCGCACTCGGGGTAGAAGAATAAAGTCGAGCGACGACCCATCGCCTCTTTGCGCACCAGGCAACCGCCCACGATGAACTTGTAGCTGGTTCCTCCAGCCTGACGAACATGTTTGCTCGCAGTCGAGGTCTGCCTCTCCAGTCCTTGGAAGAGCCCGAAACAGGTCAACCCCAGGTCAGGTCAAAAGTGGTCAACGCAAGTAATCGTGCCATGTGCTGATTACTCGAGTCAACTGTCATTGCCAGTAGTGCTAGATGTATCACACATACCGCACACTAACATGTAAGCACCTATTGACGCTCTTGAGTAAGCCAGTATTTCGTGCCAATTTATGTAAACAACACCTACAATGGAAAGTGGCAACGGTCAATCGGTAGTTACGCAAGTGTCGGTGCAAAAGGAAAACTGACGCTAGAGCTCAACTTCATCCGGCATAACTTCCATCATTTGAGCTTTGGAAGCGACTCAGCGATGCGGTCGCGCTCTCGCACTTCACGGAGTACACGGCAGCAGCGGGCTTCACACTCAACACGACGCCGATCGCGGCGTCTCGCTCAGCTAGCACCAGAGCAACCTGCCGTCGAGCAACAAGCTCAAGACACGCAAGTTGGTGAGAACAACTGAAAAAGCGGATTAATCTTGGTAACTTTTTCATGAATGCTAACACATTGCTATATCGGTTGATTCGCCCCAGACACTACACTGGAACGCGAATCCGCTAATGTCGAACCGCTTAATGCCGCTAGCGACGCCTTATTATCCAGACGTGTTCAACTCACACTGGCGTTCATTTTGAATCCAGAGCCAGTCGATGCAGAGTCTGCGGCCCCTCCCCGCTTGGACACTACGGATCTATCACACTCAAACAACACTTTTGACGAAGACTACGAGTTCGGATTTCCGGATAACACGCACCAGAACGAGAGTTTCGACGCTACTGGGGACACTTTGGTTTCAGAGCACCAAAGCCACGACAGTTCTGCTGGTCTCGGCGAGTCTGGTCAGCCCCGTAGGACGGGACGAACGAACAAGTGGATTGGTGGATATAAGTACACAAGAATTCGGAAGACGAGCAAGAAGGTTTATTACCGGCGCAGCCATTACCGAAGCATGGACTGCGGAGGTAAATGCCACTTCGACTTCCGCTTGGAATCGTACTGCAACTTTGCTCCGCACACTTGTGGTACATCTGCAGTACCAGGTGAAGGATACCAGATTGGTCCCAGCGTTAACCAGAATGTGAGAGAAGCAATGAAGAGGGCGGTTGACACGTTAGCCGTCACGACTACAGCAAATCGCGCTGTTATTTGGGATATCGTGAGGGTCAAATTCTACGGAAACCCGAACACGACATTGCGATCTCCGGTTTATCGAGGGAGGAAGTCTTACGACGTGTGAATCGAGCTAGAGCGGAGGAGTTCGGCGGATCTGTTTTTGGTCAAATCGAAGTCTCACCTTGGTCGCAGGTCCAGTTGGACGACGGGACTCCATCCGGGTCCAACTTTTTCCTGTTCCACTACTCCTATTACGACCGCACCAGCAAGTGCCGACAGCGGATTTTGGGTTGGGCACATCCGGTTCTTTTGAACATGCTCAAACACAAAAAGACGGATGTGTTTGTTGACGGAACGTTTAGGTCTGTGCCACCGAAGTTCAAACAGTGTGTGATATTTTCGACCTACGACAGGCCCACAAAGTCGTACTATCCTGCTGCCTTCGTGTTGTGCTCTTCCAAGAAGTATGATGCTTACTTCCATGTGATGCGACTTGTCCTGGATGAGACGGACTATGCCCTAGATCCTGAGTTTGTGTACTGCGACTTTGAGGCTGGCTTCATTCGCGCTATTAAGGATCACTTTCCCAATACGTCCGTGGTCGGATGTTTGTTCCACTTTAAACAAGCTTGTCGGCGCAAGATGAAGGCATACGGCATTCCCGACCGCGAGTGTTCAATTGCCATGAGCCATGGTGTACTGGATATTCTCACTGTCATCAAGCAGGAAAAGGTGAAGAAACAGGGAATACCATGGGTTAATGCCAAAATCGAGTCCGAGTGCATTCGAGAGGGACGTGGGTATTCTGCAGAGAAGTGGACAAAGTTCTGGAGGTACTTTGTTCGAACGTGGATTCTTCGGTTCCCGCCTGCTCTATGGAATGTTGAGCCCTATTCAAGAGCGACGATCAGCAGGACGAATAACCCCCTCGAACGGTTCAACAGGGAGATGAACGCATCTTTCGAGGCCCATCCCAACTTGCCCGACTTCGTGGTGGGTATTGAAAAATTCGCTCGTAGATATGCAAACTTGAAGGCTGGGCAGAGCTAAGGCACCTGAACGACTTCCAATACGGCTCCCAAAACCTGCCGCGCTTCCTGACCCTGTCGATAGTTCGGGGGATTCTTCGCCCAGTGAAGTTGAAGGTGAATCTAGCGAAGATGATCAAAGGAACGTATTGCGACCTGATTTACGCGCGAACGTGGTTCACCGCCGTCATGGAGAGGCCGTTGTGACAGTATAAGATATTGCCCGTGCGAATGAGCGAACCGAGTACTACGATCAGGGCGACACCAAACGCTCTGACAGCGACATCAGCAGCTGAACCAAGCCGATCAAGGTGTTGAGATGATGAAATCTATATTCTTTAATGCATGACCAATATATACCAGCGCTTTACCTTTGCATACAGGCCGAGGTTCTTGTCGATTGTTTAGCGTTTGGTATTTGAAGCGAAAGCAGGGTGGATGGAAGCGAGCAAAGAAGGATCAGGATCACCATCAACACCATTCTGGGCAAGTGCGGAGCGTAGCTCTTTTACGCTGTGCTGATAATTTCGCCAGGCTTGATTAATTCTTCCGGCAGCAAACTCGGGGCTTGGTGCATCGCTGTCGTAATTGGGTTCTGGGGGAAACGAGGTGTTCGACATGGCGCTCGTTAAAACATCGCCAACCCGGAGGCAAACAGCTCTAAACGCGTCTGTGCTCGTTTGACATCGGTCTCGTGAATGCGCCAGATAAATGGCGTTCTTTACGCCCGAAGCCATAGCTTCAATGACCCCTGCAAGGCTCCCATTATTGTAGGCCGTCTTGATTCGTAGCTCTTCCTCTTCGCACACCACGCTGTAGTACTTTGATCGATTTCGATTGAGCACAGCCCTGAGGTGTGTCAAGTCCTTGCCTTCACTCTGTGGTAAGGTGGGGCCGGTCTTGGGACCTCGAACTAAAGTAGATACATGGCCCAATGCTGCCATTTCAGTCGAAGCAGCCGACAACGCTGGGGTAGCCGCCTTTGCACCAGGAAGACAGCTTGCGTTTGTCTTGCGCTTGGTCCGAATCGTGGACGGCATCGCTACCGATGTCGGTTGTGGCGTCGCCTTGGTGCGCTCATCTAATATCCCCTCTGATTGATCAGGGAACGTATCATCAGGCGTCTCCTGCATCAAACGAGCTTTCGTCTTGGGAGACAGCGCCTTCCAGGCGTCCCGGATGCGCTTGCCGCCGTGGTTCCGCAGCCATTTACTGTCGCTTGATTCCCGATCGGTGGCATGTAGACCTTTCCCCTTGCGTGCATATTTCTTGGTGTACTTGTTCCCGTCGGTATCGGCGAAATGCCACACAGCCGCGTGCATCTTCATCTTGCTGATTCGAGCGCAATAAGATAACGAACACAGAGTTAGATAGCCCAAGCGCATGCAGTATTTTTGTAGCTTTGCAGAGCGGAACGGATATAGACCTCGTTGCCTCGACGTCTAAGCGCTGAATGCTTGGTCCGGTAGCTCGATAAAGCTTCTCAATCTGAAGCATGCATATTTCATAATAAGAGTTCGTGCATCTGGAGTAACTCATCCGGAGTAATTAATCAGGAATAATTCATCCAGAGTAATTTTGACCAGGCTTCCTTCACATTAGATAAAGAATTCTTCAATAATTACATGTATGTACCTGCAATCCGTCGTGTAGTGTCGGCGTAGTACATCGTACGCCGGCCAAGCCATGCCTCCCCCACGCTGCAGCCCCATTGTCCATCGGCAACACGCCTCAGTCGAGCTAGAGGCTGGGCGTGAGGGAAACCGGTGAAGACCGGATGTAGATAGGCGTACGAACGGCACGTTGCTCGCGCTGGGGTAAGTTAAGGAATGGCGCAGCTGCCACAAGAATGCAGTCAAAATACATCACTGTCGATGTGTTTGACATGTCCATCAATCACTGCACCACGATGAACCAGATGCATTAGTACTCTACAGCTGGAGCTTCACTAACATGTGCTTTGTAGAATCGGTGCGTTGGCCAGCGTTGATCTGACCTGGGGTTGACCCAAATCGAAGGCTACCCCAGTCCTTCGATGACGCGGGTGCAGATAAAAATGTCGACATTGGGGCTGTAGGCGGTCTTGTCGCCTAGCGTGATATCCAGCAATTCGCTGTCTGCAACGGTCACCGTCGTGACCATTTGTTGGCCTTCTTGGCGGCTGCGGTACCCAGCAGCGCCACAGTGAAGAGCTAGGAAGCGACAGCAGCCAAGGAAACCAAAATAGTGATGTGGGAAGTGGGCGTTTGCTTGTGTCAGGAAAGCAGTGTGATCAATGCCAACGCCCAAATGAGCCGTAGCTGTAGAAGTAGAAGTAGAAGTAGAAGTAGAAGTAGAAGTAGAAGTAGAAGTAGAAGTAGAAGTAGAAGTAGAAGTAGAAGTAGAAGTAGAAGTAGAAGTAGATGTAGAAGTGCCGGAAACACGTGAACCGATTAGAGGAGCGCACTGGCTCGGTGGCGTGCGAGAAGAGGAACCACAGCGAGATCTGCGAGTGAGCGTGTATTGACAGACTGTCAGCGGCTGGCGCAGTTGGGGACTTGCGCTCGGTAGAGCTGTCGACGTCCGGGCTTCTGGACGTCGACTGGACGTCAGCAACACCTTGGTGAAGGGTCGTTATCGACGTCGCCTTGACGTCCCTTGACACCCTACCAAATTAAGCCATATAATTGGCCAAAAAGGTTATTTGAACGCCAATCAGAAGCACGCCATGTCTTAGCTCGTCAATGCCACATTCACGAAGCAAGCTGCGCCACATCAAGTGTTCGGGATGGACAAGATCTCAAATGCCGGGGCGCCGTCCATTTCCTGCGTGAGTGAGCTTCAGATCAACGACCAGTGGTCTGTTGTCGGCCTCATCCTCCAATTCGCCGCCCAGATCGAAGTCCACACTCACAGGCCTGTAAGCATGGAAGCTCATTCCGATATGCGAGGCCACGTCTGGCCGGTGGCTAGCCCCCCTCCAAGAAGCTGCGCAACACCGTCGTCTTCAAGAAGCCGTCCAGCGTCGTCTTCAAGAAGCCGCCCAGCGTCGTCGCCAAAGCCACCTCGGAAAAAGGCAAAAAAACCAACTCCAACAAAAACCTCTCCGCGGAGACCAGCACGAAAGTGCCCAACTCCATCCAAGACAACTACACCAAGAGGAGCTTTCAAGGACAAGTACCCCGTCGAGACCAACGCGTGCAAGGCTGACTGCGCCATCCGAAACCCGCATGCAAAATGCAGCCCGGTTAAACCATTCAGCTTTCAGCCCAAGCTCACACAAACAACTTCAACAGGTCCCGACCGCCAAAGGCGTCACGAGTTGCCCGGCTGGAAGGGCATTTGAGGCCCCTAAGCAGCGGGACAAGACGTACTGGCAGTTCGTCGTATGTGTGGTAGACGACAAGTACAAAGATATTCCAAGGCAAGACCTCACCCGCGACCACGCCAAAAGCTTCTATTGCTTTGGATGCAAGGAGGGGCTTTCCATCAAGAAGGGAAAGAGTTTGGTTGGCCTCCACATGCGGAAATCCCACATCGAGGCCTTACGGGCTTTCAAAGAAAATGAGCGGCGTGAAGCAGCCCTGAAACAATCGAACCAACTGGTGAACTTGTTTGAACGAAAAGATGAATAGGAACAGAGCTTCTTCGAGGGCATTTTGTCGGAATGGGTGGGTACGGATTTGCGGCCTACAAGTATCATCGGCGACAGAGGATTCGCGAAGGCGAAAAGGTTTGCAAACAGCGCAACCACTGTTCTTGAGATCCCGTCGAGACAAACGGTCGCGCTCCGTGTCCACGAGAATGCTTCAGAGCGCCGTTTGTCACTGCGAGTGATGCTGGTGAGCGACGACGAATGTGACTTCTATTCGGCCTCGTCGGATATTTGGACTTCGATAAAGTGTGAAAGCTTTATAAGCTTATCGGTTCAGCCTGTTCAACATGAAGTCGTGGACACTTGAAGTTACCTCTATTCCTGGAAAACACGATGGAGAAGCCATTGCAGATGTACTGTTACGTTGCTTTGTGTGGTGGCGTCTGGACCCCAAGAAGTGTGTTCGATTTCTACGAGATGCTGCGTTGAACATGAAACGTGGATGCACCCTCCTTGGGCTCAATCATCGATCATGCGCAGCGCACTCACTTCACTTCGTTGTAGCCGCGGCGCTTCTGCAGAAAGGAGATGAACGAAAGAAGGCGATAGCAGTTACTGGTGGTGCCAGCACCGGTGTTAGTCCTGGCCAAGTTGGCAGTACTCTCGGCAACGACGTCTGTGTGCGCAGTGAGCAGTATGTGGAAACGGAAACCCAGTGGATAGATGAGCAGCTGGATGCCTTGGAAAATGGCCCGGACTCGGACGACGACGGTGAAGACGAAGAGTATATTAGTGAAGCTGATATTGATGCGCTTTGCGGGGAAGTTGCCAGTTTTGTTGCAGAAGCCGAGAAATCGGCGGCTATGGAAATTAGCTCGGCTGATATGGAGCTGGTTCGCAAAACGGTTCGAAGGTTCCGAAAGCTGGCGGACTACTTCCATCGCTCACAAAAGGCTCGCAATCGACTAGATGAGCTGCAGTCTACTCGAAAAGAGCCCCTAAAAGTGTTGATCGATTGCCCGACGAGATGGAACAGCACAATGGTTATGCTCCAGCGCTTTTTGGATTTGCAGCCTGTGGTGAAAGATTTTTCCTGTACATTAAGTCGGAAGAAGGCGAGAAGGAGTTTAACGATCGATCTACAAAAACGTTGAAGCTTCCAAGTGCCAAGCATTGGTTCATGATTCAGTGCCTGGTCGAGCTGTTGGCCCCGTTCAGCGTTGCCACCACTATGCTCGATGGAGAGACCTATCCTACGCTGATATATCTTCATCTTTTCATCTCTTCACTCAAGCGATCGCTGGACAACCAACAAATATTTGATGTTCTCTATACAAGTGTCGAGAAGGAGGCATACGCAATAGAAGTGCTATCCATCATGCAATCCGTCCGCCGAAGCTTTTCAGCCTTGTTGAAGCAGCGGTTTGATAAGGAGGCAGACCCCGTCCTTTTGTGGATATCGTTGCTTGACCTCTACATGACGAATTCGGCGATTTTCACTGCGGATGAATATGAGAAGGCGCGGGAGCAGTTTGCCGATGAGATGTTCGTGCTAAAGAAGAAGTCTGCTTTGGTTCACAACGACGCAGCTCGTTCTCAAAGCCCTGAAAAGCGAATGACTGATGCTACAGACCGCGCTCGACAGAGCTTCCTAAAGATGTTGTACGGATCGAGAACGTCAAGATCATCAGCTGCGACGGACGACAAGTTAAAGACTGACTGCGAGTGGGAGCTAAGCAGCTACTTGAAGCAGTCGAGCGAGGCGGAGGTCAAAGATCCCGACAAGCCCCCATCGGCTTTGTCGTGGTGGAAGCAGAACCATTCAAAATTTCCGACTATTGCTGTTCTTGCTCGCAAGTGGCTTGGATGCATCGCTACATCGGTTCCCTCAGAGCGCGCGTTTTCCACTGCAGGTAACACAGTTACAAAACGACGTTGTTCGCTGAAGGCTAGCACAGTTCGGGATATGGTGTTTAAGGCTCAAAATGGAGCAGCATGATATGTATCTAGTTAGTGATGACAACACTGTAACTAACATGTATAATGTTTGTGTGCGTCTTCATAACGAAACTTCTTCACGTATGTAACTCATTTCAATGGTGCTTCTGCGATAGTATTGAATGAAGATGGTAGAGCGCTTCTGCAATTTTGGGCCACTCCGTCGGATCCAGAGACACACAAGCCGTGCACAAGTCCGGCATCGATTGAACTAACCTGATGAAAACTAAACAGCGCCATCATCTAGATGATGACCACCTCAGAGACTTTGTGGTCTGAGTCAATATCCCCGCAGCCTTTTGCGTGTGAATACGAAATGACATGCTGGTCCAACACGGGCAGTACGACTCCGACCAAGAACATGTCAACGTACACACACCACCTCCAGCGCCATCCACCGCGACATGCCAACGCCGGCCGTCATCTCGTCGTCTTCTCGCTTAGCTGTGAGATTGGTCTCTAGGCTGGAGGCGAGCTGGACGTTATCGACTTCAAGTCTCGATGCAGTACTTAAGTCTCAAGCGAGTGGAGGTACGTGAGCACGTACGCCGCGTTCCGAGCGATCGTCAACTTGCTGAGCTCGAAGCCTGTGGTACACTCAGCAACGCGCGTAAGTCGCCGCCCTCCATAATCTCCGAGACGGCGCACAAGTCCGTCAGTGAGTCCAAGCCATGCCCGCGAACGGGACACTGCGCGCGTGCTCGAGCGTCGCGATGAGCTTCACGTCGGCCAGGAGTGCGTCCACGTGCTTGACGCTCTTGCGCACTTTCAGCAGCAGCATCTAGACCGAAACGAGCTGATGGTTGAACAGGCGTCTCTGGAGTCGTCGATGGACTTGGCTTCCGACTCCATGAGGGAGAATGGGACCTTTGAAGCCGTTCTCTTCCTCCCGCTCAGTGTCGCGAGACTGGTTAGTCTGGCCGACTGTCGGTCATTGCCGCACGTCGTACGGGCCTACTCAGAGGAGGGGTCAGCTGAGTTGACGATCAACTTGGCCACGTTGGCGGCTAGGTATGGCGTGTCTGTCACCACGAAGTTGTAGCCTTCCTGCAAGTCACGGGAATACAACCTAGAGGTGATGTGAGTTCGCTGACACAGCACATGACCAAAAGAGTTCTGCTATCTGAGACTACCTGTGTATTATCGGCGCGTAGGCCTAAGGGTAGAGAATCCAATCCCTTAGAAGGTGGCAATCTAGCGTTCCTGAGCTTGTAGTCAACTACGGTAGTCGAGCTAACATGCCACAAAATAGAATGCGAGCCGCCATATGCAATGAAGCAGCCCCCACAAGTGGCATCTCACTATTTCGAAATAGTGACCAAGCGGGTGGTGTCAAGGGCGTTGATCAGACGTCCGTTGGCGACTTTTGACGTCTGGGTGTTAACCTTCGATAACACCGGACGTCGACAGCTCTAGCGCTCGGTAGAAATGTCCGGGTTACTGTACGTAAAGTTTATTTACAGTCAATCTCGGGGCTTTCGAGTTTCATTAGCTTCAACTTGCCCTATCACGGTTCTCGTCTGATCGACAATGAGATAATTACTTCAGTCACTGGGTGAAGTGTTACCTGATCGTTGTTCTAGCCACAATGTGCATGTACGTACGTGTGTAGGTCGAAACCGAGGAACACGCTGAGAAGTCCAATGGGGACGGAATCTAGCCCCGAGGTGAACCCTTCGTATCAAACGATTATTATCGGCGACACGATATGCTCCATCTCCAGTAGCATGTGGGTTCGACCCCCCCCCCCTTCTGCAGTCCCATCCAAGGAGTGCAGCACTTGAATACATAGGGAGTTTTGCAAGGAACGAAATCAGTCGAGTCAAGACTACATTTCGTTTGCAAGGGTCCCACCCAGGACAATGAAGATCACGAATCTGTTCACTGTTTCGGGTTTCAATATTTTCGTGTATCGACACGCTCGGCTAAAAGAATGCAAGTGCGCGAATACGTTGACTGCCAACCATTTCCTACATATCGTAGACTTTGCTTTAGACATGACTCATGTAACGTGTATTGTGGATTTACGGTACGAACGCAAGCGATTCGCCAGGTCACTACGGCTCCCTACTTTGGCGAGCGTTGCGTGTCCAGGCTCGACGCCTGCTGCGTTTCCTGCTCCGAAGTCTGCTGCGATGCCTGGTTCGGCTGAGGCGTTTGCTTCGATGACTGCTTCTTGACCGACGTCACCTTGGGCTTGCCGGTCTTGGAGTCCGACGAAACCGCGATGTTGTAGCTGCCGCAGCCGGGGAAGCTGGTCAGATCGGGGCAACGACCCACGAACTCCTCGCCGCCGGCGTTGCAACCAGTCACGCCGAAGCTGTAGTTGGAGGTCTTACCCGCCTGCTTCTTCAGGCTGTTGACCTTGTGGACACAGAGGTACGTGGAGACGCTGGAGCCGTAGGAGCTCACATCGCCCACCGCGGAGAGTAGCAGTGTGTTGTCCGCTTCAGTCACGTTGACCTTGGTCCACGCGGCGGCTTGAGCACCGTGGATACTGACGAGCGCCAGAGCGAAGATTGAAGAGGCGATGATGCGCAGGGACGGCATGGTGAAGTGGAGTGCGGGTGGTTGGGTGTCTTGGACTTGTGGGGGAGCGAGAAAGTTTTGGAATGAAAAGACCTCGAGTCGTCGGGTGGGGTGAGTCTTTATCGTGGTGGGGTTTGTCGGTCGCTACTTTCTTTTCGGCTGTTCCTAGTTGTGGTAATCACGATGTATTGGGGTGTTCAGTGCTTTTGTCTAGGCGGAGCTGAATTCCGATCATTTTTGCGGTAGAGTTGCCTACCAGCGGTTTGAAAGGTCGGAGAGATCGTAATCCAGCTTTGCGCTCGATACAAACGAGAGGAAAGAAATACCGACCCGCTTTCCCAGATGGCGGACATCAACACCAATTGGGCTTCAGGTGCCAACAAGGAAGAGTAAAAGCGCAGGAGTAACCTGGGTCTGTCTTTCGGGAAAGCTACAGTACTTACTAATCTGAATGTACAAACATTGGACTTCGAAGCATTTGAAATCCGATCATGTCTTGGCGAAATAACTGAAAGGTGCACGTAGGACTCTGAATCAAAACTCCAGGAACTCTGTGCAAGGTCCACGCCGTGATGAGTTCAAAGTCGGAAGCGCAACATTGGAATGCGAAGACTTGTTTATTGTGTCGGGCCAAGGACATTGTACTACATGTACATCGAGTTACTACCAGAAGCATAGTGGTTCGATGCCGATACTATTACCCCCGTGCTCAGCTCAGCTCTTGCAGCGACACTTATTAGCATATATTGAAAGGCTACGCAGTAGTAGTATTCAGATAAACTCAAACATTTCATTATGATCGCGACAAGCGCAGAACGAATTCGAATGCTAGTCCTACTTCGAAGCCTGCTGCACACCCTGCTTCGGTGGCTGCTGCTCGTGCTCGCCCTGCTTCGGTGTCTGCTGCGATTCCTTCTTCGGCTTCGGAGCCTGCTTAGCTGCCTGCTTCTTGACCGACGTCACCTTGAGCTTGCCGGTCTTGGAGTCCGACGAAACCGCGATGTTGTAGCTGCCGCAGCCGGGGAAGCTGGTCAGATCGGGGCAACGACCCACGAACTCCTCGCCGCCGGCGTTGCAACCAGTCACGCCGAAGCTGTAGTTGGAGGTCTTACCCGCCTGCTTCTTCAGGCTGTTGACCTTGTGGACACAGAGGTACGTGGAGACGCTGGAGCTGTAGGAGCTCACGTCACTCACCGCCGAAATCAGCAGCGTGTTGTCCGCTTCGGTCACGTTGGCCGGAGTCCACGCGCCGGCTTGAGCGGCGGGGACGCTGACGAGCGCCAGAGCGAAGAATGAAGAGGCGATGGTGCGCAGGGACGGCATGGTGAAGTGGAGTGCGGGTGGTTGGGTGTTTTGGACTTGTGGGGGAGCGAGAAAGTTTTGGAATGACAAGACCTCGAGTCGTCGGTTGAGGTGGGCCTTCGTGCTGTTGGTGGTGTGGTGTCGGTTGCTCCATACAACATGTAGTAAACAACGAGAATTAATTCTCTCCTTCCAGATGTTCCCATTTGCGAAGCTCGGAATCAATCGCGACGTACAAAGATCGCAGTACGCACACCCTAGACGTTCATCGTCTTATCGCCATACAGCAGTAATTCGTGGAAAGGTGGAAACCAGTAAAGTGCGGCTTAATTAAGCATCCGAAGGGGAGCACTGCCCAAGAAAATAGCGCCCGGGCGAGTTTCTGGCGCTCAAATATTAGCCTCCAGTCGGGTTGGAGCTCGATGTTACCGGTAAAATTTGGCGAAGAGAGTATCGTCCTTTGTCGATTGTCGACGACGGACTTGAGGCAAAGCCTCGACCAACAAAGCCTATTAATCAATGCCCGTATGTTTGTTACGACCGTCATCATTGGGATCGCGTGGATGGGCTGCCGTTGACTCAGTGCGAGAGGAGCTGGTTAGACGGACGGATCCGGACATCTGGAATGAACCAGAGTATCAAGAAGAGCCCCCGCGTGAAGATCAGGGTTCACCAGCAGAACGAGACACCGTCAAGAACAAGAAAGAGGAAGCTGTAGAAGAAGAAAAAACAGTGAGACCACCACCAGGATTTTAATGGTCAAGGCCAAATAAAGTCACTTACTACTGCCGTTGACTCAGTGCGTGGGGCGGGAGGCCCCTGCAGTTGGCGAAGATGACGCGCCAGCTGCGCCACAAGCACTTCGTACCGCGGTTGGAGGCTCCAACTTGGAGCTCCGTGCTCAAAGTGTTTTGCGCCACATGTATGTACGTGTACGGTATGGGGATACTCAACACCAACATTTGGTAGTGCATTAAATGTCAAACAAAAGATGCTAAGCCACCATTTGCGGAAAAGCGGAAGATTCATGTAGGTAGTGCATTAAATTTTAATGCAATAACTTCATGAATCTTTCGCTTTTTCGCGAGTCGGCGTTATTACAGATCTGAACCCGGCTAGAACGCGAACGTATCCTTAAGTAAGCCCAGACTCCACACCACGATAAGCCACGGCTTTGCTGACTGGTCAGCGCTACGGCTTACCAGGGGGCGGGGATTCCTCAGCTCTCAGTTTGCACGCAAGCCAACTCGCTGGCCACCCACCACACCATGCCTTCGGTGATCTAAGGATGCCGTTGCCCCATGGATAAGGCTTGTAAAACAGTATATCAACAAAACTCAGCTCGACAACTGCGTGTGTATTGTAGAGTTACGCAATCCTATGCATGAAGTTGATACTCAAACATATATCATTGTCGACCACGAAGAATCCCCATGAAGAGCTGTGAACGCCTTAGGTACGGTCCGCACCGATCTACCCCTACGCTTGCTTCTTGACCGACGTCACCTTGGGCTTGCTAGTCTTGGACTGCTTGGCGACAAACACGTTGTAGCTGCCACAGCCGGCAAAGCTCGTCAGATCGGGGCAACGGCCCACGAACTCCTCGCCCGCGTTGCAACCGGTCAAGCTGAAGTTGTAGTTGGTGGGGCCACTGGCCGTCCCAGCTTGCGTCTCGAGGCTGTTGACCTTGTAGACGCAGAGGTACGTGGAGACGCCGGAGCTGTAGGAGCCCACGTCTCCCACCGCCGAAAGCAGCAATGCGGTGTCCATGCCATTCACATTGGTCTTGGTCCACGCGCCGGCTTGAGCACCGTGGGCACCGACGAGCGCCAAGGCGAAGAGCGAAGAAGCAATAGCAGCTAGAGACGGCATTGTTGGTGATCGGGAGGAGGTGGGTTGAAGGTGGCGGGGCGTCTTGGACTTGTTGGGGGCAAGAAGATTCGGGAATGAAGACACGTTGGGAGTGGGGTGGTCGTGCATGCGTGTCGAACGCTGTAGGATACATGCACAGCATGTCGGTCGCTATAGATACATGAACAGCATGAGTTTATCTGTCTCCACAGCTGTTCGTACTGATCAAAGTGGTTTGTAAGGTTACAATGTTATATGAAAATTTGTTATCAGATTACCATCGTTTCAGGACTATTCTGGGTAGCTGTTGCAATCATTGCTTTGGCTTCGGAAATCTAAGATTACCAACAAGCTATGTGGTACAGTGTGTTCATGCAGCGCATTGAACGAGTGTACGACGGCTAAGAACTCGTGTTCAATGTATCTATCGCTCCATTGGAGAAAACATGTGTTCTGGGCTTACTGATAACAGGACAACGCATGCTGAGGGGCCCGATACACAGTTATCCATGCTTGCGTGAATGAAGAGATACAGTGTAGTGCCACCGAGCACCAAACCGTTGTTTTGCATACCGCGCACGTGGATGATAATAGGACAGAAAATACATGAGGTTCGCACAAGGTAACCACACGGCCCGGAAAATGTCAACTTACTACTGAATAGCTCGTGATATTAGGCGAGTTCATGAAGAGAGCGCGGTCGTTTGTCGCTCACCGCCGACGGCTTTGGAACAAATCTTTTTATCCATTTGTACCGAACTGTCGTCGTCATTTTCCTGGTGCGGGTTGAGCGGATCCTGCAGTTAACGGAGGAAGCATCAATGATGTCGCACCGGCTGGGCGGCACTGGTCGAAAACACCAGGAGCTCAGTGAGGGGTGTCAGACACCACTCCAGGCGTATCATATGCATGCCAACACCCGAATGCAAGGTCTTCTTGAACAGTTTCGTTGCTTCGATATCATTCATCGCTTAGAGTTCCTGATATGAACTGCATGCACTCACATGCACACACAAAAACATTGCGCGCCGACTTTGTAGTGACTAGCAACGAAAAAGTTTGCACGAAGACGTCACCTGCCACAAAGGACTAAATGTATAAAAAACTCAGCTTGAGCAATCATATATTTCTTGTATTCGAAGTTGCACAATTTCGAAGTATGAAATTGGTACACTCTAACATACGTGTTGATCACGGTCTAGGGTCCGCTTCTACACCTGCTTCTTGACGGATGTCACCTTGGGCTTGCTACCCTTCGACTCGGATGAAACCTCAATGTTGTAGCTACCACAGCCAGGAAAGCTCGTCAGATCGGGGCAACGGCCCACGAACTCCTCGCCCGCGTTGCAACCGGTCAAGCTGAAGTTGTAGTTGGTGGCGCCGCCGGCCGTCCCAGCTTGCGTCTCGAGGCTGTTGACCTTGTAGACGCAGAGGTACGTGGAGACGCCGGAGCTGTAAGAGCCCACGTCTCCCACCGCCGAAAGCAGCAGCGTGTTGTCCGCTTCAGTCACGTTGGCCGGAGTCCACGCGCCGACTTGAGCACCATGAACACTGACGAGCGCCAGAGCAAAGATCGAAGACGCGATGGTACGCAGGGACGGCATGGCGAAGGAATGCAGGTGGTTGGTTTTCTTGGACTTGTGGGGAAGCGAGGGAATTCGGGAATGTCGTGAGTGGAGCTCTACGCTACTGTAACGAACGTGCGTCGAAAGAGATAGGTTCATGTCGCCAAGGAACAGCAGCTATTAGTTTTAATATTGGGGCAAAGCTGTTAGTTGGTTCCGGCTGTTCAATTTTCAAGAACCATCAACGATATACGAGTTACAGCAACAGAGTTCTCGTGGTTCCCATCGCTCCGCATGGAATGAGCGCACGATATGACATGGGTGGCCATATGCGCAGCTGTGACAAAATGACGCTCGAGGGTTTATCAACAAGCGATTAAAATCATTGATTTCATTTTCTTCAAGGCAATTAATCATTTTAAATACAAAGTACACTTGATGTTTGTATGCCTGACATAAATTATTGTTTTGGACACTTCAAACAGGTCAAAATATATTGTTTGTAATAAGTATTCATTGCGATTATTATCGCCCGAGATGGCTACATTAATTGTTATGAATTGGCCCACAGAAAATTGCGCACTTGAAAAACGTGTCAATTGCTCGAGCACGAACTGCACCATGGTGCGCGCGCTGAGGCGTCTTCTGCGCGGTCTAAACGGGTCGCTCATGTTATTGTGGTGGTGTGCTGTTGTAGGGAGCGTCGGACAAAGCTGTGGGTCTCGTGCTGCTGGCCATTAGCGTCGTCGTCTTCGTCTACTACAGCATTTGGGTGCTGCTTACGGTAGGCTCGGCAATGGCCGCCACTTTCTGTCATCACGTCGCAATGAACTTACGCCGCGGTGTGTGTGTGTTATTGTTATTGTAGCCGTTCGTTGACGAGGACCACATCATCCAGCAGTTCTTCCTGCCGTACCACTACGCCATCACGATCCCTGCGGTGCTGCTCGTGCTGCTCTTTACTGGAGCCGCCACCTTCATCGGAATGGTCATGATCAAGAGTCAGAAGAAGAAGAAAAGCGACTAGAGCTGTGGAGAGCTCGGTCCACCAGGGAAAGAGAGAAGTTGCGCGCCTTGCGGGTGGCATGGGAGGTCAATTAGTAGAATTGGTCGGGAGCCTATGTCGGCGACGACGAATGTACGCGATCTATGTTCCGTTCAATCAGCCCCAACACCAACCGCGACGCTTGTTACCAGATGCATAGCAGCCTCTGAAGCAGCGAGTCCTTCGAAGTCTGCATATCGCTACGAAATGTACAGCTAACGACGCTTGAGCAGCCGCTGTGAAAGCTTCGTCTTTACGGCTGCGCACAGCTCCGTCCAAGATAAGCACTAGCTGTCGAATTACTGAGCGGCGCCCTCGGCAGGCGTGGAGAGCGTGCTCTGCGGCTGCGCCACCATGTAGCCCATGCCCTGGATCTGGTTGTAGCTGAAGCCCTTGCTCACCAGGTCCTTCACCACCTCGTTGGTCTGCTCCTCACGCAGCATCTATTGGCAGCAGCACGAGCATCACGTCACTGTCAATACGAGATAACACGAATTTGTCTCTTAAGCACGATTCCTGGGCCCACCTCGATACTGAGCGGCACAAGGGTCACCAGGAGCGTCGTCGACAGCACCCAGAGCCACCGGCCCGAGGTCTTCCAGCTCTGAACCACAATAACAGGACCAAAACCGAGTCAGAACTCGAATCTTCTTGCCAAGAATGTTACCAAGTATTCATGTACCTTCACAGCAAAGTTAATGCCGCCCTTGACGGGGCCAGATTGGCGAATACGGGTCGGCAGGTTCAGGAACAGCTCCTGCAAGGGCGAAGCCACACACGAATGTTTAGTACAGCCGCAGGTACCACTGAGACTTTGAGCAGAGCAGCGTCATTTCAATGGGCGCACCTTGAGACCAGCGTTGTTGGGTCCCTTCTTGTCCTTCTCCAGCTCGCGCAGCGCTCCGATAGCCGACATGTTGCTCTGCTTGCTATTGACCTCTGGTCGTTCTTGATGGTGTGGCCAACAATGCCCGCCCCCGTCTTTACCCATCTAATTGCATATATTATGATGTTTACCGGTTTCTGAGGACAGCTTGAAGCTCTTGCAGGATGAGATCCTCGTTGAAGTGATCTGGGCTGCTCTCCTGTTGCAGTGGCGCGTTGCCATCCAATCGACCCTTCTGCGACTGCTTCACTATAGCTGCGATGGATTTCGAAAGCAGCGGCGCAAAGCTTTCGATGAGTTCCTGGTCTTGATGCTGTTGAGGGGTGCACAATCGACCAGCTTCAGCGAGTTGTTGTAAAATCAACCGGCAGCATGTCTGCACGCCGTCGGCGTAGCAAGCGTCGAGAGTGCTCTTCTTCAAATTACCGTACTTCAGTCCGCTAGAATGTTCAGAGCCAGCGACACTGATGTCGATTGCTAGAACGAGCCGAGTCCGAGCATCGGCCTTGCCGGTTAATTGCGTCGCCGAAGCACGCAATGGTGTAGCAACGAGCTGGTTGACAAGGTGCGAGCTTGAACGCTGGCACCGGAGGCCGTACTTCTTCCAGAGTTTGCACGACTTCACGCCCTTGCTGATGCCACAGATGAAAAAGTCCTCTCCGTTGATCAGTGGTGCGTGGTTAGCGTAGCGCAGAAGGCATATTTCGATGTTGCTTTGGCCCCTTGGATCCATTTCTCCAAGCATCAGCGCAACGCAGCTTGTGGAAACAAGTTCTTCGTCGTGAACAGCGTACAATATGTCGTCAACACTTTCCCCCAACTCTGTGGCGAACCGATCGATCGATTCTTCTCCATGTTGGCATACGACGCTGATGCTGACCTCACCAACGTCGAAGTCAAACTGCACACCAACAAACGGAGGAGCTGTGTATCTCAGACTCTGGAAGTACAGAGCCAATGAGTCTGCAGCGCTTTCGATATTATGCGTATCCCCAGGACATGGAATCGATAGTCTCATCTCCGTCCCGGAGAAGTGCTGGTGCTCTTCGTCCACCACAAAATGCGCCACTTTCTTGACTACGGCCGTCTCCTCCGAGTCGGGATCGATGCGGAGCTGTACATACAGAATCCCATCTGAACTTGAGGTCGTGGTGATCTTCAAGCACGCGTCAGGTACACTGAGCTGACTGTAAAGCATCGCCGCTTTGAGTCCGACACCTGGGTTGTTGCCATTAACACAGCACGTTTAGTCCGTCCAGACACTAAACTTATCGGTTCTGCACCAACGCACCATATTTTCCACTAGGACAGCCTCCACCCCCCTCCGCTCTTGCCTTAGTCGTCTCGAAGGCGTTGCAGCACAGCAGTTTGATCTGATGTGCGTGCATCCCGGAGCCCGTATCGGCGCACACGATGTCGATGCAGCCCGTATCTTCGTTCAGCTTCACATTGACGCGGAGCAACTCGAGGGGCGCGTCGTCCCACGAACAGTCCGAGCCCAACGACTGCGTCGCATCCAGCGCTGACGAAGTGAGTGCAACCACACATAGCGTGCGAACGTTACTCGTTGTCTTCTCTTTTTGACTTAACTTGATGAACAGCCTCCAATGCGCTGACCATTCTCAAACAGCTCCTTCACCGCCTGCACCAGCGCGTCTCTCCGTGTCCCGAAGCCCAGCAGCTCCAAGTTGCCGCGGATAAACTGCGCGCCGCGATCCTTCCGCTTCCTCTGCATCTTTCTTCGTCTTCAACTCTCCCAGTGCGGAACCGACCATCACTCTGCAAGTCAACGTTGAACCTCCGATATCACATATCTGAACCTGTGGAAACACATACGCTTACGTACCATTGGCGGCCGAGCGCTAATCCTGGCCGCAGTTCCTCGGACTCGGACTCAGCAGTTCTTGTCTTCCGTGTGGCAGCGCGAGCGACGCGATGACGCTCAAGGAGCTGCTGACCGAGGACCAATGGCGCAGTGTGATCAACACCACGGCGGGGCTGGGCGCGGGCGCTGTATCCACCGTGCTGCTGTACCCGCTTGACCTGGTCAAGGTGCGCTACCAGGTGCACGAGAAGTCCGCGCACGCCTACCGCTCTCTGGGGCACGCGTTCCGCTCCATCGTGGCGGAGGAGGGCGTCCGCGCGCTGTTCCGCGGCATGAGTCCGGCGCTGTATGGAGCCACGCTGTCGTGGGGCATCTACATGCTCTTCTACCAGAGCGCCAAGGAGCGGTACGCGCGCATGGCCGACGAGGGCTGGATCCAGGGCTCGTGGCAGCACTTCTTCTCCGGCATCGAGGCCGGCTGCGTCGTCGTGCCGCTCACGAACCCGATTTGGCTCGTTAAGATCCGCATGCAAGTGCAGAGCAACCGACGACTGCAAGCGAATGCTACGGGCAAGGACGCAGCGAAGAAGCTGGCTGAGAATATACCCTACCGAAGCGTATCAGGTGCGTCGAGAGGAGGCGACACGTTGGTGTATGGCTGAATTGAGGAGGCTGATCTTGTTGTTATTGTTGGTGTTGCTGTGGTGTAGATGCATTCCGACGGATCATAGCAGAAGAAGGCGTTTCGGCGCTCTACAAGGGCATGATCCCAGCGCTGTTTCTCACTACGAATGGAGCTATCAAGTTCGTGGCGTACGAGCGACTCAAGGGTCTGTACCAAACGCACTGGAGCCCCGACATGGACGTGATCCCGACGCTGGCGATGGGTGCTGTGGCTCAGTCTATTGCATCGTCTACTACGTACCCGTACCAGGTGATCAAAGCTCGTCTGCAGCAGGGAGGCCCCATGGCGAGCAAGTACACAGGCACGTGGGATTGCACGGTGAAGATCATCCGCCACGAGGGCTACTTTGGGCTCTTCAAGGGTCTGTCAGCGAACATTCTCAAGGTGGTGCCCACGGGTGCCATCATTTTTGCCGCTTACGAGCAGATCCAGAGCACCATGAAGGCCATTCTGTTGGACTAGAGAGCGGCAGCAACCTAGAATGACTGCGAAGCAATAGAGTATTCTACGAAGTACACGACGCTTGCACAATATGAAAAAAAATAAAGTGAAAACTTGTGGCAGCACAAACAAGAGCGTGAAAAGTCTATTATATATGTAAAAGGCGCACGAAGTCTGACTAACAAGCGCCGCGAGGAGCGTCCACGCCGTTGGTGGTCTTTTAAAACATTTCGTCTTCAACGCGGAGGTACTCGCCGATGTCTGCTTGGTGCAGCACCACGTAGGCGGTGGGCTCCAGGTCTTTGCACATCTCTGTTGCCTGCGCGGCGATGCCGAAGCCCAGCGGGATGTCGTTCATGCTGTAGACCACGACGCCGGCGTACTGCGGCGTGCCCTCCGTGATGCGGCCGAGACCCGACTTGACCACGTTGTTGCCGTACAGGAAGGACATCTCCGAGTTGGGCTTGATCCAGACCTTGTACTTGGCGTACTGGGCCAGGTAGTCCAGGAAGGTGATGCGCAGGTGGAACTTCTTGGTCTTGGTGAGCTTGCCCACAGCCGTGCCGATGCTCAGCAGCTCGTCCGAGCCCACGTTGGTCGACTGGCGCATGAGCTTCTCGCTGCAGTAGTACACGATGTTGCCGTGCAGACGGAAGCAGTACTTCTCGTCGGGCCGCGTCACCAGGTGCTGCACGTTGCGGCCGATGTACTTGCTGATCTTCTCGAACACCGTGGTCATCTCATCGTCGGTAAGCGGGCGCATGGTTGCTCTGCAAAGGTGGCGTCCGGTAGGGGTCGAAGCAATTGACACAGTACCGGTGACTGGAGGACTGGCGGCGGGTGGTCTCTCCTACGAAACGGCATACTGCATCCGTCGTATCGGACTTTCGTCCAATGATATTCTTTTCGGAAGGGGATTGGTGTAAATACAAGCGGGGGATTGGTTGGTCGGCGCATTTGCATGGCTGGGGGCAGCCCGCGGCATGGCGCCGTCATTGCTAATTTTCGCACAGGCATCAGAAATGGAGGGCAAGATTGAATCGGTGCAGGTCTTCGGCCGCAAGAAGAACGCCACGGCTGTCGCTTACTGCAAGCGCGGCCACGGCCTCATCAAGGTCAACGGCACGCCCATCGAGCTCGTGGAGCCCGAGATCCTGCGCGTCAAGACATACGAGCCCGTGCTCCTGCTCGGCCAGCAGCGTTTCGCCAACGTACGATGAACTTCCTGCTCTTCTCTTCGAGTCGCGGGCTACGCGCGACAGCTATTGGTATCACGGACGTGGCGACGTGGACGACGACTCGAGCGCCAGCTTCAGGGTCTTCTCCAGTCCAATGAACACACCACACACGGGGTGCGCACTGCTTCGGCTTTGCCTCCTCAGGACCGCTGACAGCATGGACGTTGCTCCCTCTGTTGCTTGGCTGCTGTCCACCCACCTCGACGCACACGTTTCTGCTGTGAAAAGCACTCGCACCACCCACCTAATCTGTGTGCATGCTCTGTTTACCGCCGTGTAAATACCATGCTGTCGCAACTGGCTTGCACGCCCCCTCCCTACCTGACGATCGATATGGTGCGCTGACGTGTTGTGTCTCGATAACTCCAGGTGGACATCCGCATCCGCGTGAAGGGTGGTGGTCACACCGCTCAGATCTACGCTATCCGTCAGGCCATCGCCAAGGCCATTGTCGCCTACTACCAGAAGTGTAAGTCTTGAAGGCTTCGTTGAAGGCTCTCAAGGTCAAGTGAACTGTGTTGCTGACGTTGCTGTTTACTTTGTTGCTGCTGTACAGACGTGGACGAGGCCTCCAAGAAGGAGATCAAGGACATCCTGCTCGCCTACGATCGTACCCTCCTGGTCGCCGACCCCCGTCGCTGCGAGGCCAAGAAGTTCGGTGGTGCCAGCGCCCGCGCTCGCTTCCAGAAGTCGTACCGTTAAGCGGCGTCTTCCAGCCGAGGGGTCGCTCCTGTTTCTTCCTGCTCTCAGCGCTTCGAGTCGCTTGCTTCTGGCGTGCGCTCGCTTGTGTCTGCCATTCGCGTGGCATGGCGCTCGGCAGCTGTAGACGTCTAAGGTAGCGGGAGCTTTCAAGCCCCATAATAAACGTGCGATAAGTTAGCGGCATTTTTTCTTGATTTCCATTCGTCCGTCATTACCAAAATCATGCTAAGCCACCTCCTTCATTCCGCTGGAAAGACATTCGTACTTATGCGAACACAATTATCCGAGCGTACTGTCAAAATCGAACAGACCGATCTCATCTGGAGCATAAGCAAGCTATGGCGGTCACGGGCAAGCGCGGCGTGGGCATCCCGACCATCCTGCTGCACGACGGCGAGGGCACGATCGTGTCCATCGAGATGAAGACGGGCGAGACGTATCGCGGTCTGCTGGACGAGACGGAGGACAACATGAACTGCGTCATGAAGGACGCCGTGCGCACCGACATCAACGGCAACACCACCCACGTGGAGCAGGTCTACCTGCGCGGCAGCCAGATCCTCTTCATCGTCTTCCCAGATATATATCCTTTGCAACCCCATACTTGCGGCTGTATATTGTACAGAAGTTGGTATAGGACAACCCCCTTGTTCAATTGTCGGTTGCCTTGACCTTCCGAGTGGCGGACGCGTTGGTGTGTTGTTGTTGCTCTTGTGGCCGCAGAGCACGTTAAAGCACGCGCCGATGTTCAAACGAGTCAAGATGTGGAAGAAGCACAAGGGAGCGATACCCACACTGGGGCAAGGAGGAGTTGGAGGCGGCGCTCCGAGAGGACAGGCCGCTGCGATCATCCGGAAGGGTACGAGAGATGACATGAAGCTGGCTGACGGGTGGAGTGCAGGCGCTGATGTTACTATTATTTGGTCATTATGCAGCTCAAGAGCGGAGAGGCGGATTTTGAGACGAGCGTGGCCGTGGAATCGGGTCGAAGTTGCTGCCAAGCGTCGCTGACTGCTCCTTTCAAGTCGCTCGAACTGGGAACTACTGCGGCTTCTTGCCTGCGGTATGGCAGGTATTGGACTGCGCTGCTGGTCACGGGTAGACCACTCATAAGTCCCTTCAGGTTCACAGCCTTGGACGAGTCTTAATAGACGGATGCACGAAGACAACCGAGTCGGTAAGTGATGACATGTCCTTGTAGGGAATATTGGTAGCTTGGTGGCAGCGATTCTTGGCTGCTCTCGAGCTCATTTCTGGGCGACGTAGACTGGGCGCCGGAACCCCTTGGAGGAAGTCTGGCAGACCTCGAGGAACTCGCAACTGCGGAAGCCAACAGTCTCGACGAGGTGCTTGGGGAAGTCCTTTGGCCGCAGCTGAATCTTCGGGTAGTTTGCTGCCGTGACGTCTGACGTGAACTTCCGCTTGTGGTACGATTTCCACGGCTGTGGCTCAATGATCAGGCGGCCACCAGGTGCAAGCAACTCGTAGATCTTTGCAAACACCTTCTTGATGCCTTCGTCTCCGTGGAAAAGGTGGATCCATTTTGTAACACTAAAGCTGCAAGCACGAAACACAAACACTACTTAATCAGAGAGACGTCCCCACCATTACATGCCAACAGCATCTCTTGATAACTTACCAAGTAATGAAGTCGTACTCCTTGCCGGCATGTGCGTCTGCCACAATATCTTCGCGCTTGAAAATCACGTTCAACGGAAACTCCGAGCTGCGTAGCCAACACCACGCGTATGTAAGAAACCACTTATGATCCCTTCCAACAGCAAAATACAGCTCAAAACGTACCCAACAGCAGCCTTGCCAATAGCTTTAGGAACTGCTGCCTGTGTCTGCATCGACGGCTTCCATAGTCGAAAAGACAGCGGCATCTCGTCCGCAAACGCGTCTCCATCTTCCACCTTCACGTCACTCTTCTCCTCGTCCTTCTTTGCATCCTCCTTCCCCTCTACAACCTCTTGCTTAGCTCCACCGCTGACGTCCGCAGGAGAATCAGCATCCACCTGATCCTTCGAGTTCCCGTCCTCTCCACCTTTCGACGACGTTTTAACTGCGGGAATGTCGCCGAACGCCTTCTCGATCTGCTCTTGTCGTAGAATGTCCTTCAACTGTCCCCTGGCTCTGGAAATGAGCTGCGGGTCCACGTCCACGCCCAGCAGATAACTAGGTGCCAGACGTTTGGCGATGGCAATAGTCAAATCCCCCGAGTTGCAGCCAATATCCAAGCCGCGCTTGCCCTCGAACCAGCTCTTGTCCAGCGCAGCGAGACGCGGGTCGTCCTCCAGCTCTCCCTGGTGCTTCTGGCCCAGTCGATACGTGTAGTAGCTGCGCATTCAGGTGGTACACCAAAAGTGTCAATTGGAATGGCACAGTACTATCAAGCGGCGGATGGCTACAAACCTCCGGAAGTTGCCCACGCGCTGCTGCTTCGGGATCTTCTTGTGCTGCTTGCGCTGCTTCGCCGGCTTTGCCGCGGCCTGCGTGGCAGCCTCGCCGTCCGGCTGCTTGCGCTTGGTCATTAGAGACTTTGCTAAACAAGAGATGTCTCGTGTGGTCCACCTGAACTCAAGTGACAACGTTGGAAGGGCAAGAACGAGAAGTGCAAGCAAGTTTTCACCCTTTCCATTCGGTTTAAAGCTGCACGTGTAAACCAACTATATCTACGCGCGCAGTTTGTTGCGTATCACGAGCTGTCACACTTTTTTTTTCTTTCTCAGTTACCTAAACCAGCATTTGCATCACCAGCCCCTGCAGCGCATTTAAAACTTCAGTGACGCCATTTCCAGATAGCATAGCAGCAAAACAGTCCCAAACGCAAGCGCACCATACCTTGCTTCCTGTCGGACCAATCGAGTCCGTAACAGTCAATTTGCGAGCTCCTTTGCCTCTTTACCTTATCAAGGCGACAAATTTTTCCACGATGCGAGCTACACTAATTTCAAATGGCCCCGCCATCAAGTTGTCTTTGTTGATCGAAACGACGGGTGTCGCGGCCTCGCTCTCGTAGGTAAGAGAAACAAACCACCATTCGTAGTAGTATGTGACGACACCTGCGACCTTCCTTGACACGTGCGTGTTGAGCATCTCCATCGCCACGAGAAGATGCGCAAGACCAGTCTTCATCGGGTTCTGCTTCACTTGGTACTTGGTTACTCTTTCTCCCCCTCCTTCTTCTTCGTCATCGTCAATCTCTTCATCTTCGTCTGTTGGTTCGGGATCCGTCGCCTCCATGACGCACACGTATTTGTCGCCATGAAACAGCATGAAGTCGGCGTAACCTTCCACATCCAAGATGCGCATGAAAATTTCCAAGGGATATCTGCTCTGGATTTCCATAGGCGAGCTCTCAAGTGTCAGCATGGTTTGAAGAATCTTGGATACCAATAAATCCACCGGAACGTCCGAAGATCTTCGCATTGCGCGAGCTTCTTCTTGACCAAGTTCTTTCGTGAGTGCTGGGATCAGCTCGTTCTCGACACGAGAATATTCCAGCGTGGTAGTAGTTCTACTGTAGCGGAATTTGAGATCCCACCATGTCACTCGTTTCAGACGAACGGGGCCGGACGGCCCGCCGTCATCGTCGTCACCTGATCGGGTAGAGTCGTACAGATAATAGTCCAACTTGTCCCAATACCGCGCGCGTTCCCCCAATATACCAATAGCAGATTTCCTCGGCGTGCGGCCTCGTACCGTCGCCAGAAGATGGACATTATGAAATCGAGATCTGGCTCAGCTCCGCAGAAAAAGTCGCTGACGCGATCGTCCGAGTTGAACTGGAGCTCTCGGTGGAGCAAACCCTCGAGGCTACGAGTCTCCCCCTCCCTGAACTTCCTCGAGTCGGTCCTAAGAAACCCCTCTCTCGTTTCTCGCAGGGAATAACATGACCTCATCTGCACTCACGTCTCGAAGGTAGCTGGGTAGGGCTTCCTTGGCGGCGACCTTCGCGTCCCCGAAGGTGACACCGGAATTCACGTGAAGAAGGAACAGCGAATGTCCATAAGCACCGACAACGGCGCACGCGAATGACGTGGTCATGCTGGCGGCGATCAAGCGGAATGGCCTCAATACATTTTCAAACTTTTAGGGAAATGCAACGAATTTTTCTTGGATTGAAAAACTACGAAAGTTAGACGATCACAGGCTGCCCCCGATCTCTCTAGTCCCGCTGACGTGTCCGCTGCAAATTGAGTCGCTCTGGGCCGTTGGAATGATTTGGTTTGGACCAGAAGTCCCAATCGCCTCTAGCTCGTCTTCTCAGTACCAACCAAGAATATTTCCGGTGGGAATTCTCCCGGGCGTTGGTGCAGGCAGTCAAAAGAGCCGATCTCACGATGATTCGGTGGCTCTTAGCCCATTTCCCCGGCTGCCGTGTGTCTGAAAAAGTGGTTCGGGTGGCTGCTAAGAGAGGGCGCTTGTGGGTGTTGCAGCTGCTGGTGTAGGAAGTACTTGGAACATGCATGTATGACCTCTCTATTGAACGCGTGCCAGACGCGTTTCGGCCCCCCGCCGGGGGCCTCGTCAGTGGCTTTACCAATCGAGAAGTGAGCTCTCTCTCTCTACGTGTCCTCCTGGGCGGTCGCCCCTACGAAGCTTCTAGAATCTCCTAAAGATCTGTCGTGGGTACGACTCTGGTGTCGTAACCGTGTATCCCCACCATGGGGTTACACCTACGTGCCTGCAGCACTGCTGGAAGCCGAGTGGCATTGAGTGGAGCGCGAAAATTCAAACTTGTGCAGCTGAAGCTGGGCACTGGGACCTTACGAGATGGCTACACACGGATCTGCCTGCGGAAGTGGATCGCAGCAGCAACTGTCACCTGCTGTGCATTGCTGTGGCGCAGAGTGATCTCGAGAACGTCAAATGGGTGATTGCCAATGGATATCCTGTACTGCTATATACCCATATAGTTGAAGCAGCAGCCAGCGCTGTCAACAATGGCTAGGATACCTAGAATGTACAAGTCGAGATAATTCGCTACATGTACTTACTGGAGGGGGGATTTGTTAGTCCAGGATATATTGCGGATGTTTTTGTGCTGGAAGCAGCCCGTGTCGGCGATCTGCACCTTTGTGCGGCGTACTTCGTACCAACGTGCAATCAAATCCGAAAGTCGCAAAATTCATACTTAAGTATTGCAAATTTCTAGCTAGCAACTTCAATTACGCATTCAAAGATGGAATTACGGCAATCAAATTCGCACAGTAGGCTACTACTACTGGTCCGACGAGCCCTGTTACATGCCGTACACCATGTCCTCGTTGTTCGCCGCCTTGGTGACGAAGTCGCGACAGTGCAGCTCCATGCTGGCCACCAGCGCTGGGGTCATCACGTTCATGTTAGCGGTCGCGGCGCGCTCCAGGATGTGCATCTGGCGTTCCGAAATGGAGAGGATCTCACCGTTGCTGTCTGGCTCACGCGAGCGATCGTAGATTGCGTGGCGATCCAGAGCGGGAGTTTAGGACGCTGCTTCTCGGGGACGGTGTGGCGAGTAACACGGCCTTGGAGGGACATCTGCGAAGAAGGCGAATTGCGAAGTGAGCTCCCCTCGGTCGGCGTCGGCTATAGTGCGCGCCAAACCGCGCGCCCTTGCTTTTGGCGCGAGCACAGCACGCCAGCTTACGTAGCCATGGAGATCTTGGACCTCTGGTCCAACTTTGATTGCCGTAATTCCATCTTTGAATGCGTAATTGAAGTTGCTAACTAAAAAATTGCAATATGAGTTTTGCGACTTTCGGATTTGACGTTGGTACGAAGTAGGCGTAGAGACTATGCAGTTGGTTTTGGCCAACAAAGAAGAAGACTGGAATTATCAGCATGCTCTCGATACGGTATGGTGTTGATCAGGATAGCGTGCGAGAGGAACCATCTTAACACGACAGGCTTCGTTGTCAGCTCAGAGTGACAAACGACCACTCGAAGAAGTCTGTGACGGTCGTTGGGGGGAAACTTGCCAGTTTGGTGAGTTAGCGACGACGAGAGGGAAAAATAGTGTCTTACAAGCTTTTCGAGCCTCCGACAATTGAAAGCACTAGGTGCATCTACCTTGTTCTCGTGAATTGCGGACCTATGAGCTTGTTGAAGCAAAATAAACGAGAGATTCTGTACAAACGCGCGAAAAAATGCTGACATTCCTATTTTATTGCTTTTATGGCCGTCTGGGCGCCTCCAAGATGCTCCGAACGGCAGCCAACTTCTGGCCACCACGGCAAGTCTTGTCCACGCATCCTTGTTGGCAACCTTATACAAGATAATCGCAACCGTCAGTGAATTCGCTCTACATTACTTGGCTGACCTTGTAATCTACCCACCTTGTGCGTACGCCGTCACCACATTGCTCGAACTTCCTGTGAGAGCAGCAAAAAACGAAACAAAACAAAAAACTATAGAGCCATTGCAGCCGAGACCGAAAATACGAGAACTCGATGCAGCTTACTTTTTTGCCGGATTAGTTCGACTGCTTCAGGCTTACGACTACAGCGAGAACGTGAAGATCGAACTCATTGTTTTCCTCGTCGTCGTACAAGAAGCGCAAGTGCCTACCGAGTGCGCTGGGGTTTATCTGGCCGAGTGCTCAAACCCAGTCGGGCATCTTGTCTACAAACTCGGCGCTGTCCGTTTGCAGCCATTCATTTCTGCTCAGATTCCAGGTCTGGAACACTGACGTCATTGCTGCCCCCACCGCGGCAAAACACTCGTCGCCAATGTCTCGCCGCGAGGTCCTTTTAATCTTTTTCCTAAGCTCATAGACGCTCTTCATCCATGCAACAAGTTTGACTTGAGAGCGTAGCGGACAACCCGATGCAAAAAGCGGTTCCAGTCATCTGTAAAGTTTCAGCGAAATATCCTGGGGCCAGTTTCCATCGATCGAGGTGGGATATCTGCAAGTAACTTTTTGGGAGGAATCGGTTTTGGTTTTGCGTGCTAAAAATTTCCTGTAATTTCTGTGCTGCAGACGCTGGTAGTCGTGTGGGGATAATATCATCAAGTACTACTTAAGTAGTAGTATTATAACAGTACATACTGCAACTACAGTAGGAATGGTAAGACACGACCGCATACACTTGTGCCTGCAATCCATTTCCCATGTTTTACTTTACTTGTACAGTGTGCACATCCCGAGTAAATTTGATAGACTGTCCCTTAAACTACCAAGACACTTGACTTTTCTTGCTGCGCTTGGAGTGATTCGAAAGAGCCAGGACGATTATGCAGAGCTCACCGAGTGGCTCTCTCTCATTTTTTTCTTTCAATCAACGCCTCAAAAAACGTAGTTACGAAAGAAACAACAAAAAGTCATTGAAGCCATTCCATTTAGTCCGCCAAAAAAATGACCACGGACCCTGGCACTGTCCGTGTGGATGTGACAAAATCGCTACAGACACTACGGCACGCCATAGCAGTGAAGGCGAAGCTTCCCGAGGACGCACTTGAGTTTTTCCTGCCAGTCGGTCGGGATGGCGAGTGGATTTCGTGTGGTTTCGAGGGCACGGAGGATAGCTGGGCTCTGTCCCTGGGCAAAACCACGGACAACATTGAGTTTCTGCTGCGAGATGAGGCCAAGATCTCGGATTCGTTCATTCTAGTGACTGCACCCGATCTCGGAACATGTAACGCGCATTTTCTGGTGACGATACGAGGGTGCCCACCGTTGAAATCGGTCATTGGTATATTGGGGGACGCACGTAGAACGGCGCAAGCGAATGACGTGGCCATTTTGGCGGACTAAATGGGCCTGTTGTTGTTTTTTTCGTACCTAAGTTTTGGAGGCGTTGATTGAAAGGAAAAATGCAAGTATTACAACGGAAACGAGCCTGTTATCGTTTTATGAACTTCACGTAAGAAGAAAAAAAAATAGATGTAGTTCTGATCCTACTGATCGCATTATACATTACGTCTCGGCGTGCTTCTCGGTTTACTACTAAAAGCGGAAAGTTTCTAAGACCATGCGAGCTACATTAAGTTCATTCCGCCACACCACCAAGACGGGCTCGTAGCAAATCGTAACGGCATATCCATGTTTAGCGCTCTCAATAAATTCCTTAGGAAAACAGCAGTACAGCTTGCTGGCAGAGCTCAAAATTGATGGGTTCAATAATGGAGAACGTCAGAGGCTCAATCGACAGCTTACCGATTAGAGAGGGCCACTCGGTGAGCTCTGCATAATCGTCCTGGCGCTTTCGAATCACTCCAAGCGCAGCAAGAGAAGTCAAGTGTCTTGGTTCTGGCACGGCACCGTCCGCATCAGCAGTTTTCTTGCTGAAGCTACCAAAAGTATTGATGACTGGGGCGACGAATATTAAAACGCCTTGCAAATAATCTGGCTAAGTAGTACATCGTGCACTCAGTGCACGTTGTGGTCAACTCGCAATCGAGAAATCTTCGATGGGGTCCAATTTACTGTTCAAGAGGTCAAACGTAGGGCATGGAACTCTGCCAACTTTCAAACAAAAGCCGTCATCCGAGGAATGACCTCATATCCTCGCACGCAAGCACAAGAATTTCGTGTGGCCCAATGCCATGCTGCCTTCACAGCAATCATTTCTTCTGATCGACCGGTTGCAATGGAAGACTGGCATCTCCTCCTATATGACGGATATGCTGTGGATGGCAAGTGTAGGAGAGGAGCGTTGAGCGGTTTCCCACCCAAAATCGAAGCAGTCGGCTTTGCACACGGGAATGAAATATAAGATGGAGATAGCCAATCTCTAGAGACCAGTTGTCACACCGTGCACTACTATCGACGCCTTTCCGAGTACTCGCGGCTGTATAGCGCCGCCAGTTTCACGTGCTGGAATGCTGGTAAGAGAACCAAAGCCGCAAGAGCCTTGGTGAAATCACGTCAATTGGCAAGACAAACAGACGCAGTGCTCCAGAGAGCAGATATTCCGCAACACTTGACCACCAGGTTAGAGAACGAAATGAAGGCCAGTAGTAGCGATAAGGGGTTGCAGGATCATTATTCGATTCGGAACATCCTACAGCGATTCCAGGACTCTATATTTCTCGCTAAACGTAAATAGACGACCTCTTCACACCCAAGTAGTGTCTTGGTAGTTTAAATTAAGGGACAGTCTATCAAATTTACTCGGGATGTACACACTGTGCATGTAAAGTAAAACATGGGAAATGGATTGGAAGGCTCAAGTGTATGCGGTCGTGTCTTACCAGTCCTACTCCAGCCTCTACTGTAGTTGCAGTATGTACTACTTAAGTAGTACTTGATGATATTATCGGTAGACAGCACTAGTAAGCTACTGCTACCTACTTTACTAAGTAGTAGTAAATGACAATACAGTCTTCAAGAAAAAAAACAAAAACACAAAAAAAACTTGATGATATTATCCCCACACGACTACCAGCGTCTGCAGCACAGAAATTACAGGAAATTTTTAGCACGCAAAACCAAACCCGATTCCTCCTAAAATCTCCAGATTTCGTTACGACCGGTTAACTGTCCTGGTAATGCTTTCCAGTATCAAGCGGCAGCTGGTTTTTTCAGTATGGGTGTTGCCAGCTCGCTCGTCCACTTTTTGTGAGCCTGCTTGTAGTACTTAAAGTACCTGAACCACATCACATACTGTCCATATCGTACATCATCCAATTTGTCCACCAACTCTTTGCTCCTCATTGCACTCGCAACTTCTGGTTTGAGTTTTTGAAACGTGAACACATCGTCAGGAGTCGCACCCCGCTCGTCCATATACTTGAACTGGTTGAGGTTAAGCTTTTTTTCGGCATTTCTGACGCTGATACCAAAAGCGGTATCCATTTTAGACTCTGGTCTCGACCTGATCAGCTTCTCCATCGCTTCACCTTCAGCTTTCAGTGCTTCCAATGTCGGAGCTGATGCAACCGTTTTGGTCACACCCGACGTAGTAGTAGACTCAGCCGGCTTCCCCGATCCAAACACCCGAGCGATAAATGCGAAAGCTTTTTCATACACGGCGTTGCCCGCTCTCTCTTCATCGCCTGATGTACCGTATCCGTGAGCACCAATCTCGCTGGTCCTCAAGGATCTGGCACCCTTGCCACCAACCGAAGCGACGCCGACCCGGCCCAGCGTGGCGTCCGCGCTGATGGAGGCTGAGACAACATTGCTGCTGCCATGCAGAACTGCCACAAGAACGAGTAGGATGAACCCGAACTGCATGGTGGCGTGGTTTCAGGACCTGAAAACTTGGCAGGAAAATGAGAAATGGATATGATGAGTTCCGCGAGATCGAGAAGCAGCGAGGCTACAGCACACCGGCTCCGGAATCTACGGAGCCCATCTGAAAGAGCCAATCCCACATGTTTGATGTTGTTTCGAGTCGCTCTGTTGTCATTAAGCACTGATGCCGGTATCAGCTTAACTTCGTGTACAAATAAAATCTCGTCGGTATATGGTTTTCGTGGACATCCGATTTCAAAATGTCTGTGCGAACGCAGACTTGTCCTTGAGTTCGACGGAAGCGTGCATCCAGTGAAGACGCACTCCGTATCAACGGCGGCTTGGCATCGTGTGTCAAAGATCATCGTCTGTGACGCTTGCTACGCCGACGCCAAATGTACTGTAACGACCAACCCGGAGCGAGTGGTCTTTTTGACGCACATGGTTTTTTGTACCAATAACGAGCCGAAAACCCATCAGGAACGTCCGTACAGAACCTGGACCTGAATACACCTGAAAGCACACCTTCTACGAGCCCGAGCCCGTCTACTTCAAAAGTGGGCTCCCCCTAAAACGAGAGCCAAAAGTCGCACAAAATGGGCTCCCTCATGGTAAGTACGAGATCAAGGAGCCCTGGTTCGGGCTCCCCATTGGCTCCCCTCCAGGGCTCCCCAAATTTAGCTTCAAATCTATGACGGGCTCTTCATAGTAATATCTGATTGGCCAATTTTACCTAGACTTAAGGCGAGCAACTTCGCGTGATCGATGCGCCACGCTAGAAGATCGAGCTCAAAGATCGCCACACTAGAAGATCTCGCGCCGCTCATATGTGTACAGCCGCTCCGAGGCCACCCCAGCGTCGCCGATAGTCCTTCCTTCCCCTCAAGGAGAAGCCTTCTTTCCTATGCCTTTTCAGTTAGAACCTGGAGATACTTCAATGACGGCCAATCATCAGCGAGATATTTAACACAGGTGAGGGGGAGCCCCTTAACGAGGGCTCACAGTTCTGGAGGGCTCCTTTCACTTAACCTATTGAACTCAAGAGCCCAGGAGCCCGGCTCTCCCCAGGGCTCGTAGAAGGTGTGCCTGAAAGTTCCAGGTGTATTCAGGTCCAGGTTCTGTACCGGACGTTTCAGTGAAACGGGGCGACGCAAGGTTTTTGTAACGGAGCGGCAAAAATACTACTGTACAGACGATCCCCTCAGTAGTAATCCCTAGGTGAGAAATACCCTCTCACCAGGAATATAAAGGTACGATTTCTGAATGACAGTCCAATGCAAAGCCAAGTAATTATTGCCATCACCCCTCAATAGTCATAATAAATATGAATGTTCGCGGGTGCTTAACGATAGGAAAAGTCCATTTTGAACAGGATGTCTGGAGTAGTCTAACCAGGACACCAGCCCCTATTGTTCATGTTTAGACCTGTTTAGTGCACTGCACTAAACAGGCCTATTCATGTTTTCTTGCCGCATTTCTTATTTAACGATCACATTAGCTTTCAGAGCCAGCTTTCAGACCTGCTAGTGCCGTTCGTTTGAATAGAATGGAGCTCGGGTGCTTGTCAACATTCGCGAGATGGGTCTCAATACTACCATGGCAAATTATTTTAATATCAGTATCATTACCTACATCATGACCCACATCTCTTACGGTATTATATCAACTATACGTTGTCCTTTTCGGTGCTACCGAGGTATATACCGTTGTCTGCACGAATTCCATCCAAGGGCTGTGCAACCAAAAGACTACACCAATCCGTATCATATATGTGGTACAGTACGGTGTACCACCCCATGATACACCCTACGACAGGAATACCCTCACCTAGGAATAAAAAGT